GAATTCCCACAACTAGTTGTGGGAAGCAAAATTGAGTTGTGGGAAAAATTGAGTTGTGGGAAAAATTGAGCTGTGGGAAAATCTCGCAACTAGGGGAGAAATCCGGGGATTCCCACTGCCTCAATGTTGGAAAACAATACGATACGAGATTTGAAAAATGCTTGTGGGGGGTTCTGCATTGCCTTGCGAGCTTCCCCAAATTTGAATCTTGAGATAGCAGCCATGATGTTATTGATTGATCCATCCGTTTTAACCATACGAGTATATATATGTAAATGACGTGTTGAGCAATCAATAATGGCCGTTATTGATTGACTCAACCCATCTTGAGTCAATCAATAACCGCGCCCTTAGGCCAACAAAGTTCGGGCAAACAACTGCCCTACCCCCATTCAGCCTATTATTGGACTATCAATGAATACAAGAAGGAAGATCCAGTAATGCTAACAAATATCTAGAGGAACTTATCGTACATGAAGTTCACTTGAAATGTCCAAGTGTCCCAAATGTCACATAATAGATGAGTATCCAACAGTTGGTATGCACACCCACGTTTCAAGAACCATGACATTTCACAGCGTTGGACAGCACGTTCATTTCCAGATCGTATCACAGCAATACAAGCAGAGTGCAGGGTTGCCTTTCCAGTAAATTGGGTATCACCTTTTGAGTACTTTGGTTGCATGCAACGTTGGCCTTCCATGCTTGCATCAAGCGTGTTTCGGAATCCTTTGTCAAGTAAATTGCTGAATGGTTTGTCTGAAGAATGATCTGCCTCTGAAAAGTTTCGTTGTGCCACCAGTACCTCTGAGTCTTTAATCATCTGAGAATCTGTGATTCTACCAGTCATTAAAGGCATTCCTCGCATCCAACCACAAAGTTGGTTGCTTACTCCTGCCTTGGCGCATGTAGTACCATAGTAGTCACTGAAAAGTGCTCATTGAAGCTCTGCATTTGAAGGGCATGGCAGAGGAATTCCGGGTGCATCATGCATAACAATTCTCTCCCCACTTCGCCAATCAAAGTAGAAATCCCATTGTTTGCCAAGAAACTTTGCATCTTCTTCGTAGGTAGCATAGATAGGCCACCGATTGCGTGTTCCATTCTAGAAATATAAATTTTGCTTCAGTACTTTTTGAAGGGGGTATTCCGAGCTCCTGTATGCTTTCACTAAGTCTTGCATTCTTACAGCAGTCCGACCATACTTGAACTCAAAATAGAACAACCACTCTTCAACCCAAGTGAGTTTGGACGATGTCGCAAAGAGACAATCCAAACTACCATCACAAACCACCATGGCATAGGCAAGCAGCTTGGGTAAATTGTAAAATCCTGTACGGCGCTTTACTTTGTCCAGAGTTAAATCATCGGGTATGACACTTGGCTTGGTCTCCTCTTCTCTCCTCTTGCTCACAACATCCTCAGCCTCCGCCAATTTCTTTCTTTTCGGTGTGCCAGTGTTCCCACAGTGTACATCAAGTCCTGCTGCTGCAATCAATCGCTTGTTAATGTCATCCCATGACTGATTCCCCAACACAACATCCTCCACTTTGTGGTGCTGCTGCATAGCCAATGCAAATTTGCTACATGCTTTTGTTTTGTTGATCTGCCGAAACAGTAGTCTGTCGGAACTCACACCTTTGCTCAGTGCATCAAGGCAAACTTGTACTGCCCTATAGTCAGGATTGAGGGCAATCTCTTCATGGGTAGATTGAGTTGGGACTGATGTCCTCGTTTCTTTCTTCAGAGTTTTCATTCCCTTCTTATCTGGACTCTCATATCTTGGCATCTTCTCTCGCAAAGGTCCCCAAGTCTTGTGGATTTGGTTCTCCCCTGGCTTTTTTTGCCTCATCAGTGCCAACACGAAATGGAGAAAGCCACTCCAAAAAGGTCTTGGAAGGGTCCAGTGATACGTCCGTTGTTGTTGCAGCAAAAATAAGTCGCTCCAATGCCACTCTGAAACTTTCCCGCTCTCCACTTTCCAGGTCCAATTGAGAGAAACCATCCTCATCTGTAACCAAACGAATTCGCAGTTCATACAGCAGGTCCTCAGCCAAGAAACTAAACAAGGTGGCCGGAAGACAAGCACCCCTTACAAGTCTCAGATCTTGTTCCATTGCTCCGGTATGCCACACCAGCACCCTCCTCTGCAAAGTCAATCTTGTATTTTTCTAATGCTGCAGGTTTGTGGCCGGTCAAGTATCCACAGTGTGTTGGCTTGTAGATGAGACTGTCCGACAGGCAGATGAAGTCTTCTGGAACATGCCTGTAAATCTTGGGTTTTGACTTCAATGAAGCATCCACTAGATGTTTCAGTAACTCTCCCTTGGCAACTGCTGGGTCCGCGCTGAAATCAATTTTTGATCTGATTATGCTTGCTTTCTTTGCTCCAAAACCATCAATACCTCCAGGCGATGCATCGCAACCAAGGGCAAGCGCGAAAAGAGCACGAAAACGAATTCGATCCAAGCCATCAAAGATGGGATGCTGTGGGTCCTTTTGAAAGATGGACTGTCGCACTTTTGGTTTTAGAATCTCATTGATATATTTTACAACCTTCTTCTGCCCGGTCCAAATCTCAAGGCTTTCCAGATGTGTGTTGCGCTTGCCCAATGTTGGATTTCGTAGCATGATGTCGCCACATCCATCAGTACACCTCCGCCCACGTACATTGCGAAATCAGAGTCACCCGACAAAATTGCATCAACATCGCCATCAATTGCACGCTTTGCGATGGCTGGATCCGCTTGCCATCCGGCTTCGAAAACGGGTTTTCCTGAAAACGGACGCCGGCACGGACTGTTTCTACCCGAAAAGTAGCCGGAAATTCGTTATGGTCGATCGAGTCATATGCAATTGACCCATCCGACTACCAACAGAGGAAAGAGCCCAAACCAAACAACAGTACAGTAGAAAAGAGCATGTTGTGATTACAAATACTGCTACTTCAGCCAGTGATGTTTATCTGTAGTAGAGGTGTCTATATTTTCAATTACGATTTTGTTTTGAGACTTCAAATTTTCTGCTTGTTGGGCCCTTTCCGGACCTCACAGGGCGACTCATCAGAAGAAATTTATTAGAACAAGTTCATTGGGGCGTGATTGGGACCAAACTTAAACATGAAATACAGATGATAGCGTGGTATACATATCGGTGAGTATCGAATTTCGTTTGGCATTAGGATTGCCACCTGAAACGCTCAAAGTGCTCCCATGAAGGAATCAAATCAATATCAAGGTTTGATTGAATGTCGTTGATTGTCGTGAAGGGACAGCAGAAGACGCCATCCACGCGTATCCAAGTCTGCACTCGCACCAAAAGGATATCTTACAGCCACAGCTACCACTTCTAGTGTCATGGGGACTTGGCGAGAGTTCCAAAACCACTTTTCGAAATTGTTGTTGGGGATTCAGTGGTCAATTCGGAGACCAAAGAAACCAAAGAAACCAAAGAAACCAATGTGCTCAAACCACTGCATGTAATCAAGATAAGAGGATAACAACCTATAGCTACTTTAGCTGTGCATCGATTTTCTTCTGGTGAATCTATCAAAAGAGGCCTCGAGGCATACCATTTCGGACCAAATCTGAAAAAACGGTTCCGGTTTCGGGCAGCCGGAAATTGACCATGATTTTGGGTTTCCGATTTTGATTTCATGCCAGCCGAATGGGTTTTTTCATTTTTCGGCCCGTGTAGAAACACTTTTTTCACGCTGGCACGTTCGGCGGGTCGGAAAGTCGTGAAAACGGGTTCGCGTAGAATCGGCCTGAAGTTAGTTTAGGAGTCACCCGAACCGTCTGGCCTTTCCCGGTCAATCTCCATTTCCAAAACCTCACGCCGGCATACCCGCTCGCCGGCCTTTCCATCCGTTAGATTTGAATTCATCAATCATTCATTCACTCTCGTTTTCATCAAAATTGCAATGAAAATGAAGGTAAGTTTCGGATGGGCGTGCATCTCCTCCATACAAGTTTCTTACACAACGCTATTATCGCTCTATGCGCAGTGACGAGACGGATCGAATGAATGTGGTTGCGCTTCTGCAATCGATCGACTTTCATTTCTCTATCACTATCATGATGCCGACGGTAAAGAGACCTTGACGAAACAACGAGACCCCACCAACTCAAGTAAACGGTCTATGATACTACGAAAGATCTACGCTTGCGTCTACTTGGCCTGTATATCTGCGAAGTTTTGAACGAGATTTTATCATTCTGCTGTTGCCAAAACAATGTTCAGATGCCAACTCGTCAACAAGTCAAATGCTCTACGTTGCAAAGTCACCGACCTGTTATTCTACGAATGAGCTACGTTTGCGTCTTCCTTTTTGCGAAGTATTGACTGAGGTTCTGCCATTCTACGTTGGCAAGATAATTTTGGAATGAAACGCATCAATCAACAAAATTCGCTACGTTACGGGTATTCCTTTTCTACAAGCACAACCTCTTCTTCTTTGAGCTGTCTCGATGTGTCATTGCCACCAACGAAAGCACTCCTATAATAGAAAAGAGGCGCAATAAATGTCTCTTTCAACAGTCTTGGACGAATGCAACGTGGCTCCGTCGCATCAAAGGTCAAAAGCAGACACCATGCTCGCGAATCCTACATCTTAATAGATTGACATTTCAATAAGACTATAGGCATACAATTATTCTGATTATTCTAATATTCTTATGACAGATTGATTTAACAGGGAGAGAGAAGTACCTGGTACTGCGACTGTAGTCTCAACCGTTCGTCGTCACAAGTCGTTGCCAAGAAGAAGCAATTCTTCCAAGCGCCAAGTTGGGCTCCCGTCTTTGGGAACTCTAATAAAAAGGACCTCTTGGGAAAGGTGCCAATGAAACGGACCTCTTGGGAGAAGGTGTCAAAGATTCAATCTAGGTTGTTTACTGAAAAGAATGAACAGGTTGTTTACTGGAAAAGAATGAACAGGAAAAAAACTTTTCAGTAAACAACCTAGATATTTGAATGTTGAAGGTCTTTTAGGAGTCACCCGAACCGAATGGCCTTCATTCATTCTTTTCAGTAAACAACATAGTAGATTGAATGTTGTTGCAACTTTGATTGAGTGCAGAATAGTTGATACTATAGTTATGGAACTGAAGGAGATAGTCATCAGTACATGTAGACCTGATTGGTCACATGGACAGTGCAGAGTTAATGACTCGCATCTGAATGATCATTATGAAGATGGTTGTCCTATTTTCTATTTCTAACACGTAGGAACGACAGGAAGTCATTTCTGGAATTTCCTCGACTGGCGAAATTCTAAATGAATACGTTCCGGACCAAAGCCCGACTACAAAGATGTCGAAGAACAATTGAGCCAAAACGCCGAAGTGTAGTATGAAATGCAAGAGAAAGAAGAATTGCGCCAACGACAAGAATTGGGAAAACAACTCATGGAACAACTAGCCGCCGTAGAAGCCCCCATTCCGGAAGGTCGTGACGATGCGGAAGGATTCAATTTTACATCCAGCTCCAATCAGCTGGGCAATTCATCGTCTTCACTTGCATGCCAATTATCCCCGAAGAGCTCCCTTCAGAGTTGGGGAGATTGATACTCCAGCTGTGCCACTCGATTGAAGGGATGCGGTTCGAGGAGAAACGCGACAAGAGGAAGGAAGGAAGAAGACGACAGGAAGGAATTTAGACGACGAAAGCGGCACAATAAGGTAAAGGAAATGCATTCCAAGACTTTCCACAATAATGTAACCAAATTAAAACTTCAGCATCACGAGCAAGAAGAACGAAGGTCCATGGGTGGCGCAGAAGAGAGTAGTGCTAGAGCTTCCAGAATTAAGGCAAGAATTGAACCTCCAGCGCCGGTTACGAAAACAGCTGAAGAGGAATTGCACACTGACACAATAATAATAATAATGGACACGATCGACAACCTGCCAATTTCTGTGATATAGATCTAATATCATTTATAGAATGCATTGCAATTGTACTGAATTCGATCAAGATTGCTGATGCATTGAAATCATATGTTTTCACAACTGGCAGTAACTAACCTGACGAAACATATATCCCACATTGGAAGTCGAATCCGATGTGTCGAAGCAATTGATGAGCTCGCCAATGGATCAAGGGTACCTGGTATATCATCAAATCATTTGAACCACAGTGCCGAAACACAATATTTGATCCGGAAGGCAATGAAGCAACAGAAAGGCGACACCACAGTAGTCATCATTGGAACTGGATCGATCACCATCCGGTACCCAGAATCCTTACAGGCATACCGAGAACGTCCAGAACCAGCTATGGCTTCTTGCCAAGCTTCTTATCAGTAGTAAGCATCTACTGAATGGCTACCGGGTACCGGTACGCACATCAGCTACACTAGGAGGTTGTGTCCAAACGACTCCCGAAGTACAGTATGCGTCAGCGTCACTGAGAGGAAACACTACCAATCAGTTTGACACGCAGTTACTTTTAATGCCTGATATTATTTAAAAAACGATTATGATCCTACGGGAACGCACATAGACTATAAATGATGTTGCTTGCATCATCCAATAAGGAACAAAGCACATTTAATCAAACACCCCAGCTTACACCTGTATGTTCTGCTCGGAAAATTCGAAAATGGTGTACATTAATCATACCGGCGGGACCATGGGCTGACTTGGCGATAGAACTCTCCCGTAAGCAGTGGAATACTAATACTTGTACGAGCGTACTGTTCTGTTCTGAAGCGGGCAACGCCGCTGCAAAATCCAAAAAAATTCATGCACAAATCAAAATTCGCCGTGGTTTCGAGTCTTTTCATGAAATCAAAAAATCACAATTGCAACAAAGAACAATGACGACAAACTCCAGCAACCAAGGACATCCACCAAGCCTTCCGGAAATCAAGCGTTCGCGTGATGGTCGTGACACTGATAATGAGAAGAAGTCGTCGTCAGCGTCAAGCAAGCCAAAATCTAAAAGTCGTCGTGGACGATCGAAAAGCAGCCACCGTAGCTCCTCTTCGTCCAAAGAAGAAGGTCGGAGATCTTTCTCCCCTCACTCTTCCCCAAACTCACCCAATAAAAGTCGTCGTCGATCGAGCCACAGTCGATCTTCCAAGTCCAATACCACTCCTGATTCCAAGACTGCTGCCAAAGAGAAGACGCGGAGGTTGGCGACTTCTCCTGGGGTAACATATGTTGCTTCGAGCTCAAGGCATCGCCGCCATGGCAAAGGCAGCAAGTCCTCCAAGAGCAGTCGCAGTGGTGGTGGTTCTAGGCACTCCACTCCAAGTTCTTCAACGAGGTCCAATGGCAACAAACTCAAGCTGATGGACGCGTATGGAACCTGCATCTCGGCTCCACCGCTTGTCCATTCTACTACTCCTGGTGCCCGCCAAGAATCGGGTTCTTCTGCTGGTGGACGCTCCAGAAAGTCTCCCAAGCTTGACAGAAGTAGACGGAAAGACATCACACCAACAGATTCGTCCAAGCAAACAAGCAAAGCTGAGGCCCTTCGCCACCACGAGAAATTGTACAGGAGCCGAGTCTCGATGTTTTGCCTCTCGCCCTTGAAGCTACTGAAGCTACTGCAGCTCCTGATATTGCTGAAATCGAAGCTGCGGCTCTCCAGCGAGGGCGAGAGGAAGGAGAACGAAATGCAAGAAAGCAGAATCGAAGTTGGGTTGCATCTCCGTCCAGTGATGACAATGCTGATGCTGAAGGTACCAATGAGAAGAAACTTTCCCGAAAGTACGTGGCGATTGGTTTCATTGCTCTCTTGGCGTTTGCTGGAGGAATCATTGCCTGGCAGCTTGTGCCGTCATTGAGCAGCAATGATGAGGATGTAACAACAGCAAATGCTTTTGTTTCTCCTTCCGAAGAAGATTGTCTTGCGATATCAAAGGGACAGGAAGTGGAGGGACAAGATGAAACAAGATCCAAAACGATTGGAGCGGAAATCGATTTGGCAGTCGCCGCCAACAGTGATCTTGACTTGCTGCAAAGGGAACTGGAATCCAAAATGCAGCAAGACATTTTGCCACTCCTTGCTGGCTGCGATACTGAAAGTAATGTGGTGATTGAAAACAACAATTTTCTCATTGATAACGTAGTGCTCAAGTCGATCTCAGCTGATGTTCTTGCAGAATGCCGTTTGAATCCAGAAGGTCTCTGCTCCACTGTCTATATGGAGATGGAGGTCTTTTCATTCAAAAGCAATGATGTCGACGATGAATCCGTGCTGAAACAGATCAAAGATGTGTTTTTAGACAAAGGAGTCTTGGATCTATTGAAATTGGCTTCACCTGTGGAAGATATTGGTTCTGCTACATCAGTTTACAAATTTGAGCCCAGTTTGAGTTTGGTCCCAACCTCAAGCCCATCAACAATGGAGGGTGACATCATTATGGATGAAGATGACACGGGAAGATGTGAAGCAATTCGAAATGGTGAATCTTTGGATGAAAAAAATGATCTTGCTTCTCAGAGCTATGACGTCTTGTTGGATGTTGTTGTATTGGAATCGGATCCTCAATTGACATTGATGACTGTTGATCTTGAAAACAAACTACAGAGAATCGTTGTTCCTTCGCTTGCTGGGTGTGATGACGACCAAGACTCTTTGATCATCACAGGAAAAGCGGACGCCGATGTTGTGCTCAACGATGAGTGCTTGCCTGATTCTGGAACATTTTGTCATCGCTTTGAAATTCATTTGGAAATTTTCATGGAGGGTACGGTAGCAACTGGTGATTTTCTGCCGACGATCCGCGAGGAATTTCTTCAATCATCATTGATGGAGAGATTGAGCCTCGTGTCTCCCTTTGAAAGAATTGACTTTGTTGATGTTCTGGCTCAAGCTCGTTCCACAAATCCTTCTTGTAAGTCCTCAAAGCGCTATGGCGGTCCGCACAAGACTTTTTGATATTGGCTTATTGTTTTGAGTTATTTCTTTCTTTCATTCGTTCACAGCAAATCCAACAACTGAAGCGCCTTCAAGCATGCCAACTACTATACCGTCTCAAAGTCCCAGCAGTAAACCATCTTTCATGCCTGTAGTTGAACCTACCTTGGAGCCTTCTTTGCTTCCGACGATGCCGCCAACTCCTCAGCCAACTCCGGGACCAACTTTGTTTCCCACACGTCAACCCGCGACACCGCCACCAACTCCTCTTCCCACTCCCTTTCCGACACCTGGGCCGACTCCATTACCGACACCTGGACCGACTCCATTACCGACACCTGGAAGAACTCCCTTTCCCACATCTGGACCAACTCCCTTTCCCACACCTGGACCAACGTCGTTTCCCACATCTGGACCAACTCTGTTTCCATCACTCCAACCCACATCATCGCCGACGAAGCCTTGTATTGCAACAAACTCAGACCTTTTTGCAGCGCGTGACAGTTGGTTCGGAACATCGTCGGAAAAAGCAACTGTCGAGAACGCATACGGGTTGATTGGCGATTGGTGTTTTGATTCAGGTGTGACAAGTATGAGAGAACTTTTCCGAGATCGCCCAACTTTCAATGAAGACATTTCCAATTGGGACACCTCTGCTGTTACGGACATGATGTGGATGTTCTATAGGGCAAGATCCTTCAATCAAGACATTTCCAAATGGAACACTTCGGCTGTGACGAACATGAGATCAATGTTCAATAAAGCATATGTCTTCAATCAAGACATTTCCAATTGGGACACTTCTGCTGTGACGGTTATGGCACACATGTTCTGGAGGACAAATGCCTTCAATCAAGACATTTCCAATTGGGACACTTCTGCTGTGACGAATATGGAATACATGTTCTATGTGACAACATCCTTCAATCAAGACATTTCCAATTGGGATACTTCATCGGTGACACGTATGGCTCGAATGTTCTTTGCAGCATCATCCTTCAATCAGAATCTTTGTGCATGGGGCCCACGCCTTTCGGGCAATGTTGATGTTGATCGCATGTTTCTCGATGCAACTCAATGCCCATCAACAACCAATCCAAACCTCTCTGCGAATCCACGAGGTCCCTTTTGCCATGTTTGTTAGGCTGGTCTAATTTCATTTCATTCCTTTCAGTAATAATATGTAAAAGTGGTAGTTCCATCTATGCGGTATTGTATATCAAATACTGCGTATCAAACAATAGGAATGATGACGATGATGATGGGTGTGCTGTCTGATAATACCGGAGAGCATTGATACTGGTACTGGTACAGTACCAAGTACTGGTAGTGCCTGAACTGGTCGTTTCTGGTTGTCACAGATGCATTGAAATTATGTTATCACAACTGACAGTAACTAACCTGACAAAACATAGATCCCAAATTGAAAGTTGACTGCTGTGTTGAAGCAATTGACGAGCTCGCCAATGGAACAAGGGTACCTGGTATATCATCATATCATTTGAACCACAATGTCGAAAGACAATATTCGATCCGGAATGCAATGAACCATCTTCAAGCAACCGACCACGGCGATACAGCAGTCATCATTGGAACTGGATCGATCATCATCCGGTATCAAAGATTGCCCAGAATCCTTACAGGCATACCGAGAAGGTCCAGAACCAGCTATTCTTAGTGTTGATTTCTTACCAAGCTTCCTATCAGTAGTAAGCATCTACTGAATGGCTATGCACAAATCAGCTGTTTGTCAATGGGAGGTTGTGTCTATTCATATCCAGAGACGATGTCGTCAATGGTGCTCATGAGCCAAACCAGATCTTTATTCTTGCTGGCGGCCAGATGGCCATCAGTCGACTTGATCTTGTTTTGCATCGTTGTAGTTACGTTGCTCATGATTAGCTGAAACATAGCGACAGTGTTAGCCCGAAAAGCGTCCTTCGATCTTCATATTTGTCCATCAGCCGATCGTACGCTTTCACTTTTCTGGCATCTGCCTCTTCTGCAGCCGTCAATGGATCGGGCTCCTTTATCTTAGGCTCCGCGTTTTCTTCCAGAACGTAACCCACATCACCTCCGTCCGCCCACCTGATGATTACTTTGTCAGTCAAGCTTGTCAGGAAATCCTCCAGGTCTTGCTCTGTGCCATCTTCCTCGGGCGCCTTCAATTGTTTGAGCCCCTTTACTGTAGTCGATCTGTATCCCATAGAGCTCATGGCGATATCTGATCTTTTTTCTTCTTCCTTTTCTTTTTCAGTTTCCCACTTTCTTCAAGTTCTGTGGGATTCTCTTTATCGTTTGTGTTGCCGTCTTTACTGTGACAAACTTCCTTCCAAACGATTCGATTCATCCAATCGTTTCCTGCCCTTTCTTAGGCTTCTTTATCAATACTTTATCACCAATTTCCAAAGTGATGGGAAACTTCTTCTCTCGTTCCAGTTCGTTCGTTTTGCTTTCGTTGCTCCTCTCCTTGTCGAGGTCTATTATCAACTTCTTGACCCTTGACTCTATTTCTTTCAAGTCTTGAACAAGTTCTTCCTTGCTCTTCTTGGTCATGTACCGTTGACATGTAGCGATGTTGTTCAAAACGAGAAAATATATATATTCAATTTCGAAAACTCTTATGTTAGATAATAAAAGAACCCTACAATACTCTGAGACGATCAGTCTTCAGTTGTTCGGCGTAACGTAGTCCTAATACTATGAACCTTAAAGTCGTTAATAAAACTGGCCAAAGCAAACTCATGCTTTCGGTCATCCCAAAACTCTCTACGCAGTTTTAAACTACTGTAATTCAATCGTTCATCTTTCGAACAACATCTGCCCATGACTGGTTCTCCATACTCTCACGGTTGATGTATGACGGTTTAGACTTGTCACTATCTGACTCAGGGGAGTGAGTCATCTGTACGACTTCCAACAGCCGATAGCCACGTGGAGATGCAGGAAGGAACCAGTCATTTCGGATGTGTCACAACAGTTTGGAAAAGATTGCGGAAGTTACCAGTTTGCTGCAAAGCCTGTCGGAACCTTTGTCGCTCACAGACAAGTGCAATTGATAGAAGAGGACAACTATGATGACGATGACGATGATGAGGACTATTTCGTAGATTCTGATGATCAAGCAGAGGATGATTACGACGAAGAAGATTACGAAGAAGAGATGTACGACTAATGGCTTAGCTTCAAACCTGTAATATTGCAATATTTGATGACAACGGGTAAATGATTTGCATTGGTCTTCTTGCTGTTACAGACTCAGAGAATCCAGACACCGCCATTGTTGGAATGGATTGACAAAGGCATTAGCGGCACTGGCACCAGATATTGCAACGGCTGGAACGCCTTTGAAAAAGAAGAAGACTCTTCTGTCAGGCATCCAGTTTCACGATGGATTCATTCGCTGATAGCATTGAACTTACCAATTCCTGGAAAAATTCCATCACCCGCTAGCACAAAATTAGAAATTGGCGTACTGCCATCGTTCAAATAGTCTTCCGTGGCAGCACCATATGTTCCTCGAGGTCGTCTTAAGAAGCGTTCGTGAGTGAGCGGCGATCCAACCATATCCAGAACGACCCTTTCCCGAATGTCCGGTATTATGCTTTCCATGGCCCTCCAAAGAACTTTCGATCGCTTTTCCTTGAGCTGTTTATATTCAGGAGAGTTTCGCTCCATACCTTCCCAGACATGATAGGGTTCGTTGCCAGCACCATATGCATGAAGCACCATGTATCCCTCTGGAGCGAGCGTTTTGTCAATGACACAAGGATTGGACAAGGCAATCATGTTCAATTCTCCACAAGGGCCATCGGTCACACCCTCGATGGTGATGTTTTCATTCCCTCCCAGTCCTCGGTCCATGACAGTGTAGTGGGCCTCCATCTTGCTTAAATCCAATCCTTTGGCGTCGATAGCCACGTGGAGATGCAGGAAGGAACCAGTCATTTCGGACGTGTCACAATCGTACAGTAGACTCTCTCTTTCATCTTCTTCTTTCTTTGACTTGTCAAATACTGCTGATCTAGTTTTGTGGATAAATGATACACCCTCTCCAGAAGCCTCCCAGGTTTGTCTGGGGCTGCGGTCGCCCTTGTCATCTCCTAGGTAGTTGTCAATCTTGTTCTTTGCGGCGTCATCCTTCAACAAATTCCTCAGCGCCCAGAGCGGAGCGTTGCAAATGACACCTTCTTTGGCGATAACTTTCTGTCCCCCTCGCAAAGTCAACCCAGTGGCCATTGTTGCATCATCATTAAAGTCAATACTTTCGACATGGTTTCGCAGATTTAACTTGGAGCCAGTCTTTCCCTGCTCCAGTCCTCGCACTAGCGCATCAATTGCAGACCCCAACCCGCCCTTTGGATAGTCCAATGCCGCACCCTCCCGATGCATGTCATCCAACACAAATGCCATGGCTGCTGCTGCCGTCCGAGAGGATGGGAGTCCACTCAAAGAAAAGGCCAAGGCATCCAACCAATCTCGTAGCCATGGATCTTTTACTATAAACTTGGGTCCATCCATGTAGGGCTCAAATGTACCTGTCAATTCGGGACCTTGTTGAATGAGTTTCACCAGAGTTGGAAAGTATCGCAACAAGGGAACCAGCGCGGATGGACCTGGGCGCATTGCCATGATAGGAATGCTTTGTCCAGTTATCAAACCTTTGGTAGCTTCCCGAAGCGCTTCAAACTCTTCCAGCACATTGGGACCTCCAAACTCCTTCAAGGGTCCCTGTTGGAAAATATCCTCTCCCAACTCGCACTTCCACCGCTTTTCGTTTCCATTTTCCTTGCCTGGATTCTCGATCATTCCCCACCCATCATATCGAATCCAGTCCACCTTCTGGTTGACCGCATCTAGTACTTGTCGTAGCGCACTAAAGGGCTGCCGTGAACATCTGATGGAATGAATAGATGGATGGATGAAACAGTTCAAATTGGGACGAAAAGATGTGAGAATAGAATAGTTGAATATTCACATATTGTTACTGATGATCGATGTTGTTTCAAGTGAACACGACGGCCCCAAAATTTCAACGAATGTGCTTACCCCAGCAATATCGTTGGCCCAGAGTCAAAGGTAAACGTCTCGTCATTAGATGCTTTCCGATCAAACGCATGTGCACAACCTCCCGGCAAATAGTGAGATTCGTAAACCCCAACTTTCTTGCCATACAGTGTATTTAGAATGGCACCCGCACAAAGTCCTCCAATTCCAGCTCCAACAATGGCAATGTCCACCGTATCATCCTCCTTATTGGAACTGGTGGCGCTTTGTTGTTTCAGCATTGTGCTTCTTCGTCTGGTTGTGTCTGCAGTTCTTGTCGCGACGTTGTCATTCTGTATGAAGTTAATAATAATATTATTCTTGTTATTGTTATTATTTTTATTTCGCTGCGTTGGAAGAAAGGAATCTACTAGTGTTACCAGCAGCAACAATTGCCATAGAAGCCGATGATGCCTCATCATCATTGCTGATTATTGCCCGTTTCGTGTTGTTGTCGTGACGTCCATTGGTTCCAGCCCCCTCCCCTTTTATATTTTATTTCCAGGCCACATCCCCCAATAATGAATGCAACCGCATTCATTCAATCAATCTCGTAACGTAGTACCTACATTCAACATGTAAATGCACTCCCGAAGTTGCGGAGGACTTTGGTCACCGAACTTTTGTAAAATCACCGCAAACTCCATCTTTTTACAATATAAAAATATATAAAAGAGTAAAAGTGAGACTTGATCTTGGTTGAGTTTTCGCTAGCCTGGAATATTGTTTTTTTCCTGCGTGTTCTTGCTTGAGGGTTCTTGGTGGTCTTCTCGTCCCAAGAGGACGATGACGATGGCGATGAGTTCTATTACATATTCGTACAGTAGCAGGGGCGGGGAACCACCACACCAACACATTTCTGAAGCCTTTTGTCGCCACCTCTAAAATCGTTACGCTTCTTACAGTACAGTACACGTGTACCGGTATCATATCGTATTCCATCTACGACAGAAAACTCCCATTCCTCATTCCTCCATCACTACAAGCTTTTTCCATAGTAGTGCCGTTTTTGTGTTTCGCACTCCCAAGCTGTTTTCAAAGACTATGTACTGCATTTATTTTATTTTATTACAGTAGGTTTGGTACCGGTTACTGTGCACTGTCGGTACGATACCGTATTGGAAGAGGGTCGTGTCACGTTGCTGAAGAAGGAATTTTGTATAATATCATCACCCGTGCTAATGTCAGTTGTGTTCTTACGATTGAATTTGTGATTGAATTTGTGATTCATTGATTGATTCATTGATTGATTCATTGATTGATACACTGATTGATTCATTGATTGATTCATTGATTGATTCATTGATTGATCCTCCAAAAGCTCTTGACAGCGTTGTTTGAACGCACAGTAGTTATCATAAATACTCTCCCCTTCACAATACACCTTACAGGAACAGAACTGTTATACCTATTATAATACTATCTCCTATTATTCTACAAGTTGCAAGTTGGTATTACAAAAATAGGACTATATTGATACAGCACTTTCTATTTTATTAAAATAATCATTCTATTGTATTACAGTCAGTTTAGTGTACAACATCATCAGGAGTTGATATGTTCATAGCACAAAATTGAAAATTGTATGGCTGGCTGTCTGTCTGGCTGGCTATCTACACGGAGGTAGTTTCATCATCATCAGCCGAGTCATCCGTTTCGATCTCGTTTTCGTTTTCGTCTTCGGTTCACAAGGTGGAAGCCACTCGCCTTCGTACTCTTCGTGTAAAAGTCGAAGCAATCGCAGTAGCATCCGCCGTGACGACTCGTTTGCGCATGGCAAAGGGAAAGGCAGGTGGTGTGTTGGTCATTTCTGGAATCGAAGAGGCCATGGCTGGTTTGTAAACGTTACAATAATCGTGACAACCTTGCAGAAAGGCATTCTGCTGATTCCAGGCTGTGCATCGTTGAGAAATGGAAGCCACATGTTCCTCTCCCAATCCTCGTCTTGCAGCGCTAATCGTGCATCGAATGCTCATGAATTTGTGTTTTTGGCGGTCTGCTGTGCAATGTTCCAAGCCTCTCAGTTCTGGGTCTGCAACAGTCAGTCCAGATTGAGAAATGACTTGTTTCGCTTTCGATTTAAAGGTAATCAACTCCGTTCGATTGTACCAAAGCTCCTTGACTTCATCAAAGGGCAGGGGTCCCGCACTGGCTGCTTGAACTGTCGGAGAGAAGCATACTCGCTTTCCCGTTGTCGTCGTTGAGGTCGTCATCGTGGTTGTTGGCTTTGATGGTAAGAAGGCTTGCATAACATCCATGAATTCCTGCGTCGTTGGAATGTTGGTGGTGTTCATCACAAAAAAAGGGGTTTGGTGGGTGCGTTTTTGTGCCGAAGGTTGGTTGGAGGATCACACCAGGTTGTGTATTTTGTATCGTATTCCCACAAAAAATACAGTCGAGGGAGGCGCTGGCTGTGTGTCTGTGTGTCTGTGTGTATTCTTCGTGCTGTGCTGTGAGGGAGTTTTGCGCCGCTTTACACGATGGGTCATACATGCTCGTAGAAATCAAACCAGGAACAAGTACCACAGGTACGGCGTCGCAGCATTAAGTGCGATATGAATGAATCTGAATTGTCCAATCCACGTAGAGTTTGCAGTACCGGGCATTTGGAAGAGTAAATGCACCCTCTTCCGTGGTGGAATATTCTGAAATTACATAATGTCTGGCCTTGTTGTAGTCACATGAAAGTGTAACAGTTAAGAGTTACGAACCCTCCCAATTGTCCCAACCCGATATCTCGACAATGCTGGGTCCGATAGAAACAACCAATTTTAGAAATTGGCAACACGTCATATGCGCGCGGACGGAGTGTTTTTTCGTTTATATACTGAGATGGCAGGACCGAAACACACTTGCCGAAATAGAAGCTTCGAAATTAGTGTGCAACCTTAATTAAAATTGTCATCCGAGTTATGGTACCTTATATTGGTTCGACGAAGAATTACTGAAGTAAGTCCTGTAGCTTGCATAAATGTTTTGGGGACGTTCCTGCAGTGTTGCTAGCTGTACACGTACCGGTACACATACTGTACTGTAGTTTCTATCAAGCAATTGATCAGCTTGGGAAGGTTGTTGGAGAAGCAAGCTTTTTGTTTGTATTATTCCAATTGGGAACGATTGGATTGATTTTGATTGTGTCAATAATATAAGAGAAAGGCTCCAAGATAGATTCATTTTACAGGCCAACGCCGCACCAAAACACAACAGGTCAATACTGGCTGTAGTGCACTCTTTCTCAACATGTCCAAAGCGCGACCCATTCACACCATACACCGAGAGTTGGATGAAGCACCACATGAAGCGGAACCCAGCTTTTCGTATGAGCGGAACTCCTTTTTATTCACAGCGGAAGAGGCATTGGAAGATGAATTTCATCGCAAGCTGTCCGCCAACAACAACAGCAGTAACAACAATCCCCGGCCGCCCAAAAGCGAAATTACTACTTCCAATATTGGTGGTCCTTCTGTTCCCACCGCACCTTATCCATTGTCGAGTTTAAATTCTTCAAATGGCGGCGGCGGCGGCGGCGGTGGAGGAGGCGGTGGAGGAAGCGGTAGTGGCAGTTTCAGTCTAGCATCAAATGGTGGTGGTGGTGGTGGTGGTGGTGGAAATAATAACAATGGAGGAGGAGTCTCGTCGTTTTGGCGGACCAAGGGCTCGACACCCAATTCCTCTCCGGCCATGGGATCCATAAGTCGGCACAAGTCTCCAAGTGTCACTTTGAATCTGAGAAGGGAAGTATCCGAGTCGCTTTCTGTCAGTACCCATAGTACCAGCGGAAGGGCCAGTCGATCTTCCAACACGGATTACAGTGGACGAACCACGGATTACAGTGGACGGACCAGCATTCGGAGCATTAGCGGAGGAAACTCGAGTCGGGCCTCTGGTGGTGGAGGCGGTATTGGAGCAGCATTGTTATCATCACCACCGCAGCATCCGGATTCTCAACGATCCAGATCGGTTCCGACGCCAGACGATTTTGCGCATCATCCGGGTATGATCAAGCGATCCATATCGGCCTTGTCGCAAAACTCCAACAAGAAGAAGAATGCTACCAAAGCACGAGCCCAAGCTCGACGCATGAAGTATGATCAAATGCAGGGAATGGACATTGGGCACGATATAGTATCTGATATTGACGAGGACCAAAATGATGAGCGTTACGCACCACTTGGCGAGCGTTACGAACCACTCAAACATGATGAGCACGGCCCTATCACAATTGATCATAATGGTAGCAGTGATCATGGTACGTCGTTGATTTTTGGTCACATTGCCAGGCCTACGGAAGACAGCAATATTCGAAATTCTTCCATTGGTACTGCCACGTCTGCTGGAATGTCATCCCAAACGTCGGCGAGTGCGAGCATAGACTCGACGATAATAAACAGCCGGATGGACGGAAGCATAGGGAACAACAACAACCAGACCAACAACAGCTATCACAATGAAAGAAGTACGGGAACCAACAGCTATTACAATGAGAGAAGTTTAGGAGGGAGTACCAATGGAAATACGACGAGTGCAGGATCGAGCGTCTTGTTTGGCAAGTCGTCATCTCTCATTTTTCCAACCGGCGTGGATCCACCAGTCGATGTCCAAGAACGAGCCTACAACCACAAGAGACACAAAATTAATACCCTCTTGGATGCCTGCGACTCGATGAGATTTCCATTCAAAAAGAAACTCATCTTGAGCAACTTGGATTTGACTGCGGCAGATGTTCCAGTAAAGGACTTGTACAATACATCTCTGGGAAATAGCCTGCACAAATTGTCACTCTCTGGAAACCCACTGACGACGGTCCCGCCAAAGCTAGTCACCTGCCTGCCCGTCTTGAAAAACTTGGATTTGTCACAATGTGGATTGCATCAGATCCCAGATCAGTGGTATCTTCCCCAATTGAGGCAATTGAATTTGTCCCATAATCGATTGACCGACTTTCCAGAAGAAACCATGTTGGAAGGCCTACCGGAACTCCAGCAACTGAATATGTACGGAAATAAAGTATCGGATATTATTGTGCCACAAAACCCAAAATTGTTGTCCAAACTGGAACTGTTGAACTTGGGATATAATGATTTATCCTATTTGCCCGCAGACTTGGACAGTCTAAAGTCGCTGCGGACTTTAAAGGTGATGAATAACTTGCTAGAGTTGATTCCGATGCGGGTTTGCGATATGGAGCTCAAGTCGATCGATGTGTCAAGTAACCCTGTCGTCCAACCTCCAATTGAAACTTGCGAGCGTGGAATTGCCAGTATGAAGCGATATTACCACTGCCTGCGAATGGAAGATAAGTCCAAAGCTAAGCTACGCGATGCACAAGCATTGAGGAGCGCCAAGAAACAATCAAGGGGCAAGCGAGGATTTGGAATTGGGTCCCTCCCAAAGTTGCTGAAGTCTCCACCTTCATGTGGAATTGCCAAAAAGACACCCGATGATAGTTCCTCCGTGAGTCAGTCTTTCAGTGCGAAAATCAGCGCTCAACAACAGTTCGACAGCATTGGGCCGGTGACAGCACGCTCGGGCTCAGAAGGGATCCTACCCCGCAGCATCACATCGAAGAACGTGATTCGCTCCCTAAGTCTCGACCAGGCGGCAATTGATAAAAAGCAGGCAATGTCGTCAGGCGAGTTAAGTTGTGCCGAAGAACGTTCGTCTCTGGAATTTGGAGGGTCGTCACTAGGCCTGCAGGACGAAATTACCGTAAACGATACGCTTAAAGTTATTTTTGTGGGAATGGCAATGGTTGGAAAGACTTCCATGATCAAGCGATTCATTGAAGGAGAAGATGCGGTGATACCCAAAAGAGATGACAGAACCGTTGGAGTTGACATTTACGAATGGGACCCAAAGAATGACAAGCGTTACGAACATATCGATACTCGCATTGCCTTTGGCGACCAAGAGCTACAACAGGAGATGGGCGACACGAATGTGAAATTCAGTGTTTGGGATTTTGCTGGACAGCATGTTTACCACGCTACCCACCAGCTTTTCTTTTCACAGCGCGCATTGTACGTATTGGTGTGGGACATGGGAGCTACGAATGATGCTACGAAACAGCGAAAGACAGAACGTGATAATGACAAGGGAACATTCAGCTTGAGTTACGATTCCGATGAGGACTCGGAAGAAGACAACGATGGGCTGGGGCTATTTTCTGCTGAAGAAGAAGTTCGAAGAGCAGATAGAGCTCTAGAGAGAGATATAGACGAGAAAGTGCAATTTTGGGTCGACTGTATTCAGTCAAGTGCTCCGGGAGCTGCTATTCTTCCTGTTGCTAGCTTTGACGACTATTTTGATGCCGATGGAGGCCAAGAGGCCAGCCGACGCTGTGAGATCATGAAGCAGCGTTTGCTGAAACACGAAGAGAAGCGGATCCAAGGTATCAAGGATCGCCTCAAGAAGTATGTTGACAACAATCGAGCTCATGAAGAAGGAGCACAACGATTACGCAAGCTGCTATCGTCATACACACGTCCAAAGTTAATTTTTGGAAATGACGGAAAGAGCAGCGTGCTTCGTGTCAGTGGAACCAAGTTTACTGGATTTGAAAATCTAACGCAAAGAGTGATTGATATCGCAACAGGACGAGACAAGTGCAATATGCGATATCCAATCTTCAGAGGTCACGTTGGCGCTCGAATTCCTCACATGCGACTTGAAGTCAGAGATGCTGTGAGGCAAATGCGTGATCGTTTCAAGGTGGTCGAATGGGGTTATTTCCTGAATCAACTTCGAGAGCAAGGTCTATCGAATGTGGAGGACATCAGTGACGCACTCCATTTCTTGGCAAATATCGGAGAATTATCCTATTTTGGGACCATTTTGCCTGATGGCCAATACCCAGCAATAGGCGAGGATGTAGGGGTAAGTTCTTTGCCGTATTGACTTTTGCCGCCAATGCTGAATCTGACACTTTGTGTGTTGAGCAGCAAGCTTTAAGGCGGGCGTCGTATAATTCTATTAATCTAGTTGCGGAGAATGGTGATATGAGTGATGAAGACGACGACGATGACGAACCTCTCCTATCTATCGATGATACCACGTTCACAACAACATTGGCATCCACTGAGGATGCATCCATGACAACAGCTGCTGATTCAGTCGTCGGCGGGTTGTCTCAATTTGTCTTTCTCAATCCAAGATGGCTTGTTGCAGCGGTTGCTTGTATCTTGCGTCATGATTTGGACCAAGAGATTCATGAAGCAAAGCGTGTTTTGAACAAACAGCAGAAGATGGTGAACAGATCCAATAGTTTTTACGAAGCAAATTTGAACTGTCCAGTCATCACCGCCGATGACGCTTGCATGCTTTGGCAGGCCAAGAAATTCACGAAGAAAGCTGCCGAGAGAGCGTCGGAATACTCGAACAATATGACACTTAAGCCCTTTGAATTCCTCCAGCTGCTGCTAATTCGCTTCGGCGTTTTCGTTCCCATAGATCTCGGGATCGACAAGGCATATCTCGGAGGAAAGGAGTACTCTTTTTCTCATCTTGCTCATGACAATGATGACACACCTGCCGAGATAACTGTTTCCCAGCCAGATCACGATTTGAAGGCAAGGTACTTTTTTCTTCCTAGTCTTCTAGGACCTGGAGAACCAGCTGAAGCCTGGACATTCAAGTGCACTGATTCATGGAAAGCGACTCTTTGTCATTCAATATTATTCCCGGACGGTGTGCCTCCAGGACTAATGGAAAGGATTACAGCATCTGTGCTGAGCAACATCTACAGTATTTCTACTCTTAGCCAAACCAGAGGCCCACGTACAGCCCCACTAATCGGCGGGGGGAGGCTTGCAGTCAAGGAAGTACTCTGCTGGAGAACAGCATTTCTCGTGAAACTAGGGCTTCAAACAGTTTCATCATCCAGCGATGGTGCAGATCGGGTCAGCGAAAGTGTCGTCGAAGTATTCTGCGTTCTGGTCGATCGGGACTCTCACTTGTGCGTTGGCTCCGACTACATGTCTGTTGGCTCGCAAAGACTCATTATGAGTGCCAAAGGACAGGAAGGCAATGGGGGCCACAAAATCTGGAATGGTGGATATCTCTTGGTTGTCAAAGCTGTGCAGCGTGTGATGGAAGAGTACGGAGGTCTTGAGTTTGAGCGACAAGGATTCTGCCCTGACTGTCTTGCAAAGAAGGCGATCCATGACGCAAGATATTGGGACCTCACAGTCGTTCGGGCTGCAGTGAAGAATAGAGACTCTACCATAAGGTGCAAGCATGGTCACCGGGTGGATATTCGATTAGTCGCTGGGCCTCTAGATGTGCCTGCTATTCCAAGACCACTAGCCTCAGCTTTGGACGGGTCTGGAAGTGATCTTAAATTTCCTATCAATCATCTTTTGCGCGCAACAGTTGTTGTTGCGCTATGGAACAGCAAGACCAGACAAGTTGTAAGGTGCGGTTCTGGATTCATTGCTGACAAAAAGCGTGGATTAATTGTCACCGCAAGTCACACACTCATGAATATTTGGGGGGACAAGAATACACCGTTCGGAGAAGATTATGATGGCTTGAGAGACGGCAAAGCATTAATTGGTGTCATCACTAAGTCAAAGAGTGAAGAATCAAGTACTGAGGCGGTATTTCGATATTTCGCCAAAATTGTGAGCAAGGATCCGAATATTGAAAGAGGTGTTTGCCATTTGGATGCTTGCGTTCTTAGAATTACAACAAGAATGGAACGCGATGTATCAACAAGAATCGAAGAGTGTGCTGAGCTACCAGAAAGATTGCTTCTTGGAAACACTCACGCTATGAAGCAAGAGGGGCTGGCTCAATTGAAATTGACTAACAGATGTGAATTGGACGAACAAGTTAGAATCTTCGGTTACAATCAAGGGGGTGAGGGAGTTTTTGGACCGGGGGAAACGCTCAATCGCTACGTGGACTTCGCCCGTGGATATGTCTGCAAGAAATTTGCTGCAGGCGAAGGCAATGATAACGTGCGCCATCGTTTCAAACCACGAGAGGAAATTGTAGTACTTTGCCCCACTATTGGCGGCCACAGTGGTGGACCATGTGTGAACCAACAAGGTGAAGTCATCGGAATATTGAGCAGAGCAGATCCAGCTGAGAACCAGAGATGTTACTTGGTGCCCACCTATGAATGGAAAGCTCTTTTGAAAGAAGCCAAAAGAAAAGGTTGAACATTTGGGATAGAAGGTGTTATGAATATGAATATAGAAATGTTAATAGTGTGTCTGTGTGCTTTTCCTTTTCGCCTGGCATTCTTTACCCCGAGCCCATGCTGAAGAAAGAGGTTATTCACCGAGGACTGACATATCGATCAGACCCAACCATGTGGATCTGAGTAGCAAATGTCCTCTAAAAAGTGAAAATTTATAACTTGATCACTTCAATGCTCCTGTCGTTCATGCCTCCAGCAGACTCTTCATTTCGACGGATATCTTCAATCAAGTTGTCATAGCTATAAACGCTCGATACGGAAGGGGAAATTGGTCCATGAGAAGAGGACGAAGCTGACAATCGCAAAACGGCTTCGTCGAGCCCAGGCGGACCTTCATTCGAAGTCTTTGACGCATATGGATTTGGAAGATGGCGACCGTTTTCGATATCTCGCAAGTTAGCTAGAATTGCTTTTGCCTCCCGTCCGGCAGCATCGTCGTCCACAACACCATCTCGTATCTCCAAAGATATTTGCGGTCTGACATTTTTGGAAAAGTTTGTTCTGGAGCCAATAATGGAATCATTGACAATCATTTTCTTGGTGGTGTGATGTTTCTGTAGACGTAATTTCCACAGAACAACCATGAGCAGCCAGTATCCGGCATAAACGCCAATGCCAATGCCAAGAAACGCAATTTCCCCTTCCTTCATATAATCATTTGCGATAGCCGAGTAAATCACACCGCTTGATATAGTCAGCACCCATGTTGATACGGGAATCAATGGATTGTAGTTTGTCAAGATGTTTTTGCGACCAGATGTCCCCCAGCTCTTCTTTCCAATCGTCAAAATCGCAAAAAGTTTCGAAGGTAACAGCGAGCTCACGTAAAGAGAGGAGTATAGACTTGTGAAAATCATGACAGGATCTCTTCGAACTAGACTTGCAAAGAGGCCCTTGAGAAGGCCGACCAGCTGGATGATGATAAGAAGATGAATTAGCACCCAGAGCTCTCCCGACCATGTGATTCTGATCATCGTGTACATGATTAAGAATGGGAAAGCGCCTGAAAAAATTGCTTCGCACGCCATCCACAAATGATGTTTGTGCCACCACATACTATTGAACAACCATTCACGGTAGTAGCTTTTTGTCCATCTGATTTGTTGAGACAACCAGCGCAAATATGTTGACGGTGTTTCTGTCTTGCAGAATGATCGTTGTGTGTACTTTGTGGCGTAGCCCATCTGCAGAATTCGGTTGGTCAGATGTCTATCGTCACCAAACGTGCAAACTAAAAGCGAGAAATTACGATACAGAATAAGCTGATGAAGAAATGAATGAAAAGAAGATGACCAAGAAATACGCAACATACCATGGCCAAGAAACCTTTGATCAGACCACAAGTCGACAATCTTGTTAATCAAAGACATGCGGTAAAGCCCAATTGGTCCAGAGATGCAAGAAACGCAACCGAAATAACTTTGGCACGCTCGCTCGATGTTGAATGCCATCCAATAGCGGAGACTACTCAAGAAGGACACAAAGGAGTCACCCGAATTCCAAATTCTAACATCCCCGCCAACAGCTCCAGTATTTGGTTGAGAATCTAGAATCCATGCAAGCTCGACCATAGCCCTTGAATCTAGCTGAGTATCGGAGTCACAAACCTGAACATAGTCAGCTTTTTCTTTCAGTACTTTGAACGCGGTGTACATCACTTCGCGCTTTCCACCCCATTTTTGCATCAGACATACAAATTGATTCATTTCGATGCATTCGTTCAGAGTGCTCACTCCATTATCACTGTCATTAAGACCCTCTGGGAGCTCGTGAAAGTTGTAGTCCCATCGGAAGAATGCCGGGTCATGGCCGTTGCCTCTGACTACATCGTTGAAAATCTGGGCCATATATACTGAATCTGCTTCATTTCCATCGATACAGCAGATGACCTTGAATTTGTCGCGGGGATACTTCATATTCATTGCCCCCATTAGGCACTCACGAAAATAATGAGGGTCTTCTTGATATGCTGAGATTTGGAGTGCAATCGTCTTCGTTGCCGTTTCCTCATAGTTTGTGGGTGGAGCTTGCTTTTCAACCCGCCTATTTTCGAGAGATGCAAAAATCGATTCAATTGCCAAGTACATGAGGAGACCAGCGCCATATACTCCAAAGGAAAATCTTCCGTTCTCCGCTTCCAAGAGGCGTATTCCAATGTCGTAGGAGTATATCATTCCGATGAGAGCACCACAGCCACAGAACAAAGTAATCACTAGACGAAAGAGCCAATATAGCTTTGTATGCCGGTATCCCCCGTGTAATATCTGACATTCTGGTGGGGCCAAGTCCTTGAGCTCTTGCCTGTTTTTATGTTTCTTCTTTCCTGGCGGAGGCCCGCTTCCGTAGCCGGCGTATCCATACTTGGTGCTATTGTATTGGTTAGAATCAATTGACCAATCTGTATCTGAGACTGTCCCCACTGTACTTTCTGCGTCCGCTACCTCGTCCATGCGGCCATCCATTATTGGTGGTTGGTGCGAGTTGGAGAGCGGCAATGGGTCAATCGGTCCACTGTTCGACACCTCTTCATTGACGTTTGCAGGAAACTTCTCAATGCAGTCAATTGCTTTATTCTCCTCGGCAATGCTTTCCTCTCGTTTCATGGATTCAGGACTTGTCGTAGCTTTCTTCTTGAATGCATTATTATCATCGGCAAAGTCAATTCGTGGAGATGACTCGCTGATGGAATGCATGCTGGGTGTTTTTTCACTGAAAAGGGATTTATCACTGAACAGAGACCACACAGAACTCGTTGGTGATTCGGCTCGCTTTCGTTCTCTCCGACTCGACACCACGCTCGAAAATCCACTGGGAGAAGATGGTCTCGCAACATCATTCTTTTTGTTTGAAACAACAACCGTGCTTTCACCGGAACGGTACGTGAATACTGATTTTGAGTCCAACGACCGCGAGGTGGTGAAGTGGATAGAGTCCTGAAATCCAGGGGGGGTTTTGATTTCTACTTTCTTAGTAATGATACCCGATCCAGATTTCTTTCGAGGGCTCCCTGCATTCTTTTGTGAAGATTGCGATGACTTTGACTTCCCTTCCATTTGGCGTCGCAAGGCCTCATCGGAGTCATCAGACAAGTCTAAATGTATTTCCATAGTACCTTTGACAAGTTCTGAAAGCTGAAGGCACTGCTCCTGGGATGGCTTTCTGTCCTGCTGGTTCGACAGAGAGGTATGTAGGTAGTTGATGATCAAGCGATTCCTTGTCGTGCCAGCATGCGACTAACGGTCATGTCGGACACGCGTGGCAAAAGCTTTCTAGTCGAATGAATCCACTTGTTCTGTATCATTTCACTTTCATTTTACGTGATACCGGTATATGATATCACATCACGCCACCAAAGATACCAATGCTACTATTCTGATACTTACAATACGGCGCACGTAAATGACGGCTTGACGGCTTTCTTTATGAGGAACGATACTATCAAGAAGATTGTGCGCAGTTGTAAATTGAAATTGAGAGACGCGCCAACACAACATTGCTACTGCAGATATTTCCACACAGCTTCACGTCTCAAATGATATGTCTGCTTCAATCAAGTTGTCGAAAGCAAATATACCTGGACCCTTCGCGAAAGATGACATGAAGGTTCTCACAACACTTTGGATCACTGAGGGACGTATATTGTTTCAGCCACATTTTGGTGTGCAGCTCTAACTAGTATCAAAATGCAGCACGAGTGTATAGCCTAGACGTGACGCAGTTTCCAACAATCTCAGTCGTTATTCCCACCTCTGCACAAGCCAAAAAGAATACAAACCGAATTCCAGATTCTCGTTGGCTTTCGTCCACCGCACACCCACAGAAAGGCATCAAGTGTTTTTGTGATAGATTCTTGAAGTTTCCTCTCCACCCATCAATTCTACAGTGTCATTGAAGAAGGAAAGGTTGAATCACATACTACAGTGCCAATACCAGGTACTGATTGCGCACCCAGAAATATGGTGTCAGTCAACGAGGATGATGCGCTGCCCCGTGCGTCATATGTAGACACTGAGACTTTTGCCTGACTCAGTTCTTCTTTATCCATTGATCTCATTGGAACAACAGGAAGATTATCCACAGGCGGCATCATGAGGCCAGACGAAGACTTGTCTCTACTATTCACGACTCTAGATTGCTCCACAATAAGTTCTACATTGCTTCGTCTATTCCCTTCTTGAGCTTGGTCGGACTTGCCATTTTCCGGCTGATGTAGAGGGTAGACGAGGGCTCAAAATACTTGCGTCTTGGCTCGCCCCCGTCGTTGCATTATCACCATGATCATCGTCATGAACAGTTCCATTATTTCTCATCATACGCTCTCGCCCCCAACGTTGCTCTGCGAAAGCGTCGCGGCAACAGACTCGCATGGTTGTGCTTTCCTGATGGTTTCAGCGGCATGACATACAAATAATGCCGCGGATTTCTGGATCGATAAAATGATGGGAAGAAAATGTACCGCAACCTTTACCGCCACCACTTCGCCCGTCATCAAGACGAATGACAGAATTTCGCACTTTCGCACACATCCAGATGATATTATTTGGCTCCTGCATTTAGAACATCACCACTAGTAAAATAAAACCTTCCGTAATCTAGATACGTGTACGATTCTAGAATCTACCTTGCCAATGAGCACAGTGCTGCTGTCCCCATGATTACAATATCGGCTCCCAATCCAACCGGTACTATAAAATCAAGAGAATTCACCAGCTCGTCCTCTTTCGTTCAATTGATGAAAGAAGTCTAACATTGGATTGTCACCAGGAACATACAAGCTGGCATCCTTGCTATCTCCACTACCATCATATGTAACGATGGCATCATCGACATCTCCATCACGAAAGCTAATGTTAACACGGCCCATTTCGATACCTACGTCTTCCTCATCTCCATCAAATCGTGGATGCAACCATATTGCGTGCTTGGCCTCTTCTCCCAAACAGGCATTTTCCACGTTGACTTCTAGTTCTTCCTCAAAGTCGAAGTCTTTGGGCAATTTCTTGGAGAGAACTGGATGTGTGTCCACGAATTTGATAACGTCCAAATCGTAGGCGGCTTGGACATTGAGCATGGTCAAGCGGGGGGCGTACAATTCCAAATACTCCAAACACTCGGCTCGATGCAAGCGGATATTGTCAAGTTCGTTGGAAGCGAACTTGAGATAGGGCACTCGCAACTTGTAAGAATCAAAGGATTCCAACTTGGTAGCATGGGCCAACATGGTATTGACCCAGTCGGGATTACCAAAACCCCAATAGTGACAGGTAAAGTCTTTTAGTTCGGGGCATTTTATGACGAAATCAGGGTCGTCGTCTTGAGTAGGGTTTTGCATAGAGATGATTTTCACCTTGGGAGTGAGTTCGGGCGTCAAATGAATTTGTTTCATGCTGACATCTTCCAATTGAAATTCAATCAAATTCGGCAACTTGATGTTCAGACAGGGGGCATACTCCTCCGTGTAAAAGCCATCCGAGCAAATTCGCAAGACAGTGACTTCTTCATTGCCATCCAAAGCATCAATCTTCTCTTGCATGTCATCATTTGCGGTAATGACCACCAAATCCTTCTTGATGCGACGGTCTCCCAAACGTTCGGCCGGAAGAAGGGTATGAAATCCTTCAAAGCACCACTTGGGGCCCTGGGTAATCTTGGTTTCAGATTTGGCGGAAAGACCAGATCCAGTTCGTCGATAACTATAATTGCAAGCCTGGCACATTAGAGCCAATGTCACCCCATCCCCACCATAACAGGACCCGCAGCTTTGCTGCAAGTGTTCGGGATGAGGAACTCGGCAACCCATCAAGACTGGATTTCCATGTCCATCATCTTCAACCGTCTCCAAGCAACGAGTGCACTTATCACCGACTTCAAGGTTCCGATCGACAAAGACTGGTTTGCCACAGGTTTTCTTGTGAAGTTTCCAATGCTGCTTTTGGCAGTCTCGAGAACAATATTTCATCGTCTTGCATTTTCCACAAACAAGGCTGGATGATTTGGCGCAAATGACACAGGCTTTGGGATCTGTTTTGGGCATACTGTCGAAAGGTGAGTAGTCTATTGGTTTAGGAGACTGCTGGTATTGCATCACGAACCAATGGTGAGGAGCGACACGCAATTTGCAGAAACTATAAAGTATGAAAATATATGCGGCAGCCTCGAAAAATGTGTCAAAAAAATGCTGCCAAAAAAATTCCGCGCCAATTTCAATTCAAATATAAATGATTTCGACCACTCCGAATTAAATCACGGTCGCAAAGAATGAAACATGATGAGGGTCATAGAATAATAACCTTCAGCCTTTTATTTACGTAAAATACTATTAATACCTGTACGATTCTAGATTCTACCTCGCCACAACTCGTTGTTGGCGTCAACGAGCTCAAAAAGAATGAATCCTTCCGTCGAGATGAAAATATAATAATGCCTTTCAATCCACACCGGACGACGCCACTAGTACGTGTACCCTCTAATAACATCAATAGAATCCACCACCGCTGTGAAATTGATGAAACATGGCTTCCATGGAAGCCATGGGATTGCCACCACCACCAAATCCACCAAAGCCGTCATCACTATCATCGTCATCCAAGCCTCCATAAAATCGTGGATGATGCTCAATTGCGTGCCTAGCTTCTCCTCCCAAACAGGCGTTGACCGTATTGACTTCGAGTTCCCGATTGAATCGAAAGTTTTTGGGCAGTTTTTTGGAAAGAACTGGATGTGTGTCCACAAATTTGATAACGTCCAAATCGTAGGCGGCTTGGACATTGAGCATGGTCAATCGAGGGGCATACAATTCCAAATACTCCAAGCACTCGGCTCGATGCAAGCGGATATTGTCTAGTTTGTTGGAAGCAAACATGAGATAGTCAACTCGCAACTTGTAAGAATCAAAGGATTCCAACTTGGTAGCATGGGCCAGCATGGTATTGACCCAGTCGGAATTTCCCGGACCCCAGTAGTGACAGGAAAACCTTTTTAGTTCGGAGCATTCAATGACAAAATCGGGGTCTTCACATTGGGTAGGGTTTTGCATGGAGATGATTTTCACCTTGGGAGTGAGATCGGGTGTCAAAACAATTTGATCCATGCTGACATCTTCCAATTGAAATTCAATCAAATTCGGCAACTTGATGTTCAGAGAGGGGGCGTACTCCTCCGTGTAAAGGCCATCCGAGCAAATTCGCAAGACCGTAATCTCTTCATTGCCATCCAAAGCATCAATCTCCTCTTGCATGTCTTCATTTGCGGTAATGACCACCAAATCTTTCTTGACACGGCGGTCTCCCAAACGTTCCGCTGGAAGAAGGGTATGAGATCCTTCGAAACACCACTTGGGGCCCTGGGTAATCCTGGTTTCAGATATGGGGGCATCACCAGATCCAGTTCGTCGATAACTATAATTGCAAGCCTGGCACATTAGACTCAATTGCATTCCACCGCCACCATAACAGGATCCGCAATTCTGTTGCAAGTGTTCGGGATGAGGAACTCGACAACCCATCAAGACTGGATTTCCATGTCCATCATCTTCAACCGTCTCCAAACAACGAGTGCACTTATCACCGACTTCAAGGGGCCGATCGACAAAGACTGGTTTGCCACAGGTTTTCTTGTGAAGTTTCCAATGCTGCTTTTGGCAGTCTCGAGAGCAATAATTCATAACCTTGCATTTTCCACAAACATGGTTCGATGATTTGGCGCAAATGACACAGGCTTTGGGATCTGTTTTGGGCATACTGTCGAAAGGTGGATAGTCTTATGTTGTTGTATCGGGAGTGTGAGGAGTACAATTTTTGTGTCTATCAGAAGCTATATTTTTCTGTAGGATGCAGATATAGATGTACGTGTACCTCCTGTACGAACCTGGTTCAACCCAGCGTGTCAAACAAACAAAAAATACCGCGCCAAAATCATTTCGACCACTCCGACTTTTAAAAAAAGCATCATGGCGCCGGTAGATTTTGTCACCTTCGAAGCAGAGCCATCATTACACTCTTCAAGATTTCAAGCAATTGCTTGGAAATGAACCACTTTCGAGGCCAAGATGATTAGTTTTTGTCCTTGTACCTATCGTCAATCCAGGCATACCTCTCCCGTACATGGTTTACTACATGAATGATGTTTTTTTCAGGCAGTACTAATAATTCTGCTTGTAGTTTTTAATCCATGTTGGTACTGATGCTTTCTTTCGGTGAGACGTTTGTTGCAAATGTTTGACACACACGGTATGGTACGAATCAAGTTCCAATGCCAAGTTTGAAGTTGCTGGGGGAAATTTAATTTGAAAAAATAAACAGGGAGAGAAAGGCAAAGGGGGCGAACAATTTTTACTCGTCGTGCGTGTGTCGTACGTGCTTATTCTAATCGCGCGCACCAAACGCGCGTCAAAAAGGATTCTTTTTTTCGCGATGACCTGGAACCACGCTCGAATCGAATCGTGTGTGTCGATTACGTAGGCACGTGGTAGGTGTTTGCACGTACACGTCAGAATTTCGCTCACCACTCTCAACTCCGCGTCCGATCGAATTCGAATTGAAATTCTCATCGTCCAAAAGTTCTTGCAAGTTGTTGGAAGAATCGCACACCACACACGGGCAGGATACACAAGCACGAGGTCGTTTGAGGCAATCCGATTCTTTAGCAATCGATTTATATATTTTTACTAATACCGGTACCGGTACAAACACTCACTGGAAACAGAAGTGTCAGTGAACAACATGTCGACAATGCTCCTCAACTCTTCGTTGGTCTTTCCAACGTCTTCTGCGTTGCAACAACAGCAGCTTCGAGGTGTGCCCAACCGTCATGGATCGCTGGTGGTTCCATACTCGACGAGTTCTTCCTTGTACAAGTCTGCCTTGCCATCCACGAATGCTGGTGCATCAAAGGCAGTCCAAGGATCATCCAGTCAGCATCAGCACATTCAGATGGCAAAGAAGACAGCCAGAGCATTGCTCAGCACCGTCTCGGATTCGTCCAAGCTTGCTGGCAAATCATCATCCACCACCACCACCAATGCTACCATCAAACGATCCAAAGCCAGTGCGGCCATGTCGAATGCTGTCAATGCTTACATTCCATCCTCATCTTCCAAAGCCATCCCCAAGTTGATGCACGCCAGTCTTCCACTTCAAATTGGCATTGGCATGGCCTCGGCCTGCTATTGGCGAGGCATGTGGTATGTCTTGGACGATCAATTGTATCCACAAGACCAAGCCAAATCGGCCATTGCGAGTCTAGCCGCGGGCAGTGTGGGACTGGCAGCCTCTCAAGCCTACTTGTTTGATCCTGGCTGCCACGAATTCAAATGGCCCAAGACGGCGACCATGTGCAAGGGTACCGAAGCCAAGAAATGGTTGGCCCTATATGGACTTACCACCTCGTGCATTTTGATTTGGAGAGGTGCGTGGGTGGGTTGCGATGTGGTGTACGAAAGTATTACCAATGAATCGGCCCTGGATCCCAAGCATTTGACCATTTCGGGATTGGCCAGTCATGGAATTGCCTTGGTGGGTCTCCTTGCCATGGGACGTCTCTCGAGTACCCTAGGGCCTCCCTACCATGGGACGCTTGTCATGAAGGATGAGGACAAGTTGAATACCAAAAACAAGAACTTGAAGCGGAACATGGCACGAACGGCAGGGCGTTCGTCGCGAATGTCCATGGTCTTGCCTCTGGTAGGAGAGGGATACGGCAAGTTGCGCCAAATGCTCCCAAAGAAATGAATGATGATTTTCATGATATTATATATATACGAACCCAATTTTGAACAGTTTTGATGACTAAAAATTTTAAAAATGCTATGCTATTATTGAATAATGCAGTACCTATTTTATGGATTCACTAGTACAGTACCCTATATTCAATATACACAATCTCACCATCGACATGGTTGCCTACTATTGGAAAGGAGGTAGGCAGGACATATGGAATGATATTGATTCTACTTGAGTGCTATTACATGTGTGTGACTTGTATTCTTCTTCTTCTTCTACTACTCGTTTTTTTTTGTTTTTTGACATGACAGTATTAGAATGGAACAAAGGGCTTGTCAAAGATATCCTTGGCCTTGCCCATGGTACCGTGAGCCACCATGGATCCCAAGGCTTCCACGACAATGCGAAGCGCCATAAGAGAGGTGATGTCGGCATGGTCATAGGGGGGAGAGACTTCCACCACTTCCATGCCACACAATCCTTCGGCCGCTACCAAACCAACTAGTTTCAGAGCTTCGCGAGGAAGCAAACCACCAGGTTCGGGCCAACCAGTTCCAGGCACAAAGGCAGCTTCAATCGAGTCAATGTCATAACTCAAATAGACGGCATCACAACCATCCCAAGCTCTCTCCAAGGCCATTTCAGCAACCTTCTCAATACCCATTACTTCAACGTCGTCCATGGTAAAAATGTTGGTGTTGCGTTCCACCATGTTGGGGACTGCAGCCCGAGGCACTTGCCAACCACCAATGCCAATTTGGACCAAGTTTTCGGGACGGACATTGGGCAAATTGGTGGCATGAAAGTAGGGAGTGGTGTGCATGCGTTCGTCCAAATCCTTTTCTTGAATGTCGGCGTGTCGATCCACATGAATAATGCCAATGCGCTTGGAGGTCACCGACGCCAATCCACGGACGGTGGGGAATCCAATTGAGTGGTCGCCACCCAGAATGATGGGAAAGGTTCCAGTAGAAGCCACATGAGCAATCGCATTGGAGATTTGGTCAAAGGACTTTTCGAGATTGGCCGGAATGGTAAAGACATCACCCGCATCACAGAGTGTCATTTGTTCCCGAAGGTCAATTCCTCGTTCGTAGTTGTAAGGTGTGTACAAGGCAGAAATGCGGCGAATTCCTTGGGGTCCAAAGCGTGTTCCAGATCGGTAGGTGCAGCCACCATCAAAGGGAACGCCCACTACCGTGGCGTCGTAGTTGCCCACATCGTGAATGTTTTCTACGTAGGGTGCCTTCATGAAGGTATTGATTCCAGCAAAGTGGGGGAGTTCGCCACGGGAAAAGGTGGGAATGGTCTTGTCTTCAATGGAAGAAGCACCAGGGAGACCAATTTCCAATCCTCGCTTGACTTCGGCGTCATGGACGGTTGTGGGGAGTTCGGCTTCCTGCATAGTAGGAACAAGGTTGCATTTTCAATTTGGATTATTGCAAGGTCACGGCATTGTGGTGATGGAAGATCATCATAGTTTAGTACATACATGAGCGAGGAGAATACTGTGTTAGATACAAATTGAATGTGTGTTTGTGTGTGTGAAACAGGAATGACAACTTGAAAGATTTCCCATCATCGAGTCTTCTCCTAGCCATCAACTATAGTATAGTACGACGTACCTTCAAAGCTGCAGCCCATCCTTTGGTGGTCTGAGGATCAAATGGACTTGGATGATGGTAGCGAACTTGCTTCTTTGCAGATCTTCGAAGTAGAGTAGACGAAGCTTTGATGAGGTTGTTCATGGTTGGTTACACTTCTGTTACTTCTGTTACTGAGTATGACCGAGTGAGTGAGTGAGTGATTCCGATTTGAAACTGCGCAGTTCGGGCCTGCCTGACACAATCCATCAATCCAAAATCAAAAAAAAGATCCTCCTTGATGGGTTCGGCCATGTGCATTGTCGGTTGAGAACAGACCATAACCCTTCGCCAACTGACGCACGCACACAAACAACAAACTTCAGGAACTTCTTCACACTGCAGACATCCACATTATTTTCCACTGAATACATATTAGTAGTACCACTGCAGACGCTTGCAGGGTGTATACGTAGGTTCCATGATCGCATGAGAGTGAACGCAGTCGAAAGAGAGTGGCTTCAGAGTGACGAACCTTCAGTACACAAAACCTCTATGTGTGCTTCGTCTGAGAGCAGAATATTCCCCACCAAGAACGAATGAAAAATGACAATACGAAGCCTCTTAAGTGGACATCATCTGTCTTACTAAAGACTTTCGCAACAAAATAAGAGACAGGCCGATTTATCGTTTGTGTAAACCATAGTAGGGTCAGTACACAGATCATCCCAGAACTCATTTTTCGGACACCGTGGATGGTCTGGGGAGGTGCAATCATTAAGTATTCTTGGCAACGTCGCATTTCGGAGGCATGAAGTTCCCAAATCAACAGCGGAACTTCTTATCAATTTCGGTTGACGATTTTTCCGTTCGGGACCACCTGGTATCTTTTTTACGTAGGTACCAAAAGGATTTCCAATTTGCTTCCATCATAATTTTCGGATTCTTCCATTCTCTGTTGTCATCACCGGAAGATATCTACAAAATATGTCGTCGAGTTCATCGTCTGCTGTATTGGGAACCCTCATTGCCTTGGCAGGCCTGTTGCCACAAGTTGCCAGTCAGTGCATTGGTGACGAGACCATCAACACTCAGTTTGCTGAGATCTTTTCCAATGGAACCTCGACGACTTACGAAGTCGCCGAAGGAAGTTGCTGTCAAGAAACCATTTGCGCCATTCCATGCCCTGAAGTCGTCGATCCTCCTGAAAAAGGTAAGCTAATGTGATGTGCGCTTTGCATCTGATGTTTTTATCGATATTGATACCTTATTGATATTACTACACATTGTACTGACGCATACTGCATCCTTTTACTTTTTTCTCCAATTATGATCTTAAATTCTGACGTGGAACAACACGATCACATTGCAATCAAAATTCAGTGTTTGGAATTGTCGTCATTTCCTTTATTGCCTTGACGGTACTTGTTGGATTCGCAACCGTTCTTTGCGTCAAGGGAAAGTCCGAGAACTACTTTGTGGCCGGCCGCACCTTGCCCCTAGGAGTCGTCGTCGCCACTTTGGCGTCGCAATCCTTGGATTCGAACGCCATCCTCGGTAATGTCGATCTCAGTTACAAGTACCACTTTTTTGATGGTGCCTGTTTGCCCATTGGACTTGGAATTTCCTTGTTGTTGAATGGTGCCTTTTTGGCTAGACACATCAACAACGATGGTGCCTTGACACTTCCTGATGTCTATGCCCGTCGTTACGGAAGGGTCGTCGAAGTCATGGTATCCATCTGTACCATCATTTCCTTTCTCTGCTTGTTGGGCGGAAACTTGGTCGGATTGGGTGCCATTCTCAACTACTTGTTGGACTTTGGTGCTGAAGAAGCCATCTGGTTGTCCGCCGCCTTGGTCTTGCTCTACACCATTGCCGGTGGTCTTTTTTCGGTTGCTTACACCGATGTCATGCAAGCCGGTGTCGGATGGTTGGGTGCCCTTTCGTTTGCCTTTTGGATGATCAAAAACTCCGAATTCGACGCGCCCCCACCGTCCATTGGATACCCCGGATACTCCTACCCCAACGACGAAATCTGCGACTTGTACGAAGGTGTCCCCTGTACTAACCTGGAGGGCGCTTGCTGCTACAACGAAGCCAAATGGTGTCCTTCTGCCGACGACTGCAAGGTTGACAATGGTGCTTACCCCATTGGTGACCTTCGCGTCATCCCTGAAGCCATGACCGATGCACAAGGATTGACCCCCTTCCCCAACGCAATCCTTTTCAACTGGGCCACCATCTTTGTCCTTGGATTTGGAAATCTTGCCGCTTTGGACTTTCAAGCGCGTTGCATGGCCTCCAAGGACGGAAAGACTGCCACCCTCGGATGTTTCATTGCCGGAGTACTCACGTTTATCATCGGAATTCCATTTGCCTACATGGGTGCCATCACCCGTGTCTTCTATGGACCCGACAGTGCTCGCGCCGCATTTGAAACTGATGTAAGTTTGACAATTGTTTTTATGAGGAGTGGTCAATTCTCGCAATTTGGTTCATCTTTCTCAATTTTGCCATCGTGCTTATTCGTTGACCACAGACTTGCTCTGAAATTCTTGCCCTCCCAACTTGCGGTTTGTGGCTTCCAGATTCCGAAGCATTTATCAAGCTTTTGACTCACGAGGCACCCACATTTTTGGGAGCCTGGTGTCTTGTTGCCATTGTTGCTGCTTCCATGTCCACTTGTGATGGTGCCATTCTTGCCATGGGTACCGTCTTCTCCCACAATATCATGAGAAACTTTGGTAACTGCATCAGCAACGACAACTTGTTGACCATTGCTCGTTTTGCCAGTATTCCATTGACTGCCATTTCGGCCACCATTGCCGCATACTACAAGTCCAGTCACTCTCTTGGTGCCACCGGTTACTTGTTGATTGTGGCGTTCGACGTGGTTCTTGCTTCTGTTGTGGTTCCACTATTCGGATGCTTCTACACCAAGAAACCCAGTCCTCTTGCTGCTTTGTGTTCCATCATTGCTGGTATCCTCACCCGTATCATCTTGGAATTCACTCTTCCCAAGGATGGGTTCTTGCTTGCACCCTTTGATGGCGACGAATTCCTAAACTACGGAACGGCTGCTTCTTCTGGTGTCCCACCATTCTGGGATTTCCCAGAATCTGATCGATGGGATCCTTCGGCCGAGCAATGTGTCCAAGAACGTTACTCCGATCTATCCGGAGCGGATTCTCTTGCCGCACCATTGGTTGGCTTGATTGTCTTTGTCCTTGTCCAATTCCTTGAACGCAATGGCCCAATCATTGAATTCGCTGAGGGCGGTTTGATGTCTCCCTACATGAAGGAGGGACAAGGCCTCGACCTTGAGGAAGAACCTGCCAAGGAAGTCGATTCCGCCGAACCCGAGTCCGCGGAAAAGGAGTCCGACGATGCTTAATTGAATGAGTTGACCAGATGGATACACATCGCTACCACTTCTGCTTTTCCCATGCTACAATTTGATTTTTTTCGCGGCATGGAGTTTCAATCAGAACACTCAATAGCTTTTGAGATATACATGTTAATAATTTTAAGAAATATTTGGTTTTGTTTCCCTAGAGTGTCTCCTTATTGTCCTCGTTTTCACGCCTTTCTTTTTTTGTATTCAAATGAACCCGTACTTTGTCACGTAATGACTACAACGATTGCTCACGTGTGGAAAACCGTTTAGAGAAAACGATCCAACAACCAGAAGTCGTTTGGCATTACCTCTCAACTTGTGCATTCTTACAAGCAGGAGACAGACTTGTGTCCATAGGATCTTGCTACCTTTCTAGTTCACTGATTTCTGAGCGAAATACATTGAAGCCAATAGCTGGAGGAAAGACGAGTTAGTCAGTCAGTCATCTCAGTTTCAATATCGTGTCGCAGGAGATATCAACAGGATCAGACTTCAACAAATTGAGACCCGTTCCATTCATATTCTTTCAGCTCGTCCGATTCATCCTTAAGAATTATAATACCATTACTAGCTGAAAGAAAGCATCCTTTGATTTCAATCAGTACTACAAATCACGTCAACGCATATCAATCACACCGATAATGGCTGAACGAACTCGTGGCACAGCAGGAGCGGCAGCTACAGATCCTCCCCAGGAAGAGAGTTTGTACCAGGAGATGTTGAGATATCAAAACGAAAACAATATTGAAGATGAAAATGATACGCTGGGCTCTAAGTCACGGCGAAAAAAGAAAGCCTCCAGATCCAAGTCGCCTACACCTCGAGCACCCGTAGATGACACTCCAGGGAGCAGTGGAGACAGAAAGCCAGCTGCAAGATCCACACCCACGAGTGGTCGGAGGAAGCATCCAACTTCTTCGGGAAGAAGGTCGCCAATGAATACATCGCCAACGACGTCGTCTGACAATAGGAAGAAGCCTGGAATCGTATCAGTGGATCAACCCGCCATCCATCCTAACTCGGCCATGTACCGTGCAGCATACAATATTCCGGCGCCAACCCCAGCTCCTACTCCTTCCAACAGCCACAGTCATAGCCACAGCGGGAGTGTAGCAGAGGCGACACCCATCCGTCTGAGTGGTCCCGGCCCTGTGGATACTTCTACAAATGGAAGATCCCGATCTCCAACGAGGCCAAATACTGAGGATTCTGGTGTCATCGATGCCCTCTGTGTTTCTGCTGATAATCCAACATCCCGAGCAACAGCCGTGTCACCGATGGGTCCCACTTCCAGAGCACCAAGAGTCTCACCGATGGATCCGATGAGTGGTTCGCAGCACAATCCAATGTTTTTTGCCAGCGTCGATGATATGGGAACAAGTAGTCACACCACCGCCACCTACAACAAGAAGTCCAGGAGTAAATCTCCGAAATTGGATCCACTTGGTCTCTCTTCCCACAAGAAGTCGAGGAATAAGGCTCCGTGCTTGAACAGTCTTGACAACACCAGTTTTGAAATGGATACTCAGAGTAAAAAGTCATCAAAGTCCAGGAGTAAATCGCCAAAGCTATTTGGGCGTAGTCAAAAGAAAAAGGAGTCGGACGATGCCGTTGCTCCGAAAATGAATCAACCTTCTGTGATACCACCCGAGGAAGAAATGGGAATCCCGACACCGGGTTTGCCTGTGTTTTCGAGCAAAACCAAGAATAAACCAACCCCCATAAGAGCTTCTCCTAGAACCGACCGCAGCCCACATAGAAAATCCCCAGACCAAAAAGTCGACAAGAAGAGGGCACCGTCACCCAAACCCCCTCCTCCAAGACCAGGTGTGGTGGGTAGAGCTGCCACAACTGGCAGTGAATCAGGACCGATTCTTCACGCACGAGACAGGTGGCAACTCGACAATGTTTCGCCCCCTCAAGACTGGCAGCGCGACAATGTGTCGCCGACTTCTTCCGGGCACAGTCGTTCGACACACAACAGTCGTTCCGGCCACAACCGTTCCGGCCACAATCGTGGTTCAAGCCACAATCGTTCCACAGATACTAACAATAGTCGACCACCAGCACCCGAGCATATCGCAAGAGCTATCAGCGACCAATCGACACAGAGACCGAAACCAAAGACGGCCCCTAGGCCACAGCGCCGAACCAGCACTTCACAAGAGCAAATGGACGCTGATTTGCTGCTGGCCCTCCAACTGTCAGAGCAAGACGCACAAGGAGGTTCCTCCTCTTCCTCGAAACCTGCTGCTGGAGCTGGTGCAACTTCACCGAAAGCATCACCTACTAGTGCTGCCGCTCGAGGGCCTTTCCCGAAACGCTCACCCCCAGCAGCAGCAGCTCGGGCACCATCACCAAGATCATCTCCTACCAGTGCCAAGGCGGCTCCCACACCACCACCATCGGCAAGCAAAGCTGCGGCAAAGAATGTTGGTCTTGGGGACCATTTCGCCTTGAAAAGTTCGTTTGCGGAGGATGCGGCCAAGAAGGTGGTGGCAGATGACGAAAGCAGTCTTGCCGATATGCTTTTGGCATTGAAGCTATCCGCCGAAGAAGAAGCAGCAAAACGAAGGGGCGACCAGACAAGAGGAGGAGGAGGACCTCGTTCGAATCTTTCGGGACAGAGATCGACCTCTATTCGAGAATTGCTTCAATTGGAAGCCAACGACAAGCGCAAGAAGAAGGACGACGACGACGACGACGACGAATCATCCTCTGTGATGGATCTAGTGGCTGCTGGAATATCTGCCAAAAGAGGCGACAAGAATGAACAGAGGCGAATGTATGAAAGAATAAGGGAAGAAGAAGAGCGACGACAATTCGAACTGGCATTGAAGGCCTCTGAGGAAGCTGGTACTGTTACTGTTACTGTTACTGGTACTGGTGGTACTGTTCCATCATCAAAGAAGGCTCCTCCTCCATCATCATCATCATCACAAGGAGATGATCAAGTGGACGATGATCTCAAGATGGCTCTTGAATTTCTATCAAGAGATGACCCCAATTACCGCAGTGCTGGTAATGAGTTGGAAGGGGATGACGATTTCATGTTGCAACAGCAACGAGCCATGGAAGAATTTGCGAAAAAGAAGGATCCTCCAAAACCTTTGGATCACGAACGAGGCCGCAATTCGTTGGTGGAACGGGGCACGGCCGAGACCCATCGGGCCATTAGTGCCGGCAAAGCACACGTGGTTACTTGCCGTGGCTGTCAATCCAGTCTTCAAGCACCCGTGGCATATTCTCTGGTCTTTTGTCCCAACTGTCAGACCGTATCTCCGACTGGAGTGTAAACTAATAGTGACACTAGTATAATAGAATACTAATAATGATAAAATACTACAACTGAAAAGAACTACAACACCACAATAACACCACCCCATTACTACTGATGACTGTTTCAAATTACACCTTACAGTCGTTTTTATATGCTGTTTTCCTTTTTTATTAATATTGCGTTATGTTTATTTCATCTTGTCGGCATTGGAGTTGGGTCCGACCTTCTTGCCTCCCATTCCAGTGACAACATTGACATAGCGACGGTTGTACTGCAAGCGCTTCTTGGCTCTTCCTCTGGGCATCTTCTTCTTGTCTTCTTGGGCCTCAACCTTGGGGGTTTGTCCCTTAACTTTTCCGGCACGAGCCAACGATCCGTGAACTTTTCCCATTGTGTGTATGTGTATTCAAAAGAAATATAAATAACTATCGAGTGACGAATATTGTTGTGTGTGTGTGTGTGTGTGTGTGTGTTTTGTTTGCGTGTTTGAGGAATATTAGTGGAAGCGAGAAGGAAACAAAGGAGGTTGTGAGTTGTATGCATATGAATATTGTCTTGTCCAAACAGGATTGGGTTTTTGAAATCAACGGAATAGGCAACGGAGGCAATGGAGGCAATGGTAGGTCTTCACTCGTCTTGTCGTTCCGAAAGATGGGCTACCCCCATCTAAGCATTGAGGTTTATCCTTTATCCAACAGTATTATTGCCATCATAGCCGTCATTGTCGTCATCATCATCGCCATGGTCTTGCTCACCTTGCTAAAAGTTGTTTCGTTGGAACGTTTCGTTTCCTTGGAGATGGGATTGCTTTGTGGTGGGACGGGCGGATGGACGCTACGTAAACTCTGGTACGAAAAATCGTGTAAGAAATAACTTACATGTTACTATTCCTGCACGTAGAACCTCGTAGGAGCGGTCATAGGGTGGACGGTTAGACTGTGAACGTCTGGTCTTCGCACCACCCAACGCCGTCTGTCCAGCTCCTCTGCAAACAAAACGACATCAAACAACGACGACATCAGTCGCGCTGTGTGTTGTTGTTCCTACAGTATACATCTCCAAAGGCACATTGCAAAATAGAATCCAACTCAATTTGCAACGTAACGTTACAAAAGAAGAGCTCGTATCAGAGCGACACATCAAATATCCCGAGAATCAACAACTTGCTGAAGCAAAGGTCTGAAACATCATCTATTGGTTTATAGATTGAGATTCACACATCTCTTTCACCAGTTCACACACTACATACGCACACTGCACGACACACGAGAGAAATATGGTCGTTCGATTGAGGTTACAACGTTTTGGAAGGACGCATGCTCCCTTTTACCGCATGGTGGCGGCCAATGCCCGGACTCCCCGAGATGGCAAATTTTTGGAAATTGTCGGCACCTACAATCCGTTGGCCAACAAGGAGGGCATGAAGGAAATTCGCATCAAGGAAGATCGCTTGAAATATTGGTTGGCGGTGGGAGCGCAACCATCGAATCGCGTGGGATGGATTTTGGGTAAATTTGGAATCTTGCCACCGTTGCCGCATCATTACAATCCACAAAAAATGAAGGCCAAGAAGGACGAAGAGAAAGACAAATAATGTCGCCAAGAACATAATATTGATCAAGAATAGTATTCTGGCTATTATAAACTATAATACTATTATTAAAATAATACTAGCAGTAGATACAGTATATTCAAGAACATGCTGCTGGAAGAATGATACAAGCAGGCAGCCACACATACAAGAATGAAGGACAACGAGGCAAACATGAAAATCCTCTCCTAGCTTTATTAAATGAGCACATCCCGCTGATGGTGGTGCTGCTATATTTTAAAATACTGCCAAAAAGAGAGATGTAATACATCAACAGAAGTGTCACGCCAGACGCCAGTTCCTCAACTCTCCAATTTACCGGTATGTATGTCCATGCATCCACGGTGGTCGACTCCATGGACTTCAATTCTGACACTATTTGCGAACCCCCCATTCATTCTCATTTCCATTTCACTCCATTTCATTCCACCTTGTTCCTTTTGTCATAAAACACTTCGCATTCCTGTCTTCACAGCAGCAGCAACAGCAGCAGCAACAGCAACAGCAGCAATAGCAACAACAGCAGCAGCAACAACAAGTAAAATGTCCGGAGGAACCAGCACAACAGAAGTAGAACCCACCACAACTCCAGCGGATGCTCCCCAAGACGCCAATGTTGGATGCGTCGGTCCCACTTCCGAAACTGCTGGCAAGTCCAGTGCCTGTGCGGGATGTCCCAATCAATCGGCTTGTTCCTCCGGCAAGTTCAATTCACCAGAAGCACAAGCAGCAGCCCAAAAACAAACACAAGCCTTGCAACAATCCCTAGACAATGTCAGTCACGTCATTCTCGTGTTGAGTGGAAAGGGCGGCGTGGGGAAGTCGACACTCTCGGCCCAATTGACGCACACCCTTGCGGCCCAAGGATATGCCGTCGGTTTGCTCGATGTGGATTTGTGTGGACCCTCGGCACCCCGCATGGTCTTGGGAGATGCCTACAAAACGGCACAAGTTACCAAATCGGCCTCGGGTGCTTGGATCCCCGTCTACAGCGCCGAGCATCCCAATATGGCCTGCATGAGCATCAGTTTCCTATTGCAAGAACACGATTCGGCTGTGGTATGGAGAGGTGCGTTGTTGAAATTATTGAATCAATCATTGAATCAATCATTGAATCATTGAATCAATCATTGAATCATTGAATTGTGTTTGAATGAAATGAATATGCAGTGATGGACGAACTTGACTCTAACACCAAACCTTTCTCTCTCTCTCTCTCTCTCTCTCCATGTTCATTACGCAGGACCACGCAAAAATGGTTTGATTCAACAATTCTTGACCGAAGTCGACTGGACGGGCGAAACGGATGGCCTCGATTATTTGATTGTCGACACTCCTCCTGGTACCAGTGACGAACACATTTCCACCGTCCAATATTTGCAACAGGCCACGGCCGTCAGTGGAGCTGTCATTGTCACGACTCCAGAAGAAGTCGCCATGGCCGATGTCCGCAAGGAAATTAATTTTTGTCACAAGACCAAAATTCCAATCTTGGGATTGGTGGAAAACATGGGCGAATTGCAATTGCCACTGGAAAAGTTGCAATTCTTTCAAACTGCTGGCAGTAGTAGTGATAGTGCTGAAAATACCAATGTCACGGAACAATTGATGCAAGTCTTACAACAACATTGTCCAGAATTGTTGACCAAGACCAATGTCAAAATCGACTTGTTTCCACCCTCCCATGGAGGTCCCAAGGAAATGGCAAAGAATTTCAACATTCCATACTGGGGCGTTTTGCCCATGGATCCACAACTATTGGAAGCCTGTGAGAATGGCAAGACCTTTGTGGAAATGTGTCCGGATAGCACTGCCGCCAAGGCATTGAATGGATTTTGCCAGACGATTACTAAGGAACTCACCGTAGAGGAAGTATAGAGCAATATGGAACAATATGGAGTAGCTATTAGTATCATAATAGTAGCAGAGCTAACAATAGTAGAACAAACAAAAAAATAGAAATGCTATCCTAGGATGACATTAATGGCGCTTGACCTTTGCGTAGCTATTTATGTGGCAGAAAAGACGATGACTAGTGTTGGACCTCTATAGCTAGCTAGACCCATATCATCATTGTGTTGGGCCCGAGACGACCAGAGTGAGTCGCCATAATTAGTAGTGCAACCGCATTCCAGCCCGACTTGGAAGTGGGGACATGGAACAAAGTGGAAATATCGAATGGGCCATGTCGTGGTTGGATTCTTGATTGACCCACAAGTATCCAATTGCATTTTTGATAACCACTTGAGCTCCACTCTTGTATCGACAGGATTCTCGGTCATTGCCAGTCGTGGTAGTCTCATCACACTCTGTATTCTTATCATTATTCATCTGCCTTTTCCATAACGCTAGTTCCAATTGGCATGCCATTTCTTCTCGTATAGAATATGCCACTTTGAAAAAGATGTTGCAGAGTTGTTCACGTTTATTCTCAGCGGTGGTGGTGTCGAAAGTACTATTCGTCACCCCATCGATTGCCTGTTGCAACTCCAAACCCAATCGAACTCCCAAACCCAAACCGCCTGTCTTTTCCACGACTGCTTTGCGCAGTGCCAGCTGTAGCAAGGGAATAATCTTGCGAGACTTGTGCATCAGCATGTAGTCCAACATGGTCTTACCATCGACATCTTGGTGCTCCAGCATCTCGATGGGATAATGATTCAGCAGGCATTCCAATATTTCTAGCCTTGGGTTTGCCGAGGTGGCGACAATATGAAAGGGTGTCATGTTAAGATAGTCTTTCAATTCGGTCGATTCCACATCATTGATCGAATCAAGTGCTCCTTTCAAATCGTCCACTGTTGTTTCTGAGGAATGGTAACAGAGGCAATGGATTGGAAGATGGTCAAATCTGTTGGACAATTTTTCATCATTTCGGCTGGTTCGCAATTGCTCGTTTCTGTAGAAAGGATAGTCCTCTTGTCCAAACGACCATGGGTTCGTGCGCTGATTACCCAGACAAGAGATGCAGACATTCATCAACGCAGAACACCCGCCAAATGCCCTTTGGTCCATCCTGACACCATTACCAGGTTGAAACTCAATGCCAATGAGACTGGTACATCCAGAAAACGCATCCATTTCGATATTCTCTAGTTCCAATGACATTACAACACCACTCAACGAAGTACAGTTGACAAAGGCACGTTCGTTGATCTTCTTCAGCCCTGGAGGAAGTATGACATCTGTCAACGATTCACAGTCTTGGAAGGCTCTCTCTCCGATATACACCACAGTACTTGGGATCAACAACTCGCGGAGGGACTTGCAGCCATTAAAGGCACTTTCTCCAATTGAACAGAGACCATTTGGCAGATTGATTGTACACAGCGCCTGGCAAAGCATAAAGGTTGCGTGTGGGAGGTACTTCAGGCCTGTTGATAAATGAACTCGCTTCAAGGAATCACAGTGATAAAAGACATTCATTCCAATCTTGGTAACCGTCTCGGGTATCGTGACATCTTCTAGGGCATTACACATTTGAAAGGCTTGTTCGCCAACGTACTTCAATCCTTCATGCAGTGGAATCTCTGACAGCCGAGTACAACCCGAAAAGGCCAACTGGGCAATGGTATGGACTGTATTGTGCATCTTTACGCTCACAAGAGAGTTACGGTTTGCAAAGGCACCTTTGAAAATGACCCGTATTGATGGATCAATGCTGATATGACCAACAGTCTTGGGAATCTGCCTCTTGTACTGACCATTGTAAACAAACCATCGGTTGTCGTCCACCATTGGCGTAGTGTCTTCTTGGGAAGTCTGTTCTTCGTCTTCTTCTGTACTCTTGGCTGTCTCACGTTTCCTCTTCTTGCCAAGAGAGCCATCCTTTGCCATTGAATCCATCCTTTTGCTTTTGATTCAGCGCATAGCAACGCTTAGTAGTATTATACAAGCAGCAAGACAATATTGTAAATCCAAGGCTTTTTGGTAATTGACTCATCCGAATTAATCTTGTCTTCACATATAGTACCAGGTACATGTGAGTTATTATATTTCTTCAGCATCTACTATTGAACACTGCAAGAAGAGACTGCAACTATACGCAAAAGTTTATTCTATCCTTTGACACTTCTCTGCCATTATTCCACTTTTACTAAAATACTGTGTTTTAAAATGATGAAGCTCTCATCATGTGTCTACTTTTGGCTCTCAATCGACATGTTATTCCCCATAAAATTATCTTGGTATCGTTCTCCCTTCACCAATGCCGACAAGGCCTCCAATTCCTTGCATTCCTCATCGGATAGTTCCACTTTGACCGATCCCATGTTGCTTTCGGCATTCTTAATCTTGGTGGTTCCAGGAATGGGGATCACGGAAACCCCCATTTCCTTGGCCTTGTGAAAGATCCACGATATGGCAATTTGGGCGGGACTGGCATCATGCTTCTTGCCCAACTCTTCAATCTTGTCCACAATCTTGTTGTTGGCTTCCAAAGCTTCCTTGGCATATCGTGGTAGATTCGCACGGAAATCACCTTCTCCCAAAGCCGATGATTCGACCTTCTTGGCCAGCAAATTTCTCGACAAGGGAGAGTAAGCCACGATGGTCACGTCCAACTCCTTGCAAGCTGGTACCAAATCCGCTTCCAAGGTGCGGGTCAATAGACTCCACTCTTGTTGGACGGCATCCACTGGGCCCGCTTCTTGGCAAATCTTCTTCAACCAGCTTCCACTGACTTCGGACAAGCCAATCTCCTTGATCATTCCTTCTTCCTTTAATTTCTTTGCAGCCTTGACAAATTTAATGCCGCCTTCGACGCTCAGGACACGATGAGCATAGTACAAGTCAACCGATTCCATTTGCAACTTCTTCAAGGAAGCTTCCAGATGAGCCTTGACGTCCTCGTATTCATACACACTTGGATTGCCACTCGATGGCATGTACTTGGTGGCCACAGTAAAGGAATCTCTTGGGACGGTCTGAAAGAATTCTCCCAGAATGGCTTCATTAGGCTTGTAGCCTTTGGTGGCGTAAATTTCAGCTGTGTCAAAGTGACGGCAGCCTCTGTCATAGACTCCCTTCAACAGCTCCAAAGCCTTGGTATCTTCCATGGGGGTTCCATAGAATGCACTGATGCCCATGCATCCGAATGCAATACCACTACCAGGAGAAGAAGTTGGCAAAGCTTTTGATGCAAAGAGTTTCATGATTGTACCTATGTTGTGGTTATTGTTATTGCACGGCAGAGGCAGATTGCGTGCAGTAGGATCTTGTACCGGTATGTTCACAATGTCATATCTTTTTCTGCAGGTTTCGATGTGTCACCAAAAAGGTACTGCACTAGTAACCACACCCACCCCCTTTTCTTCACTTCTACAACATCATATGCTGAATAAGAAAAGCGAAGAAATGAAAAAGTGTTGGCAATGATGTATGATGAAAGTTATTGTTGACGAAAGTGCATCTCGCTATTCGTTACATGCTTCTTCTCCTGGCTGGAGCCAACAAACAAACAAGAAGACAGAACCGTAGTAACTAACAATGCAGCAATCATCACTTGACCATATGTCACATCTGAACTGTGTTCGGTCTTATTACGGCTGTCATCTATCACATAGTCACCGTACATTATCCAAGAGTCAGTCAGACTTGCATTGCTTTCACATTGTGGTAAGGAAGAATGGTCCATGCTGATTGTAGAACTGGACCCCACTTTTAAAAATAACGAACAGAAAGCAAAGCAGTAACAGCTCTTGGACTGAACCTGCGCTATTGAGCTATTGCTCCAGCCCGGACGGCGAACGATTCACCCTTCATTCATCATGCATCACAAAGCAAAGGACAAAACACAAACAGCACAGAAGCTTGATTCAAAATATAGTATTAAGTACAAAGTATGGGGCCGACTATTATTCGTACTCTAGATATAAACAGGAGAAGACAGAAGCGACATCTTTTCCACCCCAGCCAGCGCCATACCACTCTTAATCTTTTCTTCCGCCATGTGTTTCAGTCTCATCACAATTTTTATTCAACTTTTTGAAATTTACGCGCGACAACGTGTCACCTCGAATTTTCGTTCATTGTATTTTTGGCGCCAGACGCCAAATTTAGTGTCTCAACGCGCATGGACACATGAAACTCTTGGTCACTCGCGGCCATCAACACATAACCGGTTGACGAATTTTGCGGTATTTACACGAGTTAACCATGCGCCCAAGTTCAAACAACTTGCAAAATTCCAAAATCATATTCTGTGTCACATCCCATCAAACTCAAAAAGATGATGACGAAGAGGACCATTCAACTCTTGCTCCTCGCTTGCACAGCGCTCTTGATTCATGCAGTAGAGGACGACGGAAGGCACTTGTTGGGTGTGAGAGCTTATGGATCGAATCCAAATTTCAAATTGGGTCGATGTGAAGGTACGGGGGAGGATGGAGGACGAATGGCAAGCAAGTTGACAATATAGGCTCACTCAATTATCATATTTTCAGGAGATTGTGATACAGACAACGACTGTTTGAATGGAATGATTTGCTTTCAACGAGGTACGATGGAAGAATGGCAATTTGCCATCATCGCAAAGGACAATAGTCTGACCCATTTTCTTGGATTTCAGGATCAAACAGGGCGGTTCCAGGATGCACAGGCGGGGCCCAGGACCGAAGCCGATCCGACTACTGGTAAGTGTCGAATCCATTACATTTACAATGATCATGACTACAATGCTCAAGTTTCTGATCCACTACACTAGTATCCGCAGATCTGACTTGGGCGGTGGCAGTGCCCCACCCCCGACTCCTTCACCACCACCACCGACTCCAAATCCACCGCCTCCGACTCCAAACCCACCGCCTCCGACTCCTGCTGCAGGTAATAGTGGCAGCTATCCGAACATTAAGTGGAGCACAAACTTTCCATTGGGCCTATGCCAAGGCGATTGTGACAGAGATTCAGATTTTAAGTTTATGCCGCGGTTCAATTATGTTTCAACTTGCTGCTTCTAATATTTCATTCTTTTCTGATTACAGGCCGAGGCAACCTGGTATGCCATCAACGTAACAAGTATCAAGGTGTTCCAGGCTGTAGAGGAGGCGAAAGCAATGGATCCTACACAGATTATTGTGTATCAAGAGGTGGAGTTGCAGTCGCCACTCCAGTTGCTCCACCAGTATCTCCTCCAACAAGGCAAGGAAGTGGGCTTGGTGATTCTAACTACCGCTTTCAGCTTCGACTCTATTGGCAAAATGGATATACTTGGCAAGAGACTACGCGAGAAACTTGGTGGTGCATTCAGTGCGCTAGATGCAACAAATTTTCGTTGGGCGACGGTCCCAGAGTGGGGTGTCAAGTCACAGGAGACACCGACCGGTCATGCCGGGCAGGGGACAACCTTTGGATTCGCAAGTGCAAGGACAGGAGACGTGACTATCAATTCAATGTCATTAAAAACGCTGGATCTGGAGATCAAGTTCGTGTTGATGGCACCAACTTGTGCCTCTCCACTGTAAACAATCGCTACCTCGAGTTGAGAAACTGCGATCGATCCAGTCCGCGACAATTGTGGAAGCGAATTGACAATATCAAAAAGTTTGAATTGAGACCATATCATCAACGAGACTGGAGGCTAAAGGATGCCAAATGTATTTCTCAGCTGCATCATCCGAAGGTTCGCATGAGCATGTGGTTGCCTTGTGCAGTATTGCATCAACTTTGATTTCTTGACTCACACAGTTGCTTCTTTACAACTTCAGGATAAGGAGTTGGTAGGCTTGCATCGATGCCGTACAACCCTTGATCACGAGACCATGTATTGGGAAGAATACCACGGTTAGGCTTTGGAGGTAATGTGTCGATGGCTACCTATTCAAGCGAAGGGGCCGGCTCTACTATTTGAGTGGTCGTCTTCGCCAAGGAATCCTAGATGATATTGGGATTGTATGATATGATATATCAATAGAAATGATGAGGAAATTGTATACACTGCGTTATCTCGCATCCTCTTCTTTCATAATCTTTATAACAGAAGTTTGTATTTACGATGAACAGTTCACTGTGGAATGGATGTGTTTGAGATTTTAGAATAGATACCTTTCATTCAGATTCGACCAATGAAAACGCAGTAAATAAAGAGATCTCCGTTGTAGGACAGACGCTGCCTCTTTTGACAGCGAATTTTTTGATGACGCAAAAAATATTGCTGATCTTCATCTCGCTCCTCGGACCTCGTCATCGTTCATCTTCCAACTTTCCACCTTCAACTTTGTCAACGCAGATACCTCTTTAGCTTTCTCGTTCTCCACCTTTATCGTTATCAATCCGAAACACCAATCCGAAACATGTCTACTGTACGTGCCTGATGAATGTGACGTATATTTGCCTTTGTGGATATCTTGCCGAATGACGACTGACTCCTTTGCTCGTACGACAATGCCTCTTTGATTCTTTCTGATTCCAATGTTCACCAACCCACATTCGATATCATTAAAACTTTACATACTATGCATCCTCTTTCAGATCAAGCGCATTGGAACCGAAGCCAACCCCAACATGTCCGCTGCCAACGTTTACAACGGAGTCGTGTACCTCAGGGGTCTTACGGATCCCTCTGGACGTGATCTTGTCAGCCAAACCAAGAATAATCTGGCCGAGGCTGACCGACTTTTGGCAGAAGCAGGCACCGATAAGTCTAGGTTGCTCACCGCCGACATTTGGCTCAAGGATGCACAGAGTGGATATGGCCCGATGAACGCGATCTGGGCTTCTTGGATCGATCCTAACAACAAGCCAACTCGCACTTGCGTCCAAGCTGATTTGGCTTCTCCCGGCTTGTTGGTTGAAATCCAACTAACTGCTGCATTGCCATAAGTAGTGTGACAATTCTGATGGAATGTCAAGAAATATGACGACGCGACTATATAAGAAGAACCATTGCACAATATGCCGAACTACAAAAACAAACCCTACTACGCTTATACCATACCTCACGGACAGGCTCTTGTCTTATATCATACCATCAGTGCCATTGAATAATGTCTAGTTCGAGGAAGGTGTCGGTGTCTAATTTCTGTGCTGGCCATCATTCTGCGAACTGAACATTAAAATCAGAGTCAGTCTAGTTTTTGGATCTAAATTTTTTCGCCAACAACTGGTCCTTATGTTTGTTTCTAGCATTGGGAAGAAGGCGTTTCTGATTGTTTTAATTTGGAGTGCAAGTTATCCCATTTTTTGTTCAATGGTCCAGCTTACCAACACTTTTTGAGATTATGTTGGATGATTGATTCATTCTTGATCAATTTTGTTGTAGTCGAAACTATGCAATATGCGGACAGGAATAGCGAGTGCCTTCAGATACAACTGTGAAGCTACGGATATGGATAGGATACGTATTCAGGCCGAGATTGATTCATCGCTCTCTTCGAGTACTACTTCTCGTCAAGAAGCCATGGCCCGCCGAGCGAGGATGCATGATACGATTTCCAAACGTCTACATTGAACTATCTCGTATCCCCGTGTTTCTAATTTTTATTCTGTTTGTTTCGAGAGTCGCATGAAGATTCAATGCATGTACCGGTATGTGTCGAGTTCTTGTTTTGTGAATATGAGCGTTCTCACTTTTTGAACAAATATCTAGCTCGTTAAGATTCGGCCAATGAAAACTCGGCAAATTTCGGCGCCATGCCTTTTACGAATGAAAACGCGGTAAGTTTCCGCGCCATGCCTTCCACCACGTCTGTGGCTGCGTCGTATAGAGCAGCCATATCACACTTAATTTCACCAAATGAAGCTTGCCACCGCACGCCGTTTCCTGCAACAATCCTGTGCCTTGGGCCAACAAGTCGTTCACAAAAGCACCAGACCCAGTCTTTCGATTCTTTCTCGAGAGCTATCAACGTTGAAACCAAACGCTCACCTTTCATTCTCTTCACCTTCTCTCTCATCATCAATCCGAAACATGTCTACTGTACGTGCCTCATGCCTGTGACGTACTGTATGTGGGACTTTTTGGATATCTTGTCGACTATGTTGCTCACCGAAGACTCTTGATTTTCGTTTTTCTTTTTCCTTTCTTCAATACTTCAATATTCATCACCAACCTTGTCATGAAATGAATTTGATTGATATTGTCATGTGACATTGTAAACTTTTAAAACTACAGATCAAGCGCATTGGAACCGAAGGCAACCCCAACATGTCTTCTGCCGTCGTCCACAACGGAATCTTGACCACCATGGGTGTCATTGATCCCTCTGGAGGTGACCTTGTCGCCCAAACCAAGAATATCTTGGCTCACATTGACAAGCTCTTGGCCGAAGGAGGTACCGACAAGTCCCAATTGCTCACCGCCAACATTTGGCTTAAGGATATTCAAAGTGGATTTGGTCCAATGAACACTGTCTGGGTTAATTGGATCGATGGTTCCAACAAGCCTGTTCGTGCCTGCACCCAAGCTGAGCTGGCCCTCTCCAAATTGTTGATTGAAATTCAAGTCACTGCTGCTGTACCCTAAGAAGTATATATATATATAGTGTGTGCCATTTCTGATTCGATGTCAGAAGACAATTTACAATGGGACTCATAGAATCATCGCAGACTAATAACTAGAAACAACCCTGCTACAAATAGGCTGTTTCTCTTTTGATACCATCGGTGCCATTGGACCGTGTAGTCAAAGGAATGGTTCGGTTAAAGAAGATATAATCTGATGCCACAGCAGATTTTTCTCGACACATGCTGAAGTGAAGGAGAGCGCTTTTCTTTGTTTGTGTGTTATTTGCAACATTGGGCATACCTGTGTAGCATTGCCGCAAATGCCAGTTTGGAGTAAATACGATAGCATTAGGTCATATAATAATCCATCCCATCCCATGCTCAATTACTTTAGATCTACAATGCTTGTCATGTTTATAAGATACGCATGCATGACAATCTATGATATGTGAATGGGAATTCGATTATTAGACGAACAAACGAATATGGTTGGTCCATAGCATAATTGGGTAATTGGAAATCTGTGTTTCATTGTCTAACTGTTTATTTTTTCTATCGAATCAATCATCATCTATGCATCTAGTTTGCTTTGGGACCTGTCAAAGGTATCGTGTCAATGCAAAACCACTTTTCCACTGGTCCTTCTGTGGACCAAACTTGAATGGAGTCAATGGGAATAATTGCAGTTTCAGATGAAGCGTCTTTTAGTTGCTCTTGAACTTTGGGCACAATTTTTTCTTCTTTTTGCTCCTTGGGCAAATTGCCGTACACCAAACTCAAATGCGGCATATAAGCCGGATCAGATTGGCGTTCTGGAAACACATGTTTGGCCAATGCGTTGGCCTGTTTGAGCATGCCGTCTGGTCGATCCGTGTGTAGCTTGACAAAGACCGATTGAAAGTAGGCATCCTTGAAGGATACCTTCTCCACCTCGAAAGCATATGGAGGAATCTTTGGAGCAATTTCATTCCGAACTTTTTTAACAATCTCTTCAGCTGTCAGTTCTAATGCGGCAACCAGCGTAATATGAGGAATGAAATCTCCAAAGGTTCCTTGTTCTTCTGCCAATTTGTTAATTATGTCTTGGTAGAAATCACCTACTGTACAATCTGATGATTCACCGATTTTATTCTTGTCGTTTGTAGTAGGAGGACAAAGCCATAAACTTATTCCACGAAACGTGCTGGTTTGGTAGACTGCAGGAATGACTTCGTCATCATGTTCTGCCAATGTCTTGTTCTTGTTGTCCATTTTGTTTCCTTGTTCTTGTTGTTCAATCACTTTGCTGGCGACAGTTGGCGCACTATCTTCAGATGTTGTAGAAAGAAGGTTTATGTGATTTGCATCCGCAGTCATTTGACTTGTTTCGAACGAAGTTGTGAAGTATGACAACGTCGTTGATGTCAATAATGCAAGAATGTATAATGCAGTCGATGATGATTCGAAAAAGAAATTGAAAATGCGGCCCAACGGCGTTGGAGCATGATGATCACACCTCATGACTCATCAGTCACGAGTTGAAATCATGACTGCAATGGATACGACCGCTGATTCATCAGGTGGAGTGGAGAATGTAATATACTGGATTAACGAGGAATATACGACAGTATATTCCCAAGTACAAATGTACGAATGGAAAGTCTAAGAAATAGTAGTAAGCTCGGAAGACGAGAAGATCTGCAGTACATGCAATTCTCATTGTCTTCCGAAAATTAATAAAGACGAAAGTAATTTATAGCACACCTACGGTGCTTGATCTTATCTGTTCTTAGACTAGACAGGGTAGTCACTTGACTGGTGCTACCGATCGGCATCCAAGGCGTTGTTCCAACGTTTTCGGAAGACAAAAATGCCATCTGAGAGCGATGGCAGAAATGCGTCGCCCCCCGACTTCACCACCAGCAACTCACCTCAAGGTGGTAATAATGGAGGTGGAAGTGAACGACGTAGAAGACAGAGGGGGAAGAGAAACAATCGGTCGCAAAGCACCAAGTCCGAGCCACCTCCCAATGCAGCATTGAAATCCCACTACTTTGATTTCCAGGGCCAAGACTGGCAGCAGCCCCCGTTCCTAGACGTTGTGAAGGCTGTGACAGAGTACTTTGCCGGGGAAAGATCAAGCGCAACTGAATATGTGATCGTGGGCCTGACAGGAGAATTCGCACTCCCATCCATCACGGAACCTGCGGACCCAAGCGACCCAGACAACAGGGTCCTCTTCGCCAAATGGGAAGGGGAATACAAGGACTTCAAAAGGAAGCAAAAGGATAGAGAGGCCAACGAAGGAGCCTTCTTCGGTTTATTGATGCGTCAATGCACTGAACAGTTTCAAAACGCCGCCCAAGAGCACCATGAATGGAATAAGGTTCAATCCAACATGGACACCATGGGGTTGCTTCGAATCTTCCAACATCTCACAGCCACAGGAGGAGCCACCAACGTCGATCCGGCTATGTCGAAGTACCAGGCCCAGCAGAGATTTTACAGTTGTATCCAGGGCAGCAAGATGACGAACGCCGAGTACTATTCGCGCTTCATGCATCATGTGAACGTGGTCAAGTACTGCAAGGGAGCACTGGGAGCATCGATTGCCGCATTGGAGGACGCATGCAGAGAAGCAAAAGTCAACAGCACCCTTGATGAAATGAAGAAACTCGAAGCAAAGGTGATGGAGCGAGAAATGGCAATGGCATTTCTCATGGGCGCTGACAAGAAGCGATATGGCAACTTGATCGCGCAAGCTACCAACGCTCGATTGTTGCATAACGGAGCCTCAACTTTCCCAACGACCATGGCAGGAGCTTTGGAGCTGTTGAACAATGGGCAACAGCTTCAAATCACGCAGAGTGTTGTCCGAACCTCCGATGTGGGAGGTGGAGCATCTTTTTTCACTGAGGGCCAGCCATCCGATCAGAACGGAGCCGGCAGGCGCGAAAATCCACGTAGAAACGGTACTGGAGGTCGTGGAAATGGAGGACGTGGCGGTCGCGGCGGTCGCGGACGATTTGAGCGAAACCAACCTGAAGATCATCAAGACGACCAAGCCCACATCAACAACAACGACGCAGATACTGATAACAATAACACTGGTTCTGGAGAGTATTTGAATCCTTTAGATAATATAGCCGATCCGAGCAACGATGCGGAGGCTCTCATCGCGAGCGACGCGATAGATGAAGATGTGACAGCTACGGAGCTGCTCTTCCTTCAATCAGACAACATGCACGCACAGCTCATCCTCAAGAGGCACCCAACATCAGGACTTCCGGTCACCTGGTTGATCCTTGACACCGGATCCACGGCAAACATCTTCTGCAATGGATCGCTACTACGCAAAATCCACAAGGTCAAGAAAGGATTAAGGGTGCGCTGCAATGCAGGAGTCGTTGAATTGAACATGAAAGGGTTTTTTGGAGATTATCCGGAGGCGGTGTGGTTCAACCCAAAAGGAATAGCCAACATTTTTTCCTTCCACAACATGAACAAACACTGCAACATCACATACGACAATGCCGCAACCGACCGATTCATTGTTGATTTCAAAAACGAAAAAATAGAGTTTCTCCCCACTGACAAGGGGTTATACCACATGGATCTGAAGGACCAACTGAACTCGGCTTGGAATTTCTTCGAGACTGTGAAAGGGCAAAAGGCCAAGCACACCAAGGCATCAGTGATCCGTGCAGCCAAGGCTCGCCACATTCAAAATATTATTGGACGACCTGGAGACCGAAGATTCACGGACATTGTAAACAACAATCTACTGCGCGATTGCCCAGTCACGTCCGAAGATATCAAAACGGCCACCAACATATATGGCCCCAACTTGGGATCGCTTAAAGGTAAAACGACATCCACTACGGACGGTCATGTACGCACAGAGATTGGCGCTATTCCACCACACATCAAGGAGCACTATTCGGATATCACGTTGGCAATTGACATATTGTTTGTCAACAAAATGCCTTTTTTGGTGACCATCTCCCGCCACATCAAATTCGGGACAGTCGAGCGCCTTCACAACAGGCAAATTCCCACCATCAAAAGAGCTCTACAAAAGGTCATTGCGCTCTATTCGCGACGCAACTTCAAGGTCATTTCCATTCTGGGCGATCCCGAATTTGAACCCCTCGAGCAAGAATTCCCCAATATTCAAGTGGACTGCTGTGGCGCTGATGAACATGAACCTACCATTGAACGGTTCATTCGCACCATAAAGGACAGGGTCCGCAGCAACTACAACATGCTCCCCTTCCGCCGCATTCCCAAACTGATCCTTGAATATTTGATCCGCAATGCAGTCTTCTGGCTCAATGCCTTCCCAGCTCTAGATGGAGTATCCAACAATCTGTCACCTCGATACATCGTCACCGGTCGCCAGGTCACCATGAAACATCATGTCCGAACCGAATTTGGGGCGTATGTCCAAACACATGAGGAGCACTCCAATGACATGCGCTCCCGCACCTTGGGAGCTATCTGTCTTGGACCAACCGGCGCTGCTCAAGGCTCCCACTATTTCATGAGTGTTGCTACTGGCAAGCGAATCTCCAGACAACACTGGACCACTCTCCCAATGCCAACTGAAGTGATTGATGAAGTCAGCCAGAAAGGGCAACAACAAGGCATGCCTTTGACACTCACATTCGCAGACAGACATGGAAGAGAACTGATAGACGATGATGATGACATCGATGACGACCATGACTCTACCTACAGTTACTCAAGCGCCTCTGACAGTGAAGACGACCTCAGCTACGACAACGACAGCCACAGCGATTCTGACGTTTCCGACGACTCCGATCCGGGCTCTGACGCTGATTATGATGACGATAGTGATGATGATGATGAAACTACTGGTAATGATGATGCAGATGAAGCTCCACCAACCGGCCAACCACCAGCTACTGCTGGATTGCCCGCAGGAGTGATCCAACCACCACATCAGATGGCAGTGGAGCCACAACAGCATCAACTCCAGCAACATCAGCCACAATTCCCAGATGAAAACGCCGGAAACACAGGAGTGGGCGGCGCAAACAACAACAACACCGGAAACACAGGAGTGGGCGGTGCAAACACAGGAGTGGATGCCGGAAACACAGGAGTGGGCGGCGAAAACGCAGGAGTGGAATCAGAAGATGAAGAGGATGAGGAAGCACGGGCGCAAGCAGCCGCCGATGCGGACCTGAACGATCGAATCGACGCATTGGCAGAGGAAGTGCAACGCGACATACAGCAGAGAGAGCAACTTCTCCCAAACAATCAACAACAGATCGAGGTCGAAATGGATGCTGCATACGGCCCCAGAAATCACGGTAGAAACTTGCGCCCTAGGAAGAGGCCAACTACACATGGGGACCATCAAGTGATGATACACGTCCCACACCGAGACGAACCAGTCCCAGCATACCAAGAAATGATAGCACTCTTCAACCATGAGGTGTCATTCCTGACAGAGCAAATGTCAGCGAAGAAAGGACTAAAGGTATTCGGAGACAAGGGAGCAGAAGCGGTAGTGGCCGAGATGCACCAAATCCACTATAGGAACGTCCTGTCACCAAAATTCGCGCACGAACTCACCAAGCAACAGAGAAGGGATGCGCTGAGATATTTGATGTTCCTGAAGGAGAAGCGATGCGGGAAAATAAAAGCTAGAGGTTGCGCTGATGGAAGGAGCCAGCGACTGTACACGCCAAAGGAAGATGCTTCAGCCCCTACAGTGAGAACCGAATCATTCATCATCACATGCGCCATTGATGCCAAAGAAGGGCGAAAGGTGATGACAATTGACATTCCCGGAGCCTTTATGCAGGCAGACATCGACGACGTTGTCCATGTGAAGTTTGAAGGCGAGATAGCCAACCTGCTAACCAAGGTTGATCCGAGCTTGTATACAAAATACGTGGCGTATGAAGGAAAGAAGCCAGTGATCTACGCTCAGCTGAACAAGAACTTGTATGGGACCTTAAAAGGAGCCATTCAATGGTGGAAAAATCTTTCCGAGTTCCTCATTAATGAATTGGGATACGAAGCGAACCCATACGACAGCTGCGTGGTCAATAAGACAATCAACGGTAAACAGTGTACCATTATCTGGCATGTTGATGATTTGAAAATCTCACATGTCGAGCAAGAGGTACTTGATGATTTGGCCGACAAGCTAAGCGAACGGTATGGCAAGGAAGCGCCCCTCACTATCCAAAGAGGAGAAGTGCATGAATATCTTGGAGTTACAATTGATTTCAGCGAGAAAGGGAAGGTGAAGTTTTCGATGGACGACTATGTGGATCGTCTACTGGAAGAGGCACCAGAGGATATGAAGGGGGTAGCAACATCACCGGCCGCGAATCATTTATTCCAAGTCAAGGACAAGCCTACGTTGCTAGATGACAAGAAGGCTGAACTCTACCACCACCTTACCGCCAAGCTGCTGTATCTATGCAAGCGAGTACGAGGAGACATCATGACCGCAGTGGCTTTCCTCACGACTAGAGTTTCGAGACCTGATGAGGACGACTATGCCAAGCTCGCGAGATGTATCAAGTACCTGAGAGCGACCAAATATATGCCTCTTACCATTGAATTGGGAGACGAATTCATCATGCAATGGTGGGTAGACGCGTCATTCGCAGTGCACAATGACATGAAGAGCCACACCGGAGCAGTTTTAACCATGGGCAAGGGAGCCATCATTGCCATCTCTACCAAGCAAAAGATCAACACGGACAGCTCTACAGTGGCCGAACTAGTCGGGGTACATGATGCACTACCTATGATCATGTGGTCCAGATATTTCATCGCATCTCAAGGCCATACGGTGGTGGACAACGTTATTCACCAAGATAATCAAAGCGCCATCTTGCTCGAGAAGAATGGAAGGAAGTCATGCGGCCGCAAGACAAGGGCATTGGACGTCAGGTATTTCTCTATTACCGACAAGGTTGCCCAGAAGCTCATGACAATCAAACATTGCCCCACTGCAGAGATGTTGGGAGACTTTTTGACGAAACCTCTACAGGGAGCACTGTTCCGAAAGTTCAGAGATCTAATCATGAATTACTCAGGCCAATCCAACTGATGACTCGGGCCGCAGGAGTGCGTTGGAGCATGATGATCACACCTCATGACTCATCAGTCACGAGTTGAAATCATGACTGCAATGGATACGACCGCTGATTCATCAGGTGGAGTGGAGAATGTAATATACTGGATTAACGAGGAATATACGACAGTATATTCCCAAGTACAAATGTACGAATGGAAAGTCTAAGAAATAGTAGTAAGCTCGGAAGACGAGAAGATCTGCAGTACATGCAATTCTCATTGTCTTCCGAAAATTAATAAAGACGAAAGTAATTTATAGCACACCTACGGTGCTTGATCTTATCTGTTCTTAGACTAGACAGGGTAGTCACTTGACTGGTGCTACCGATCGGCATCCAAGGCGTTGTTCCAACGAACGGCCAATCGACCTCGTACATGTAATATATCGAATGAATGAATCTCGCAGGAATCTCCAAAAGAAGACTGATGTAGTCCTTCATTCGATGGTTTCATTCATTCTTTCAATATACCTATAGTCAAGCAAAGAGAAGGTCGTATATCGGTACATGATTGAAAGATTCAAACCAACAGCCACCCGATGATCTACACGAGGGAGTCAGATGATGAATGGAAGTAACGCCACGTTGGAGCTTGAATGTCCTTGCTGCATTTTCTTGCGGCTTGTTGGTCCTCCATGATCTTCTTCTGAAACGGAATCTGGTAATGTCAGGAGGCTCAAAGGAATAAAAGTACTCGTACTTTATAAAACAGTTTCTGCCATGTATCTATGTCACTATGATATATAAAATATGGTTCACTCGGATAACTCAATAGCATGATGCACATCATTCCATTGAGACAGTCTTACGACACTGAGCCATGAAACATATATGCCTTACGCCGGCCGTGCCCAAGATCAAATCATGGACAGTTGACATGAGAAACTGGACTGTCAAGTATGCTCACAAAATAGGTATCATACTTTGGTTACCGCTACAGAGTCGATACAATCTAACATTCCTACCATGAAGCTATCTGTTATTTTTCTAACCGTCTTGGTGCCATCTCACGCCCGATTGTATGCATCCCAACAGCACCGACGCCAAGTCCTTGTAGCACTCGCTTCGACCACTTTTCCCCTTTACAGCCAGCAGTGCGACCGAGACGAAGGACCGCGAGTGGAAAACGATGCCGATACCTTTGGCAGCGGTGTAAAGTACCATAATGATAGTCCAGCTTTTCCAGTCCTCCTTTCCGGTGGGAAATGTGCTGATCCACTCAAGGCTGCCTGTTCCATTCGTAACGACCCTAAACTCGCGTACATGGAAGGGCCCATTGATTGTGGTGATAACGGCTTCTTCTGTACCGTAACCGAGCAAGATGACTGGGAACCAAGAGAGCTCTTGGACAATCTCAACTTTGGATACTGCAATCGGACCGAAGCCTTTGATGGGACTGAGTTTCAAGACGATGGTCATTGTCATGGTTCTGACGATGACTCTGCATACTACTGGGTTCTTCGAGATCATTGGTTCCGTCAATATGTAAGCAGCACCAGACGTTTATTTCTCTCTCATTTATTCATTATTTTTCTTACTCTGACTTTCTGTCACTCAGAATGGCCGTCTTCGCTGCTGCTGTAATTGGGATAGTGAAGAAGTCGATGACGACGATCCATTGAGTAATGGTCTCTTTACCAATCGTTGTGATTACCGCCGTTGGGTTCCTGAACGTCAAGAAGGTGACTGCCGGAATGCTAATAAAGCAGTCAAGAATTTCGAAGATGGATGCGATCCCGATGTCGAAGCACAGCAAACTGGCAATCCAGTCCCCGAAAACGATGCTGTCTGCTGGGAAATCTTGAACTTTGGACAGCCCAAACCTTTCTTTGCAGAAGGAGACGTGTGTAAGGACGATGGGGACTTTATTTTTAAGAAAATTCCAGGTCGCGACTGTGACTGGGTTGGAAAACGTCCATCGGTTCGTTGTGAACGCGAATACGAAGGCAAAGATTTGATGGAATACTGTCCTCGCACTTGTGGATTGTGCCCTGGCGATGATGAAGGCAAGCAAGAGGACGATGATGGAGCCTTGGATGGCTGCATCGACGACTTGGAGTTTCGATTCCGCAACAAAGAGGACCGCGATTGCGAATGGGTCGGGCGTCGACCCAATGTCCGTTGCCAACGCATCTGGGATGGTCAGTCATTGGAAATTTTTTGCCCTGAATCGTGCGGAGTTTGTGAGTAGCTACCTACGCCCTTCCAAACGGAAAGGTGGAGAAACCTTACATATCAGGTTATTATCCATTATCAATACAATCATTGCACCCCAGTATCGCCAAATCAATAACTCACAGCTGCAACTTAGAATAGAGACTCTATGATGATGCACCACCACGCTGTAGTCATCGTGATAAAAGTCTTTTCTATTATGTTTGTAGCTTTTATGAATTAGATTATAAGTGGAGCACTAGTATCTTTTGCTGTCTCAACAGCATAAATGGCGAAACTCCTGGCAAGTTCTTCACTGGAAACAAGTGACCTCTGAGTGTTGTCGCGCAGGACCCCTTTTCTTGCACTGACTGTAGTCACGCAGGACTCCTTCTCCGCATCGCACCTTAAGTATCTCACTGGAAGATTCATCCGGATTTCGGCTTATCTATTTGTTCAGAAACACTTTGCACGAGTGCACGATCCAAATTGTTTTTTCACCCTTCCATTCACATTTCAAAGCTCACATCTCCTAGCAGCTCAACAATGAAAACCGATAGTCCACCAAAAATGAGAGAACGCTCACCGAGCGTCGATGAGGACCTTCGTGGGGCGAAGCCTGTTTTCGAACATGAGCAAAAGTGCCAGGAAGATCACACCCCTATGAAACCCCGGAGGCAAATCAGTGGCACCCCCAGTCAATTTCGATTCTTTTCTGATCACGAAATGCCTTATGATGGACCAGCAGCTGATCACACCTCGGTTCTTTCTGGGATTTCTGACCCAACTGGATTCGGCTCCTTGGATAGTTCGTGGCGATCGTTCGGTTTCGACACTTCCTCGCGTCTAGAAGTTCTTGGACCACTACGTGAAAATGTTGATGAGAGTTACTCGTTCAACGTTCCACCACAAAAGCTCGTATCCTCTTCATACATGATGCACCACACCTCTCGCGAACCATCTACTAAAGACATGCCTCCGCAACCTGTGGTGCGTCAAAATTCGTCACTTTACGACTCTAGTAGCATATTGGATTAGTCCCTTTCCGTTGGTTTTGTTCAGAGTCGATCCTATGAACGCCGCGTGGAACATAATCCAGCTATAACTTCGTGGCCAAGCCTGAGTCTGGGATGGAGACGCAGTTTGAAATTATTTCTAGAGCATTGGCAATTTGAGGAGGCCGACTATCCATTGAAGATCGCTCCAGAATTTTGGATGAATGGGGCTTCACCAAAGTGCATACCAAGGGGGCTACTCTGCTGAACAAGAATCTCCCTCAGCGACGAAAACGATCCTTGAATAAAGATTAAACTACAAGATTCGAAATCAAGTCTTATAAGAAAATACAATATGACCAAAGCTTAATAATGCTGCCACGACCAGGAGCACCTTTCCTCTTTATAGCCAATAGTGCGACCGAGACGAAGGAACTCGAGTGGAAAACGATGCCGATACCTTTGGTAGCGGTGTAAAGTACCATGATGATAGTCCAGCTTTTCCAGTCCTCCTTTCCGGTGAGGAATGTGCTGATCCACTCAAGGCTGCCTGTTCCATTCGTAACGACCCTAAACTCGCGTACATGGAAGGGGCCATTGATTGTGGTGATAACGGCTTCTTCTGTACCGTAACCGAGCAAGATGACTGGGAACCAAGAGAGCTCTTGGACAATCTCAACTTTGGATACTGCAATCGGACCAAAGCCTTTGATGGGACTGAGTTTCAAGACGATGGTCATTGTCATGGTTCTGACGATGACTCTGCATACTACTGGGTTCTTCGAGATCATTGGTTCCGTCAATATGTAAGCAGCACCAGACGTTTATTTCTCTCTCATTTATTCATTATTTTTCTTACTCTGACTTTCTGTCACTCAGAATGGCCGTCTTCGCTGCTGCTGTAATTGGGATAGTGAAGAAGTCGATGACGACGATCCATTGAGTAATGGTCTCTTTACCTGCCAATCGTTGTTGTGGTTATATACCGCCGTTGGGTTCCCGAACGCTGAGCAGCAGTGTACTAGGTGACTGACAAATTGCCAATAATTAAAGCAGTCAAGAATTGTTAAATTCACTGAAGTTTCGGAACATCTCGCAGAATTCTCGAATTACGACCAACACCAAGGACGCGAAGTTCTAAAAACAAAGGCTGAATTCCATGAGCAATCATGATGTCGGATCACCAAACCTCGCACGTACAGAAAAAAGTGAGCAAGTTGGCCTGGCGGTCACTCTGGTCCAGATTCATGGAATGAATCCTTCTGGTAAGTTCTTCACTGGAAAATAGTTGTGACGCAGGACCCCTTTCCTTTTGTTGCAATTACTGTGGACCTCTTTTTTTAAATAAGTATCCGCAACTTTTTAAAAACCATGCGAATACTGTATCTCACTGGAAGATATTCATCCGGATTTCGGCCTATCAGAAACCGTGTGTACGAGTGCACGATCCAAATTGCTGTTTCACCCTTCGAATCCATTCATATATATTTCACAGCTCACTTCCTTATCAGTTCAATGATGAAAACCGATAGTCCACCAAAAATGAGAGAACGTTCACTGAGCGTCGGCGAGGACCTTTGTGGTGGGGCTAAGCCTTCTTTCAAACATGAGCAAAAGTGCCAGGATCACACTCCGATGAAACCCTTGAGGCAAATCAGTGGTGGCATCCCCAGTCAATTCTTTCGATTCTTTTCTGATCATGAAACGACTGATGATGGATCAGCAGCTGATCACACCTCGGTGTTTTCTGGTATTACTGACACTACTGTATTCAGCTCTTTCGACGGCTCGTGGCGATCGGCCAGTTTAGACACCTCCTCGCGTATTGAAGCTCTTGGACCGCTACGTGAAAATATGGATGAGAGTTGCTCGTTCAATAACCCCCCACCACGAAAGCTCGTATCCTCCTCCTCGTACATGATGCGCCACACTTTTCGCGAGCCGCCAGCTACTAAAGACAGGCCACCACAACCTGCAGTACGTCAAAATTCGTCTCCCTATGACTCTACCTAGCTAGCAGCATAAGTCCGATCCCCTTGACTACTGGCTGTGATTTTGACGATAATACTACTGTCCCACTAGAAAACAACGAGACGAACCAACCAGTGACTGTTGCCAAAGCATCCTTTACTCACAGCAAGCAATATCTGGACTACAAAAGTTGGCGGAAGCCTTCAAAAATCTGGTTCCGACATTGGCACATATACTTTTCTTCTGAAGAAATAATGAATTCAATGATTCTCGAATACGGAAAAGTCATGTTTCCGTCAACACAAAATTTTCAATATATTTTTAAAAAGCAATGGACCAAGATCTAGTAGAATAATACTACGGACAAAACTTCAATGATGTATCCGTCATGTGATATATCCTCTAGGACTATGTAATATACAATGCTTATTATTATTTATTCGTAGTATGCAGTTCAATCAATCAAGGAATCAATGAGGGAAAAAAATACGAGTCCTTATCAAATTTGAAAAGAAACTTCTCTTTGAAGTTGGACCACACCTTCCGCCAACTCCATTTGATGACTAATTTGTTCCATCAGTGCTTGGCGTTCCTCCTTGGATTCCAAACTGCAAAAGCTGCGAGTTTGATTTCCTTCTTCGGTGCAGAGCAATTCCAATTCTTCCAAATTAGAATAGGTCTTCAAGAGCGCTTGGGTATTGCAGAGCTGGTATTGCAAACAATTTTGAGTGGCCTTGACGGTTTCCGTCTGAAATTGACTAATATAGTCTTCCAGTCTTAGCGTAAGCCGAGATCGCCATTCCATGGCTTGGACGTCGCACATTTGGCTGGTCTGATGCGCATCTTCCGAACACATGTTGGTTTGTTCTTCCAAGACGGAGAGCCATTGAGTAAAGTGCGAGAGCCAGTCGTTGGGAGCAATGGACGAGTCAACATCTTGATCCAATTGATCCAAGGTTGCTTGGACGAGTGAAAGAGAGGGAAAGGAAATCATTTGATCCAATTCTATGAGCAAGCCTTTGCGTTCTTCCATGCGCACGACATCGCACTGGTCCTTGGTTTGATTGCCCTCTTCGGTGCATTCATTCTGTAGATCTTCTAGTGATTGTCTCATACTGACTGCATGAAAAAGAGTCAGGGGTTGAGAGGTGGTGGTGGTGACGGTAGCTTGGACCGAGGCTGTTTTGAGGCAAGATAGGACTTGAGCCTCGATGGGTTCGGAAGACAAAGTAACAGAGGGCAAAATGAAGCTTGTCGAAAGTGGAACAGCAGTAGATTCCTTGGCCTCTAGAGTAATCATGTACTCTTCTAGAGCCTTGATCCACATGTCGCGCTTTTCCTTGAGGAAAATGTCGCACTCTTCGGTGGTTTGATTGCCTTCTTCCGTGCAATTGTTTTGAATCAATTCCAATTCCTGCACCAATGCTTGAATGGAATCCATGGAAGGAGATTCCAACTGCAAAGACTGAAGGCAATCTTCAACTCTAGACTCTAGAGAAGGAGGAGGACCAGTCTTGCTATAGTCATTGACCCATAGAAAGAGAGTGGATGGTGTTGACTTTTTGGCCATCGCCGCATTGCGCTGGAGGGTCAACGAATGAGGTGAAAAGGCAGCTGCATGTTGATTGCCAGCCAAGAGAAGGAACAAGGAAGTGACTGCTGCAGAAGACTTCATAGTGGTATTACTGTACTGCTTTGTTTTCGACGATGATCGATCGATTGTTCCAAGATGTGTGACTGTCTGTGAAAATGACATCTGGGTTTTTAGATTCAAAAATACCTCGAATGCTTGGTGGCAAGTAGTAAAATCTGTAAAAGACGTGGAAATTGGATCCGACCTCGCATTCGTTGACGGATCGCGACCAAAAAAACCTCGACCAAGTACCACATCAAAGGTGGATTGCGCGTAGTTTCATTCGACCTCTCATGATTTCTGATACTTTTTGGAACCAATCAAAATGCTCGGAACTGTAGTTGCAAAGAATGATTGGGGGCTTTGGTTCGCATTCGCAGATTGGTATCTTTTTGGAGTCGTGTGGTGGAGGAAATCAATCAATTTGGCGAAAGGGTTCTGACAACACTTCTGTACAGTACCTGGTACTGTTCTGGAGGGAGTGACAAAACGACCAAAGGTGGCAACGACGGCTGCGACGATGGGCTGCAATACTGTTTGATGGTGATTGAGAAATTATATGACGCGTCGTCCAAGAACAAGATGAACGAAGCAGGAGGCTGGCTGTCCTATGATTCAAAATCATATGAATAAGAACGGTTTTGGGCATTCTTGATGCAGCCGGAAAAAAGAAAAAGGGAATGTGGTGTCAACGACTTTTTGGGTGACCAGTCAGCATGGCCCCGGAAAGTTAGAGTCAAACTTCTGCACATCGGCTTTCTGGTTATGAACATTATTGGTTTACTTCTGTTGCTGGCTGTTAATCAATGTTTGACAGTACCTGGTAGGCTCGGCAGGGTCGTGCGTAGAGTATCAGCAATCCCAATCGAGCGGCGAGGACGGGATAGAAGCAGTGATAGAACATACACGGTTGTTAGCTGGTTAACATATGCTTTTATATAAATGCTTACAGCATGAAGATGAGACAAGAGCCTCTATGAATATGTCAATGAGATCCGCTGCTCCCAATGAGGAAGATGAGAATTCTCGACACTTCAATGTTTGATATGATGAAGTACGGCATTTCTATCCTCATCTTGGAATTATGACTGATTCAAGCACATGCACTGGAAGGAATACATCGATTGATTGATTCAAGTACATACACGGGAAGGAATACATCGATTGATTGATTCTGTCAACTCCCTGCGAAATCGTTTGGCCCAACAATCAAAAGACTACGTCGTAGAAAGAGTCAAAAGCTTGATTTCAAAGAAAAGGTCTGTTGGTTCATACCAAATGCAGTTGTATAAATAGCGGAATCAGGCATCATGAAGGCTGCCGTCAGCTTTTGTAGATATGGTGGCCTTTGCTTCAATGGCTGCTGTGGGTAGCATGCCTTCTTCTTGGTAATCGTCGTGATTGATTTGTTATCTTGACCTGGCGTTGAGATGTCTTCAAAACTACAATCCATAGGCTCGGAGTCGTCCAACATGGTCCACTTACTGCGTGATGAATCTTGTCGGACTACAGTTCGTGGAGGCATGTCCTTTGTAGTAGCTTGTTCGAAAAAGGCGCTGTCTCTTCTGACTGCTGCAAAGGGCTTGTTGCTGTGCGAGCTAGTACTACTGTCGCCATCATCAATGTCTTCATGTAGTGGTCCAAGAGCTTCCACACGCACAGAGGCGTCAAAACTGTTCTTTCGCCATGAATTTTCAAAGTCAGCAGTAAATATTTCATCCAAGAAGGTGAATGTTGTGGAAGGATCCTCAGTAAGGTCAGAAAATACTGAGAGGTGATCAGCTATCGATTCTTCATCATCGGCCGTGGTGATGTGATCAGAATGGATTTTGATATGTTGGCTGGGGACTCCACTGGCATGCCTCAAGGGCATCATTGGAGTCCGATCCTGACACTTCTGCCCATCCTCAAAAACATTCCTCTTCAGAGGAAGGGTAAGCGGAACCTCAAGGCCAGTCAAATCTGGGTAATATTCTTTGTCTTCGATACTTAGCGAACGCTGTCTCATTTGCGGTGGGCTATCTATTTTCATTGCTGAGGCTTGAAATGTGAAACAGAAAAATAAATGATATCAAGTCGACAACAGAACGTAGGTTCCGAAATGGGAACTGATATTGTGAACGCTCCAATGAATTTAGGAATTCGGCTGAATTTTGTTCTCATGGATTCTGGAGTTTTGGTCCCTTTGACTGGTTACATATATTTGTGGTGGCGTGAGGCGCCATTCACACGGAGAAATAAGGGTCTCAATCTCACAATTTCCGATTGGATGCTATGGTGACGTGAGCTGACAACAACTTTTTTTCCAGCGAGAAACAAACAATGCGCTCTTCTGTCTTGTACTGTAATGTAATACTGGTAGTTCACACTCATGTTGGGTGGGCGCGACAGAAAATTTTTTCCAGCGAGAAAATTTTGCGAAAGGTTGCTCTAATATAAGTTTTTGAGCACCAATGCGCTCTTCTATAATCCTCCTATAATTAAAAGGATTCTGTGAGATATGCTGAGTGTGCGCCACTGCAACTGGTAAATGGAAACTTTTTTCCACTGAGGACTTGTTGCTAGAGTTCGCGTCATTACGTTCATGAAAACGCAATGGATTCTTCTAAAACCATCCATCGAATCCACGCCAGTCAGTAACAAGAAGTGAAGTAAAACTGAAAGAAGCTCATCTAGTACGGCTGCGAATACCCCAAACTTGGCCCAGAGTTGTAGCTAGATCATGGTCAAGGCGCGTTCAATGGGCAAACATTCGGAATTGAAGACGAGGCAACTGAACTAAGTCTCCTCGGTCTGTAAACATTAGCAATCTACCTGGGAGGTCCAAATGCGATCCAATTATTATGATAGCGAGACATGAATTCTTCCTTCGTCGTACCCTTGCACACTTCAAATAAGTAACGCCAGTCTTCACCAGCGTGACATGCGTGGAGATGGCACCACATTGGTTTTGACATAGGCGGCCCGATCTTTATTCAAGGATCGCTTTCGTCGCTGACGGACTTTCTTGTTGAGCCGGGTAGCCCTGCTCATATCCACTGTGGTGTAGCCCCATTCACCCAAAATACTTGAACGATCTTGAATGGATAGTCGACCTCCTCGAAGCTTTGATGCTTCGGTGCCTAACTCGTTCAATGGAATTGGCAAATCGTCATAGAATCTCCACCCAAGGCTCAAACTTGGCCCCGAAGTTGTAGCTGGATTATAGTCAAGACGACGTTCGAAGTGCCGACTTTGAACGAAACCAAAGGAAACTCTCATATTAGGTTGCTTTCTGTTGACCGTACATCGCGTCGGTTTAGTAGTAGTTGGGACTGGGCTTGCTGGTGTGTGCTGCTCGGCGTAAACTGTTTCCACCAGAGACGACAACGAATCGTCAATAGCGTTATCACTGACGAATCGATAAACGTGCGACGAATCTTTGAATCGGCTGCTGTGGGCAACTGGCTGGAAGATATCTAGCTCCTCCATCATTCGCTGACCAAGAAGAATGGCATCGGGTCTATTCTTAGCCACCTTAGAATTTAGCATGTAGTTCACTGCTTCTTCTCCCAAAAAGGTGTTCGGGTATATCTTGAAGGGACGCCCCGTGTGCTTGGAAACAGGCATTCCCGCAACAAACTTCGCGCTTGTAGTACACAAGTCTTCTCTGCTGAGTGGAGTCCTGTTTCGCACATCCTTGGGCAATTGGTCGTTGAACCTGTAGAAAAATCGCCCATCTTTGAATGTATGATCCCAACACACATGGTGGAATAGATTCAGCTCATTGCTAAATCGTTGTCCCAAAAAGACAGCGTCTTCTCGAGTGCAAGCAAGACCAGCACTTAGCATAAAGTCAACAGCTTCATTTCCAACAAAGGTCTTTGGGTATTTCTTCAGATGAAACATATGCGTACCAACAGCACAACCAGATATGAAGGTTTCCGCCATTTTCGGTAGACCAGAGGGCGCTTGCTTTGCAGGCTGATACGAAGAGGATGTCTCTGCAACCGTACTTGGTGCGTTTTCGTTGTGTTCTAGTGGGAGATCTCCAAATGAGCCAAAGGATGTTGAATAATTACGCACTGCAGGTTGCGGAGGCATGTCTTTAGTAGCTGTTTTGAAAAAGGATCGACCCTCCGCTGATGAAAGAGGTCTGATTAAGGGCATGGGCGAACTGCTCTCATCGGTATCTTCCTGCAGTGGTCCAAGGGCTTCTATTCGGAACGAAGTGTCAATACTCTCTTGTCGCCATGAACTCTCAACATGTAGTCTGCGTGATGAATCGTCTAAGTAGCCGAATGCAGATGGTTCAGTGATGTCAGAAACCACAGTACGGTAGTCAGCTACCGAGTCGTCGTCGTCATCAGAAATGAATAGGAACTGGGAACTGTGCTCAGTTTCAGTTTCACAGGTTTCATATCCACCATCTCCTGTCATCTTCCAACTTCGCCTTGCGGGTTTAATTGGAGTCTGATCCTGGCACTTTTCGACAACAAGACTGCTAGTCACGTGAAGGGGAGCTTCCGAGCAACTCTCGTTGTCGATACTCAGTGAACGCTCTCTCATTTTCGGTGGTCCATCGGTTTTCATCTTGAGCATCACTGATTTTAAAATTGTGCTATAGTCCTGTGTGATAAAATCAGCGGTAAATATACATCATAATAGTATTTACGAGGACACGTACCGCGGCACACCCAACTTCCTGAAGATTCAAGATAAAATATTCACACCTGTTCGTTTATTTATTGGCTTGTAGTATTTCGGCTCCTCTTTTCGTCAAATGGTATTTGTATTTTTATCAAAGAACCAGTGCCGTTTTTGGTTTCCAGCCAATAAGAACATCCCAGATAATATTTTTTCTCTAAAAAAAGGAGAAACCTTTCATCATTGAATATATTGTAGGACTTCCTTAGTCCCCATTTCAACGTACCATCTTCATTCATCGCATCGCCCCTCAGAAACAGCACAATTTGATCCAACTGAAGTTGTGCGAGAACGTAAAACATGTAATACTTATTGCTGAATTACCCTAGCTATGATCACTAGAGCTGATACTTGGGGATATTGACCTCACCTTGCATTCACGATGCATTGAATAAAGAACACAGAACAAGAACCTAGTAGCTAGTACTAGTAGACAACAAAGTGTGGCTGGCAATTGTTCAATTGTTTTTTGAAGGTAGCAATCTTGTAAAATTGGCTAGCAAACGCAAATAGTAGAGCTTCACTATTTCGTACTATTTCTGGTCTTCTAGTCTACCGGTATGTTGCAAAATATACGAAATTGAGTTCGGGTGCGAAATGGTCCTCGTGGTAATTTGGAAGACAATCTTTTTTCCCTCAAATAGGGTGGGTGGCACTGCTAAAGTAGAATTGGAACTTCTTTTCCAGCGAGAACAAGATTTATGTTTGTTAACTTTTGCACCATCCATCGCGCCACGTAGGGCTACACAGCACGAAGCTACACATTGGAACTGATATCTACTTTGAAATACTCTACTAAAATGGCCCTGGTATACAGCAACTCAGAGTCCCCCGAATTAACCAAATGCGTTGCCAAGTACGGTTGCTCTCAGATACTAGAGGCTATCCGATCGTTATTTAAGGATTGATTTCGTCGCTGACGGAGTTTCTTGTTAAGCCGAGTGGCTCTGTTGATATCCACCGTGGTGTAGCCCCATTCATTCAAGATTTTTGAACGATCTTTAATGGATAGTCTACCTCCATGAGGCTTGGATGCTTCAGTTGCATTTGCATCGCTCAGTGGAACTGGCGACTCGTCATAGAATCTCCACCCGAGGCTCAAACTCGGCCCCGATGTTGTAGCTGGGTTATAGTCAAGGCGACGTTCAAAGGATCGACTTTGGACCAAACCAAACGAGACTTTGAAATTTCCTTGCTTTCTATCGACTGTGAAGTGCGTTGGTCTGGCAGTTGGCAATCTACTCCTTCGAGTATTCTGCTTGCGCTGGACGCAATCGGTTTCCAGTTGAAACGACATGGAGCCAGATGATTCGTCAAAGGAAGAATCACCAGCAGTAGAGTCCGTAGTGACAAATCGAAACAAAAGATGAGAATCCTTGAAGCGGCTGCGGTGGGCAACCGGATGAAAGATTTGTAGCTCTTCCATCATCCGCTGACCCAGAAGAATAGCATGTGGTCTATTGAGAGCCAATTTGGATTGTAGCATGTACTTCACTGCTTCCTCGCCCGAAAAGGTGTTCTGGTATGTCTTGAAGAAACGGCCCGTGTGCTTTGAAACATGCATGCCTTCAGCAAACTTCGCGATCACACTAACAGGTTTCTCTCTTGAAGTGCCGCATTGCTCGTTCCTGAAGAAGTCTTCGTTGAATACGTAGAGAAAACGCCCATCTTTGAATGTATGATCCCAGCTCACGTGATGGAACAGACTCAACTCCTTGTCAAAGCGCTGTCCAAGAAATACTGCGTCTTCACGAGTGGAAGCAAGACCAGCACTCAGCATGAAGTCAACAGCTTGACTTCCAACAAAGGTATTTGGGTATTTCTTCAAATGAAACAGATGCGTACCAACAGGGCAATCGAACACGAAGGCTTTCGCCAGTTTCGGTAGGCTGGATAATGCTGGCTTCGATTGAAGTTGTGCGCTGGATGTCTTTGTGACCGTGATTGATCTACCCTGCTGGCCTGGTGGGAGATCGTCAAAAGTGGAATCATCTTTGATGATCAAGCCACGGGATGATGCTTGTCGAACCACAGGTTGTGGAGGCTTGTCTTTGTTCCGGTCCTCAAACGAGTGCCTCTCACCAATATCTTCAAATAGTGGTCCAAGAGCTGCTATTCGGAATGAAGTGCCAAGACTTTCCTGTCGCCATGAATTGCCAAAGTGAAGTCTATACGAGTCATCCAAGCCGAATGCTGATGGGTCAGTAACATCAGAAATAACTGAGTCGTCATCAGATGTTTCTTGACCAGAAGAGAACAGAAACTGGCAACTTTGGTAACTTTCGGTTTCAATGGTTTCATTGCCGTCCTCTTCCTCCAGTCTCCAGCTGCGCCTTGAGGGTTTAATCGGAGTTTGATCATGGTGATGCTGCTCCTCATCCTTGTCAACAAAGTTATTCATATGAGGAGGAACTTTTGAGCAATACCGCTCTTTCATTTTCGGAATCGTTTCGGTATGTTGATGTGAAAGATTTTATGCAAAATCGACAAAAAGTATTCTGAATTTGTGGTATCAATACCTACAGTAGTGGCTATGATGGATGTCTTGTCACATTGATTCGTGGCACTCTTTCTGTCAATGGAAAAGATCCGCTAATTATGCTCGTAAGTGTTTGTTCAATAGAACTGCTGAATGCGTCGTTTTTCTAAGATCAGAAAGGACTCGATGGAAAAAATGACTATAATTTTTCCATTCAAGAAAAAGCTACCGTACGTGCGCGCCGCCGTGGAGCTATTTTCAAATTTTAAGGACGAGCAAAAGCATAGTCATCGTAAAAGTGCGATCGCTTGAAAACAGAACCTATTTCCGGCGACGACACGTATTACATACTCTCTTGTTACGAACGGTTGTGCCATTTTCCAGTGAGAACATGTGCATGCTATGAATAGCCCCATGCTGTTTTTTGGAATGTTCGCATCATTCATCGGTCATAATTTACACAAGCTACAAATCGTACCGTAACCCGACCTTTCCTAGCAACACAGTCCATCGCAATGGCCGTGAAGAAGAAAAACTTGGACTTTAGCCAGGATAGTTCTGAAATGGAATCCGAAGACGATGCTGCGAAGTATGGCTACAACATATACAACGACGACGAGCGAGATAGCCCATGGAGTCCTCAAACTGGGGAAAGATCCCTTTCACCCCCGAAGAATGCCTCGCCGTTCTTCACTAAAGGGAGGCAGTGATACTCCAAGGCAATTCCGTCGCAACTCCCTTAATTTTTCAGGCGATGTATCCGTGACAACTATCACACCCGCATTAGAACTAGCAAATAAAAAGTCCCTATGGTTTGATGACGAGGAATATGCTAAGATCGAGGATAAGATTTACATGATTGCTGAACGCGCTCAGGAGGGAGGCGGAGGGCGCAAGCACTGCACTCGAGGACTGGAGAAAATCATCCACTTGGGAACCGAGACACGTCGTTGTGCCGCTTGGGATGCTGTTTTGCTCGAGCAAGAGAGTCAAATCCAATCTGGTGCCAAGTTTTTCGACGATGCCGCCCTCTCCCGAGCTTACCAAGAGGCGTGAAAAGAGAGCCGTTCCGAAGCAACAAGTCGGGGAATGCAAGATGCAAGAGCAGTATCGAAGTACCTTTCCGAGACAAGGTTTTACTGTCGCCGAATGTCCATGTGACACGGCGTGGATGAGCTGAAGTCGACAGGGACGATACTGTATTGAAGGATTAATTAACAGTACCAACATCACTTGGACATACAAAACAAATAGAAAATACGATGCACAAAAAATGGATAGTAATAGGTCCATTTTCAATAAAAGCACAACATATTTGTAGCACATGAAACCAACTATGACTCCTCGAATATAGGCCTCTGATCTTCCCAGTTCTTTGGATCTGTGAACCACGCTTGAGTAGTATTGCAATACAGTAGAGCTCGCTCTACTGAGTCGGACGTATTGGACAAACCAAAGTGTAAAATCCTGCAATCAAATAGGACAACATCTCCCAAGGAGAGTGATGGTCGGACCAAATAGGGAAAGACGTTGCTGTAGTCGTCGGTAGATCCACAATGCTTTGCAGTAAATTTCAAATTGTGTGACCCGTGGAAAAAAGCCGTCCCTCCGGCTTTCTCGTGGAAGGGAACACCCGGTGCAAATATGTTGATGTAATGAGCTGGATGGCAATCGAAAATCTCAAACAAGTGACTGCAATCGGCATGAATGGACTGGTCGGCAGCGCCTGGAAAGCTAACAATACCACCAACCTATTCCATTTTTTAAAAGAGACCAAAGTGAGTTGGCATCTTGATAAGCACACAATCCCAACCACCTTGTCAATACTGACCTGAGATACTCGAATGTCCTGGAATGAACCATCGGGTCCCGATCCTTCAAAATTGTACCTTCCAAGGTTTCCCTTGTACAATTCACCTTTTTTTGGATTCATTGTTCTTCTTATTACATCTAATAGGCAGGAATGGCCACGCAAAAAACGATGAAAGTTTTCTGTTTCAGTCTTTCCCGAAACGACCTAAATAATAGAAATCGTGGAGCGGTGGGCAGAAGTGACAGTGTTACAACGTCAATGTCATGGCAACTTACCACTGGTTGCCCAGTATCTCCGGTATCGTTTCGAAGCTTTGCTAGTGCGGGACCGTCTCGAAGATCAAGGCGAAGATCTTCTCGCATGGACATCTAAAGCAGTAAGCAAGAAAGTGAGAAGTACTGTGGTAGAAGCGAAGCCGTTCTGCTGACGAGCCCGTACCTCCCGATAGGACTGCGGTTCATTTTCCGAATTTTGCGGCTCCAATATGTTAACATTTTCCTTTTTGAGTAACTTGTCGGCTGCCATGTGCACTGATTCCAAGACAGCCGTTCCCCATTTCTGACATTCCTCTGGGCGCAGCAAGTTTCGAATCACCACATAGCCATGCTCTTGCATACTCTCTACGGCTTTCCTTTTGGAGGATTCCGCCATTTGGGATAATCCAACTTCACTAGCTGATAATGCCACCGTGCCTTGCTCAAGATGCTCCCGCTCAATGTTGTGCGAAAAGGAAGACGGGAGCCAGGGGCAAGTGGAAGTGTGGGCTTTAACAGATCGCTTTATACGGCTGACGTACTTCGACTGTTCGATGGCTGTCGGTGTTAGATACTCTTTGTCATTGACAATAGCCGGGCAGTTGCTTTCTTCTGATACCAATATCCCACCGGGAAGCAAGTTGTTCAGAATTGATCCATCAGGGCGAGACTGTCCCAGCAGTACAGCTGCATCGAGATGAAGCGGCAGAATGCCACTCAGGGAAACGAGTGAAAATCCTCTTTGTTCCAAAGCAGAGACGGACCCTTCACCTGGATTGAAAACGCCCACGATTCGATCCTTTGGCTTGACTTGTGGATTTCTCTTCAGGAAAAAGGTCGATAGATATAATGCCATGGCTTCCTTCTCGCGCATATCATCTCCGTCAGCTCCTCCTTCGTCTTCCACGACATCGTCGTCCTTTTCATCATCACTTCCAAACATATCGTATCCATCGTCTACCATTTTAGTCGTCTCCAAAGTGTGCCTGGGGATGTGAGCTTATCTGTTGGTGGTGCGACTATGCTTCTAATTTGGTATTATTGGATCTGATTTATTGACGACTCACTCCAACCCGGACAATGAGCAGACGGGTTCGGATGCGACTCATCATCACGACTGCCTGTCACACCTGTTTTCAAAAGTTTTGACACTGCTGTACCGGCGAGGTCAACGGAAGAATATTCTTCGAAATCGACTCCTTCCCTTCTTCAGCAGCCAATCAAACTACAGTCTCCAAGGAAAAGACACAAATGACTGCGAATGAATCGATGCGATCGCATCAATCTTCTCGAAAAATCGCAAGCTGCGTGCGACTCGGCCGAAGAGCGTCTCACTACCATTTTGATTTACAAAGAGTATCAGTGTCATCGATACAATTGCATATAAAGCTTAGTTAAAACCATGAGCGGCGATGAAAAAGATTCAGACACACCACCTGCTCCAAAAAAGCAAGAATCCGTAAGACAGCCTCGTCGAGAGGACCGAAAGGGGGAGAGCGCCAGGGACTTACACCGTAGTACACGTTCTCGATCTCGCTCTCACAGCTCGGACAAAAACCATCGTCATCGTCATCGTTCTAGATCTCATGATGCTCATGATGCGGATCGTAAGCATCGCGATCATAAAGATCACCACGATATCGCTGGTGTAGACGGTGCTAAGAAGTCAACGGGCAGGCGTCACCGTTCCAAAAGCCGTAGCAACTCTTCAGATCGCAAGCATAAACATCGAAGCCGAAGTCATTCCCATGATGGTCACCGTAAACATCGAAGCCGAAGTCGAAGCCATTCCAGTGATAAAAAACACAGGCGACACCGCAGCAAGAGCCGAAGCCATTCCAGTGATAAGAAGCACAAACATCGAAGTAGAAGCCGCAGTAGTTCATCGGATCGCAAAAAGCATCATAAACATCACAAGCATCACAAGCATCACAAGCACGAGAAATCTGGTTCTCTGCGCAGCAAGAAGCACAAAACGAAGGACAAAGAAGCTAAGAAGAAGAAAAAGGAAGAGATCGCACGATTGAAAAAGGAAATGGAAGATCAGGAAAGAGAAATGGAAGAAAACAGGGAGAAATTGGAGGCAGATATTCAGAGAAAGCGCAGGCAATCCAAGATGTTTTATATCTGTGGTTTTTGCTTAGTGGTGTGTGCTATTATTGGTGTCGCTTTGGTATTTCTTTTGAGAAAAAGTGACGAGGGTCCTGCTGCAGCGGGAGCAACGAATACAACAAGTGCTCCTGTCTCTTCCGAACCATCGGACAGTCCCAGTGGGTCCTTGATGCCATCAACTGAACCGTCATCTTTCCCAAGTTCCCTTGAAGCATTGTTTGATCCTCCCAGTTTGGAAGATTGCGAAGCGATTGCCAATGGCGAAGCTGTTGCCGGGCAGGACAATATGACAGTTCAGGACTTGCAAATCAACATGGATATCACGGTCACTGATCCAAATATCAACCCGGAAGATCTACTGCAGCCACTTCAGGACAAGATTGATGACACTTTGATCCCATCGCTGATTGACTGCAATGTAACGCTGCCAGCAAGATTCTTGCAATCCTCTCAACTTCGTGGCCGACGTAAGTTGCAAACTTCTAAAGAGATCCGTCACATTCTTGGAAATGCCTTTGGAACTGCTTCCTTTCCAGAAGGAAAAGAGTGTTTGACTGAGGACACCATCTCCAATCCATGCTATCGGGCAGAGGTGTTGCTGCAAGCTTTCGTCAAGGAGGGCGGATCATCTTTTCCACTCATCAACCTTTTGACTGGACTTTTGGCTGAAGGCGACAGTGCTGATAATAACTTTGGCCTTCCCCCGTCATTGGTGCAGGAGCTGCAGATTCTGGGGGTCGTAAATCTCTCACCGACAGATCAGCCCAGTGACCAGCCATCCGCCTTACCCAGTATTGTGCCTTCGATGATCCCATCGGTACTGCCCAGTCTAACGCCTTCCATGTCACCTAGTTCCAAACCCAGTGTAAAGACTGCCACCAAAACTCCTACGTTGGTCCCAACCTCGTCGCCGACTTATGACGAGCTGTCAGACTTCTACAGCGAAGTCATCAATGAACTCCCCGAAACCATCAACAATGTTATTACCTATACGGTGAATTGCGAGGGAAATCTAGGAGACATTGTCGTTCTAGCACGTGGCGACGACAGAAAAGAGCCAGTTTGCCTGGGACACATGCCCCGTGATGACTTCCTGGATGCCTGTAGAGCGGGCACGGATCCATTTGCTGTTCGTCTACTTCGTACTGACGTGGAAGACTTTGATGACTATCCTGAAGTTGCCATTGGATACATGTCATCGGCTACTTTCGAAGTTCTAGATGATTGCGAACGAAATACCTTGGATCTTGGCACTTTGGCGCCATCGATATCACCATCTGTCAGCAGGCAGCCAAGTACAGCGCCATCCAAAAGCAAGCAGCCAAGTACGTCCCCGTCAACGAAGCCATCAATGATCCCATCAACTAAGCCGTCAACCAAGCCATCAACGATCCCGTCAACTAAGCCGTCAATGATTCCGTCAATGGTCCCGTCAATCAAGCCGTCAATGATCCCTTCAACGATCCCTTCAATAATCCCTTCAATGATCCCTTCAACGAGACCGTCAATGATCCCGTCAACGATCCCGTCGATGGAGCCGTCAATGAACCCTTCCCAGCGTCCTTCAATAAAGGTAGTACCGCCGCCACTGCCGCTATGATTCGCATGCAAGTTGTGTTGCGCTCATATCGCGGCATCCAGGCTCATTTTGTATGGCCAGCCAGAATCGTAGTCTCAGTATGTGTCTATTTAGTACGATTTTTAAAAAATATGTCTTGAAATATTTGCACAAAGCTGAAGCGTCGCAAAAGTATACGATCAAAAGTTGGGACTGACTTTTATTTGAACTAGAAATATTAGCAAACGCAAAACTATAGAGATTCAAAAAGCTTTCGTGACAGCTTTGTCATGGAATCCAATGCCGCCCTACTATGGAGTGTGATATTGTTCAGCTGTCATTTTTCTTTTTCATTTGCCCCGAACCTTTCTTGATGCCCTTGGCAGCTGGCTCTGAGACTGGTGTCGCCACGATAACTGGACTGACACTCGGAGTAGAGGTCTGCAGCATTCGCTTTCCCTTATTCTTGCTACCGCGACCTTTCTTGGTGCCCTTGCTTGGAGTTGGTTGAGCAATTGGACTTGCAACTGGGGTGCTGGTCTGAAGGTTTCTTCTGTCGACGCCTTTCTTTGCAGCCATCGGAACCGGTTCGGCGACTGGGCTGGCGACCGGGCCAGTGGTCGAAGGAAAGGTAAAGGACTCTGGGGCAAATGTTGGTGATGGGTCGTACGCAAAGCATCTCCAAGATGGTGGACCGTCGGAACTAATAACGATACCAGACCCAGTGTATCCTTGATTGGAGCGACAGCCATTGGTAAAGACTGAACGGTCACAATTAGCAATCACTTCTGAACCGGCATTGTAGTTGCAGTGACAACGCTTGTTGCTGGATTTGTAGGCAAATCCAACCAAGTCCGAATCGTCCAGCAAAAGACAATGGTCCAAACAAGCTTGAGGATCGTCAAATCTTTCGGCTTGCCCACGGGCGTAAAAGACCCCTTCTGAATCTTTGCAAAAGCCAACTCCATGGTACTCCAAGAACTGTGCGTTTGCGTTATTATTGGCCATGAGCAATAAGGCAACAAAGGTGGATGTACCGGTATGAAGGAACATGATTATCAGCCTTGAAATCCTTTGATCAAAGAGAGACGACTCACTCCTCGAATGTTTAATGAGAGATTGAATCAAGGAGCACTCTGCGAATCGAGAAGATAGGTGACTGCATGATAGAGACTCAACGACAGAATCCCATCTGTGATGGGATATCCTACTGCGTGCGATTCATTCGTTGCAGCACATTTTTAGTCGTTCGTGCTCGTCGTTGAGCTAATGAGTGATAGTAACTCCTCCTAGGAAGAAACGTGGAATATGCATGTGTACCATAATGCTGAGGAGGAGATCATGATCATCATCTTGGAGTAAACACGAAATCAGAGGGGCGAAGTGATTTTCTGATGTTGAAGTACCTGAATAACGCGGGACTTGAAGTGTGAATGCGTGACCCTTTTGGGATTCGACTGACTGACTGACGAGTGAGCAAGACGTCGGCGTCTGCGTGTGACAGTCTGTTTTGTGCTATTAGAAGAGAGCTCTAGAAGTAAGGAAGGCGTATCCAACTACTGTAGTAACTTTACGAGGTAACTAGTTTCACCCTAACCCTCGACTGACTGACCGACTCACTCACTCACTCGATAAATCCCGCAGTCAGTCAGCAGCGCTATATTCAGGATAGCGGACATCGTCCAACATGCCATGACGGAGGCATCGAGAAGTGATCATTCGTTACTGGTCTACTATGCTGTGGGAATTGCAATAGGCTGCATAATTGCCTACAGCCTACCAAAAAATGAAGGGGAAATCGAGCGGCTAAAGGCTGCTGCTATCAAGGAAGAGGAACGAGAAACTTTCGGTAAAGTAAAATCTGAATTGGACAAGGGATCGTCGTCTTGGGATGGTGATAGCATACCAAAAGAAGAATTAGAGCGGATCCGGAAACGTTTCCGTATGACACCTCAGCAGATGACTCGGGTTGTGGCATTGTCGAAAGCAGAGGGAACACAGGACCCAAAATATTCATCGTTGACTCCACACCAACAGTTGAATCGGATGGTGTATCTCGTCATGATAATGGTGCTGATATACATACTCAATCGGGACTATGGGAATGTGGTTCTTGTATGGTTCGTTCAGATATTTCCAAAAGAAGCCGAGATCTTGGGTCTAGTAAAATCAAAGTAATGATGAGTAAAGATAATCGATCGTCGAAAGTTTGCTTCTCTGCATTAACCAAAAATAAAGAATCTATCTATTACTCTTTCTAAGCTATTCATAAGTGTGTAAATCACTTTATTCCACATACAGCACATATAGCACAAAAATTGAACCACTCTTTCAATACGGCGGCCAAAAAGAACCAAATCACAATATCTCGGCATTCTCAGATACCTAGAATACTTTCAGTGCGATTTGTGTGAGAGAGATGTCCGAAAGCAGACACTTACTTTCTCTCTCGCCAAATCATCAATCACCTCGGCCCACCAGCCGTCATCCGAACGTGCCAAGAATCTGGAACCTCCCTGTTTGATGCGAGTCACCAATTCCCAGGCAATGTTCGTTTTCATAATCCTGTCAGCTTCAGTGTACCGGAAAAGCCATTCACGAACAAGTGATCTCATGATTTGATTCCCCAAGTGTTCTTGAAGCGTCTTGCCTCTGCCCAGCAATATATCATGTGATCCTGGGAGATCAATTCCTGGAAAGTTTCCTGTTTGGAGGATCGACGCATCTCGAGTGTTCTGCTTTGCCATCCATCGCAGATGAGTTCCAGTCTTGAGTTTCATCCCAGTGGTGACTGGAATTACATGGACCGGTAGTCCAAACGTCATTAGTTTGCGGTGGCACTCCGTTTGCGACTCACAGCTCTGCACTCGGAAACGAACTCGAAGGCTTGGATGCAATTGATTTGCAATCGCATGGCCTATCGAATTGGCCAAGTTCGGGGGTGTACAGAGGTGGATGCACTTGAATTTTCCTGGAAGCCACTCTGGGATGGTTGTGCCCCCGCTTTGTTGGAAACCGTGGTCCCAATCAAACGGCCCATCCCCAATGAAGTAGAGAATCATCACAGTGCCCTTTTTCTGAGCTTCGTCGTCGTTTTCAATCATTGAAAGGTACAGGAAAGTCATAATCTTTACCTTTTTGGACATTGAAAAAAAGGCAATGTGAGAATATTGGCGCAAATAGGAAAGTGGTGTACCAGAAACAGTACATACCATACTAGCTGGATGCCTGTAGGGTAGTGACGATATCAGCTTCAGGAACATGCCAATAACAGCTCGGCCACTTCTATCTTTCTCGGGCAAAACTTGCAGCACACCAGTTTTCAAGTTATTCAGGTCGTCGCTATCAAGATCACTGGAACATATTGCCCTCGCAAGCGACTCAGGTCCAAAGTACTCCAACTTTCGCTCCATAAATTTCACGAGACGATTAGCGGCCTTTGCTGGATCCATTGACTCTGCTCGAAGAAACATGAGTAGGAACTTTCGACTTGTGACATAAACATTTGACATTTGCATTGCCTGATCATAAGCTGGTTTGATAGCGATCCTTTCAATCTCATCCTGCAATGCGGTTAGCTTTGTATTCACTGCTTGTTCCGTCTCTTCTTCCAACCGAGGAGAATCAACACCATGGATTTCTTCGTATACAGCACATCGCTCTTGAAAAGATAACTGGTTCAAGTCTTGTGCGATAATGGTGTCCATTGGATTGGAACCACCTCGGCTCGTAGCCATCATCGGAGATGTGTGCCGATGAAAGAAAATGTTGCGATATTCGATGGCTGATGGCTGATAGTTTTGCAATTGTGCAATTGTGGGAATCCTCATGGTCTGGGAAACTGGTGAACATTTATCGTGCCAGTTGACATTTCGAAATAAATATTGCTGATATTTTGGTTTTTGTTCTCGCATTTGCATTTGATTTTGGAAGCACTTGGAACTGTTTTGCGCAAAATTCGCGTCAACAATCATCCCATTGAGGAGGCATCATTCACAGTTCGTTCATTAGCGCAGGCTTTAGACTTATGCCACTCGGAGAAACGAAAAGCATTTGTGCTCAAAGGCGATATAATCTTTCGAAATTTGAACTGTCGAGGATCGTCGGTCGATGAATGTTCAAAATATATTTATATTATGACAAGACGTTTTGGTATTTATCACACCAGGTTGCTATGCGTTTTAATTTATAAAATCATTATCTGCTGGCAGAGCTATTAAGAACATAGTTACTTTGGGATCCCAATCTTTTCGCATCGCGGGTGTTACGTGGAGATTTCAGATTGATGGTGGCGGAAAGAAATTTTGGAACACGATAGATGAATATCTTACTATTTGGTACAGTATTGGCGCTCCAGCAGTGGGGCACTCAGCGCTCCATCGACTCCAGCTGCACAGCTGCAGCTTTTGCCGTTTCATTGATTAGGAATCTCCAGCAAATAAATCCCTTTCCTTGCCGCTCATCATAGGAACCCAACGCCTTCTGTAGTAAATCCTTATGGTTACAATAGTAGTCAATCACATTTTGACTGACTTCATGCTTCGACAACACCTCCATTAAAATGTAATGTTCCAAAAAATATGGGCCAAATGTATCCACACTCTTTTCCGTGGTTCGATCAAACAGGATAAAACCCATATCGTCCGCTACATATTGAATCGTATCCTTCAAGGGGTAGTTCAGAACATCAAAGTTGTTGAACTGCTCCTTCATTCCAATCACATACACGCCCTTTGACAAGCCTGCAATCGTATACTGAGGACTCTGTCGAATGTAGTTCTCCTTGATCATGATTCGGGGTTCCAGTGTTCTTCCTTGTTGCGGATTCCAATCGTCTGATGCATCTGCTTCCACTGTGCTCCAAAATCGACTGTAGTACTTGCTCTCGTCGCCATCGAATTTTTTGAAAGCCTCTTGAACAGCAGGTGTAATGTAAGCTCCTGCGATAAAATGAGAATACATGAACTGCAGTGTTGGGTATATACGGATGGTGTGCTCCATCCCTGCAAGCTCGTATGCAATTGTCGCGATTGGAACCGCACTTGGGAGGTTCAGAAGTATTTTTGCCTTGTCGTCCTGAGCTGATCGTGTATAGTCAAAGTAGTTATCAACTGACCATTGTAGGTGGAGTTGGTTGCGTTTGTCGAAGACGCCCATTGCATCACTATCTTGATTCTTGTTTTGCTGTTTTTGCTTCTGCTTCTGTTGCTGTTTTGTATAACTGATTTCCATGAGACTGTGCTGCTCCCCTGATAGAAATATAATGTAATCATCAAGGATGTCACCAGATGGAACACGCTGCTCGAATTTTTGTTGGACAATATGTTTCAACAACTCAGTTACTCGATTCTCTGATAGCCGCTCACCGCTAACGACCTTGTTAGGACTCCTCTCGAATTTGTCAACCAGAATGTGCAAGAATATTTGCCTTGGGACAGAGTTGCCGAGAACATTGTTCAGCAGCTTTTGTTCGTGGTCCGATAGATTCTTGGATATCGTCGACTCCATCTTCTCCAAGAAAACATTTACAATTTCATCACGATAATAGAATGACTTGTTCGACAGATTGTAGAGCGCGATCAATGTCAAGTAGATAGAGGAAATGTTCCCTGCTATCTTGCAGTCACAGTTGTGAACATAGAGATGTCTCGTAAGTTCTTGTTTTTTGATATCATGTACTGTACCGGCATGCTGCACCATTTCCTTTGGCACACCACTTTTGTAGATGCTGAAAATCGTGTCATTCATTGTTCGAGATCTTCCCATTGCTTGCCAGATCTTGCTGAAATCGTCCACATCGTGCGCAATCACCACACTCTTCGTGAACAGTGGTTGGCCATAATGCCGCTGGTAGACAAGTTGGAAGGGAATATCTTTCCCGATCACATTCCTGTTGTCAACAAAGAAAAATATCTTGTCTCGTAATTCTGCATCATAGGTGTTGCACATGTGATTGTAGAACTCTTCGTCAAACTGCGCATCATTTTCAGATTGTATATACAACACACGATCTCGATTATCAGCAGGGTCAATATGGTAGATGTATTTGAAACGATCGGGTCCAAAATGTTTCAAGATGAGGTTGCGAACGTCATGAATGGTCGATCGTTTGAAGATGCCACAGAGATCCACCAATGCATTAGCCTGAACTCCACCAGATGCTTCCTCTCGGCTGAATATTGAATCCAGCATCTCCATCTCACTTGTGGACTCCCGAATGAAGTCAGATGATTTGTATTCAACTAAAACATTGCTGTTCTGACCTTGGAAAAGAGCGAAGCGTTCTTCGAATTCATCAACAGTCAGCCCATCAGAAGTGTATGCATAAAAACTTCTATCGATCAAATCAGGGATGTCATCCTGCCTTCCTTTTCGAATGTAGTCAAAGGTAGGGTAATTGTCCAAGAATGGCGTCCCTGTGAAACCGATGCAATCAAAGTTGAAGATTATGTCAATCGAATTAACAGAACGAGAACGATCGCGAATTTCCATTCGCCTCAATATAATCTCATACAAGTATCGAGTAAGGCCATCTTTTGTGTCGGGATGCTTTTCCACAATTTCCGAGAGCTTCTCGTGCCCGTAAACAAGATCATCAAAGTCAAGCTGGTGAACAAAATGCGCGTTCCAGTACTCAAAGCTGATGAACTTTCTTTCACCTTGGAAAAGCTCATCATACTTCGCGACATCTTCGGTCAAAATGACGTAGGTCAAGAATATCGTGCGCTCTACATCACTGTAGTAGGAGCCAGGCATGGCCCGGTTGACGGATTCGTATGGGCGAGCAATGAGTCCTTTGTACCCTTCAATGTCATGGACAATATTCGTTGCGCAGTGCCGAAGCGTGTACTCGTTGAAGATACCAAAGCTTTTATTGATCGACCGACTTGCGTCTTGAATCTCAGTATGTATTGCGACAAATTTTCGATGCAAGTGTCCCCAGTAATCTGGATTTGACGAATCGGATAAGTTTGGCAAGCTCGACTTTCGATATGCAGCTTTGGATATTTCGTAGAAAAGGTCAAGGGTTGGCCTATCGAACGTGTTGTTCTTGTTCGAACAAATGTTGAATACTAGCTTGTTTCTGTCAAGGAAATCATCCACCTCATCGGCTACCACAAGGATATGCTCTCTTACAGACCAAACCTTTTGGCAAATCACATCGTACGTTAGAGCTTTCTTGAAGGAGTTGAAGGAAGCAACAAAGATTTGTTTCATAGCACCATCAACCTTGACGTTACGGTGCATCAGCGCAAAGATGTCATCGTAGACTCTATAATTCTGACGGAAATTTAGGTTCAGGCAGTATCGGTATACTTGTGTACGGGCATCAGATACAAGATGCTCTGGAACAAGAATGACCAGAATGTGTTTGTTCTTTCCCCCTCGTGCGAAGTACTTGTGTGCCTCCAAATTGTTGGACAAGAATGTTTGGCACAAAAGTGGAAGGATCACCTTCGTCTTGCCTGATCCTACTTCTGAGAATGTCAATGGCTTCTCAGCCTTGATAATTTTCTTCAGGAATGTCTTTTGCTTTGGGCGAGGAACAATCTGATACTCGCCATCAATGAAACGCTGGTATTTGGTGAAGTTTTCGCATAAGCGATCAATAAAATCATCCAGTGTTGCATTTTGGTATTGGTTCAAGTCAAAGAACTGTCGCTTGAAAATATCATCGTAATGTGTGTTCGATTCTGCACGGTTCAGGACATACAGAATTGCCTCCTTCCAGGGGCCAACAATCTTCACTACATCGCCTTCTTTCTCGATGTATTCGAGCAAAACAGAGCTGCGACGGAGATACAATAACACAAGGATGAAGAATGATATGTTTCGGATCTTCACAGCGACATCAAGCAGATTGATCAAATGCTGTCGGTCGGTGACTTGAAGGAGATAGTCTGGGAAATAGATGACAGTTTTCGATTCTGTCAGTAGCTCTGTCAACTTGAAGCTCTTGAAAACATGTTCATCGTTCAGATCCACATAAATTTCTTCCGAGGAAATACAATCCACCAAATCATGCTTCATGCCGTAATAGTCAGTGCTGTCGAGGAAATGGGTGAGAAGTTGAACCGAAGAAGCTTTTGGAACTAGATCCGACGAAACGTACCAGAATTGGCCTGCTTGTGAGACATTATAATGGATATTGGGGGACGTGAATATCACCACATCTTCGCTTTCCGCATACTTGAAGCAAGGAATGAATGATATTGCTTCGTTGAAGAACACCGTAGCAATTTCAACCCGAATCTTGTTGATCGATATGGTCATACCATCGGAATTCTCGATGAGCAAAACATTATCCGCAACAAACATGAGAAACTTCTCCTTCTCCCCGATCACTTGGAAAACATTTGACATTTCAAGGTACTTGACCATTGATTGCAATTCCATCGAGGAGTCAAATCGAACTCGAAATAAGTTTATCTCTGGTTGTTGTGGTCGAAGATCAAAGACTGGTAGGTCGTCGTACATCATATGTTCGTCCTTTTCCGAAAAGGTGTAGTGCTGGGTGACTTCGTCCAAATAGTCACTAGTGTCCTTGCTGAAGTTTTGTGGGATGATGATTCGGAATTCCCCATCGCAGTGCACCTTATAGTAATCCACTTCACTACTCCGATTGATTTGACACAGTGACATGTAGATCTTCACCAAAAGTACATAACTCTGGTAATCTGGGTCCGAGTTCAATAACCGAATCAGCTTGAACTGCCTCGACTGCACCGAGAAATTTTTGTTCACCAAGAACTTGTACGATATCTCAAATATCAGCTCTTCTACTCGACTTCGTGTGACATGATCGTTGGTGTTCTTCTTGTCAAATTCATAAATCAGATTCGCAACTTCGACTTGAAGCTCTTTCGTGTCCGATGAATGTTGCAGTGACTGTAGCAGCGGCAGGTTCAATAGCTTGACGTACTTATCATAAAGTCCAAAGTCCAGCATCAGTGATAGAAGACACAAGTTGACAACTTCATTGTCGGTTTTGAGTCGCACACCGTCAACTCTCGCAAAAATGCCTTCAACAATCTCTTTCAGGTAGTTGAACTCAAAGATTCTGTCCGTGAGTACAAGTTGGTTCATATTGCTCCTCTTGTCCTTACTAATCGTTGGTAGCAGTTCTCCGGTATTCATGGAGACAGCCAAATCGTTCGACTGGCCATATGCCGAGCTACTTTCCAGAATTCCATAATGGTAGGATCCGCAGTGACCTTTCTGGAAGAAAATCTTCTGACAGCTGACCGCAAGTAGCACACGAGTATCCTTGCCAAAGACTTGAATATTGCTCAGGTCCGGATTATTCCAGTACTCTTGAGCCACATTCAAAAAATGGAATAGGGTGTTGTATTTCGAGTAGGTGAATCCCATTCCAATCTTGAGATTCACCTTGTACTTTTGGTTGATGCTGCAGGCATTGTCCACTCTTCGGATGTAGCGTCGATAGTTGGACCGTGCCATTTGGTTGATACATTCCTTTTCAAACTCAAACGACTGTCGATTTGCCTGCGTCCGTGCCAAATCACAGGTATAAAAGACAGTTTGCGTCAACGAGTTGATTTCCTTTTCCTTTGGATTGATTTCCGCAAACCCCAGTCCAATAAAGTCCGACATGAAATCACAGGACAGAAAGTTACTCGAAAAGAGCTTGAAGAATTTCTTGCTCCTCCGAAAGTCATCCGTCGAGATCAGTTTTTCATAGTTGGCCGTCTTTTGGGTGGAAAAGTAAATGTGGTCCGCCAAGCACGAGTTGATGGCTTGAATCCGCTGCTTGAGAGCCGAGTCGACATCCACTAGCGTAAACAAGTCAATCAAATAGGTGTAATGGTGAACGTCCACCAATTCCTTTTGACCAATTTCGAACTGTGGCATAAAGTCTGCATTGTATTTTGGACGAGAAGCAGGTATGATAAAAGTGATGAGTTATGTTGTGTTTGATGGATAAGTACAGACTTAGTCCTCCTCCGTTTCCATACGCAGTCACAAAACTTACAATAATCCCGATACTTGTTGTGATCCTTGCTCGACTTGGTAATCTTCTTGTTCCCTTGCACCAAGAGTGCCTGTGAGCATTCTCCAATCAATTTGGACAATTGCGGATAATACCTCAGTAGTTGATTCTTCCGCCACGAATTGAATTCGCAAAAGGATTCCATTCCTTGCAAGATGCCGGCATTGAATCCAAACATGAAATTGGCCGCCCGGTACTTGTAATAATCGGCTCGCGCCAATTTCCGGACAGCATCGTCGATTCCATTGACGGACTGCAACGATTTGGTATTGGGCGAAGACGTCATGGCCCCTTCCAAGACAAATTTCGAGTAGGTGTGCAAAATCTTGGTCTCCCAATAGTATTCCATGACGGTGTTGTATTGCAACTCGTAGACTGGTATTTCGCCTTGCAGTTTGGAATTCAAATATTTCATAATCAATTGATAATACGGACTGGATTGAAATCGATAAAAGTCCAAGGGCAAGTTGCTGTTGGTCAGTGGTCGCAAAATGGTGGCTTCCTGTGTCCCTGTGGTACCATTTCCATCATTCGTAGCGGTTGTAGTATTAATAGTTGTTGCTGGTTGGACAAAGAACTCGAGGAGAAACTTGCACATTTCAATCGTCGTATGCTGCAACAGGGCAACATTTTCCAAATCAATGGTATCGTGTCCATTCAAGGATGGTTTGCACAACTTGCAAAGAACCGCAAACAAAAAGGTTTGAAAGTAGCAGGTATTCCCCGTGAGTTGGGTCGACATGAGCCGACAATTAGTAGCGTCGTTGATCAAAACATGATCCTTCAAATTGAGCGGGGCCTTGAGGAATTTGACCGCATTCAAGTAGCTGGGGGAACTGATTTGATTGATCTTTTTCCACATGTTAAAAATGATCCGCCTGGTTTGCGTGGCTCCAATCCCCGTATAATGATCTTTGTTTTCTTGGATGTGCTGCGAGTCCCCATAGTTGCACTTCATGAGCAAATAGAGGGCAAGATTCTTGAATCCATCTCCACTGATTCGGGTCAGACTTGGTTTGAGAGGATCGTAATACAGCATGGCGTATTTGCCCTTTTTGTTGTGCTCTTGAATGACTTGAAAGGCGGTAAAGTGAGCATCGATGCAGCAGGTCACGAACATTTCATGCGTCGAGACATGTTCCAGCAGTTCCTCATAGAGCATATTTTTTCGTTCGTACAAGACGTTTTCCAGCATGTCGACCGGAAGTACTGACGAAAAGAATTGTGCCACGCTGTTGTAATTGGAATGTCCCTTGTCAAAGTAGGAAGACTGACAAAAGAGGAGTAGCGGAGTAAATGTGTATGGATAGCAATCCAAAGAAGTGTTCTCATCCAAATCAATAGACGCATCATGGTTGATGGCGTCGTTCATATCCACATCATCATCGTCACCAGCATCTTGTGATTGATTCAGTGGATCATTGCCAGGATCCAAGCTCATGGTTTCCGTTTCCGCTTCCGCTTCTGGATCCTGTTCTTGCTTTTTCCGCAGTTTCTTTATCATTCGCATCTTCTTTTTCTTCTTCTCAGTGCTACTATTGTTATTGTTATTGTTATTGTTGTTGTACTGCGAGATTGCAGCTAGCGTTTCACTTTGATGAATGATGGATGGAAAGGATGCTGGTTGTGTGATGGCAGAACGTTCAATGATTGCAAGTCTTTTGGATGTTTTCCAACAAACACAATACTAGAAGGATTTTCTTTCTGTTTATATTCAGCAATAGCTAGTGTTTTGGAACCGAGAAACGATGCTGCGCTGTCACGACAATGCCTCAATGATTCCGCTTGGATATTTGTTTAGTTTTAGATTTAATTATGTTTTTCCCATCGTCACTTCCGTCTTGGAAGTCCGAAGATGTCTACGGACGGACGACCAAGACGGATGACAGGATGACGTTGGACGTGTCAGTGACAGACAAGACGTGATCATGAACGCATACGTTTGTTACGACTCCCAGGACTGCTTGATAAGCGATCGAACAAGTCGTCACAGTCGAACAAGTCCGAAGGAAGCATCGTCAAATATTAAAATTGCATTTGGACGGTGCTTCCTTCGACCTCGCTTCCTCGCGGATGAAAATTCAAGAAGTTGCGCTTCAGTATCTTTACGCATGTTTTGATTGGTCCATTTGGACAATCTTGTTCCTTCGCCTTTTTGGATCTTATATTCTCCTTCCGATCCGATGGCCATCAAAAAACAAAACAGAACCAGAAAAATCACGACGAGATCATAATTTTGGATACCTCGGCACTTTTACTGCAACATCAACAACAACAATAACAACAACTGCACTGTCAACAAGACTAGACGAAACAATCATTATTACAATGGCTCCACCACAAGATTCCAACAACCAACAGCCCTTGGCTACCATGACGGCCACATCCTCTGCTACGACCGTTGCGACCAAGACTTCTTTGCCACCATCATCATCTAGTGCTCCCATTGCTTTGCCTACTCGCATGGTCTTGAGTGCCTTTGCAGGAATGGGAGCGGCTACCATTTGCCATCCATTGGGTGAGTAACTATCTAACTACTGTATGGTGGATTGAAAGGACAAAGAAGCAAGAAACAAACAGAAACAATAGGATTGTTCCTTGGATTGACGACGACCACACGACCACGACGAACCATTGATGAATTCGCATTCAGATTTTGGACAGCTCGACAATGTGACTAATAACAATTGTTCTTTTATTCATGCCCATAATCATAACAGACGTCATTCGAGTTCAAATGCAAACCTTTTCCTACCGCAATACTGGACATGCTGCCGTTTCCATTTACCAAAATGGGGGTCTCGTCAATGGCCTGTATGCCGGAGTCTCGGCTGCCTACCTCCGTCAATGGCTGTACGGAAGTTGCCGCATGGGAATCTATTCCTACCTGCTAGAACAAGAAAAGATCAAGAAGGGTGGGGCCGACAATATTTCCTTTGGCACCAAATTGGGCATGGGCTCCATTTCCGGTGGAATTGGTAGCTTTGTCGGCACTCCCTCCGAAGTGGCCTTGGTCCGCATGTCCGCCGATTCCAAATTGCCCGTGGCCGAACGACGTGGCTACACCAATGTCGTAAACTGCCTGCAACGCATTGCTAGTGAAGAAGGCGCGGCCAATTTGTGGAAGGGTGCCACACCCACCGTGGCCCGGGCCACTCTGTTGAGTGCCTGTCAAATGGGTGTCACCAGTCAAGCCAAATCGTATTTGGCCAAACAAGAACAATACTTTGGCAAGAATGGTCAATGGTTGGGTGGTTATCCCATGATGCTCTGTGCCACCTTGTGCAGTAGCTTTTGCGCCAACATTGTGGCCAATCCCTTTGACGTTCTCAAATCGAGAATCCAACAAGATAGCAAGAACTTGTACTCGGGCATGGTTGACTGTTTCGTCAAGAGTGTCAAGGGCGAGGGAATCTTTGTCTTGTGGAAGGGATTTACTCCAGCCTTTGTCAAATTGGCACCCTACACCATTATCAGTTTGACCTTGGTAGACAAGCTTACCAAGGCTGCGACTGGAAAGGAAGCTCTTTAAATTGTGTTTGGATTGCAAGTGTTGCAGCTACAATGTACCACTGGCTAGGCTAGCCTAGCTTAGCTAACCTACTGTAGTACTGCCATACATTTGGCATGGCCGAGCCAAGAATGGAGTGGTTACCATTCGACCATTGCATGACTTTATGTATAACATTACTAACTGTAAACTTTTGACAATATTTTTACGACCCATGCTGACTATGATTCATTCTAGAATATGTACCGTGTACCGTATACTAGGGCCTATCCATAGGTAGATAGATACCTAGTTCCATTTTACTTTTTTGGTGATGGAATGTATGGCGGTACTGTAGGCCAAGCAAGGAGGTTACCGCATTTACCACATTCTTCGTTCGCTAGCTCTTTCGTCCAACTGTAAACTTTATATACAAATAACATCAAATAAAAACTTTTGAGACTATTAGCACGAGTATTTTACCTACAGCATGATTGGTGGACCTGCTGGTGTCGATCCATAGGTGGTAGCAGAATTTAGTATACACTCCTGTTGGTGGTGTGAAGAAAGCCTCAAAAATAGAGACAGCGGATTCGTACTGCTGTTAGTAGCATGCGATAGGCATTTCCAGCATCGATTTCTTGCGAAGCTTGGACTCACTCGTTCTTTTTATACAACAATCTGTAGAGCAGATCCGTTGCTAACATTCATGAAACAATTTCACTATTATCATCATCATCATGACACAAGATTAGCATGAGCACTTCCTAAACTTGATAGTCCTAGTAGTTTTCTCTCGTTGTTTATTTATATATTATTGGTTCTATTCTTGATTTATTGACAAAATGTATTGGTGGATGTGGATGTATAATAGCCGAGCTGCATAATATTGGCAATGTCCCGTTTCATAGCTCAACGTTTGACCCGTGATGGAGAATGATGACTCGAGGACGAATCATCGGATGAATCCCAACTCTTGCTTGGCGAGGATCTAACAGAATCATCCAATGAGTCCCAACACTTGGTAGGTGATGATCTCGCAGAGTCAATGATCAATTCTGTCTGTCGCCCAGCCAATAGGTCTTGCATAAAGATCTCCAATGCCGAGTTTCGTTTCTTTGGTGTTGTTGTTTTTTGTTCTTCTTCCAAGATGGGAGTCATGGCGGAGCAAGAATCGCTTCGGGTACTGACACTCAACCTATCCATGCGAGGGGAGAGACAGTCTGATTTGTTGTTCTTGCGTTGCATCTTTGTTGTTGTCGCTGTTTTATTTTGTTGTGTGATTTATGATGTGTCTCGTCACGTGGCATCGAGATTGCGGATGGAAGTTTTTTTGTTTTGTGCACACTCGCTCGTCACGACCAGCGGAGTATTGGGACTCCAAGCAAGCAGTCATGTTTCAAGACTGATCAGAAGTTCCCGGGAATTATCCACGGCACATGTACGACGAAAGGTACCACAAGTTTTTGCCTATCGTGTGTTCGCCAGCATGATTCTTTCGTTAAGTAGCCGTCAGTTGATGCCCCCGAATACCAAGGAAGTTAACAAGAATTCCTGCTTCTGTAGACAACGTACAAATCTCGTACTTCTAGTACATTATACAAGACCCCTCTGGCCGTGAAAATTCAAATTTCAAAATTACCGTCACATTTATCAGAAAGCAGTTATCAATCGGTTTCCATTCATGATGATGACCTGTATTTCAAAATATGGGTTCGGCAATGACCTGACTCTGACACAAACTAATTCCGCCATGATTGATTGCGACTCTCTCGAAGCAACGATTTGGGTTCGGCCTTATTATTCTCAATGACCTGACACAAACGACTTCCGCAAAAGAGACTTCACATTTATCAGATTGCATTTATCAATCACTGCCAACCACAATGATGACCTGTACCGGGCTTGGCCGTTTCCACAATGACCTGACACAAACGAATTCTGCCATGATTGATTGACCCTCAAGGCTACAGACTATGCAAAAGAATGACCGCTTGTGGTTGACGCGGGAAAGGATTGTTGTAATTTCAAGAAAGTTGGATAGAGAAGGGCAATCATGATGAGTCATTGTTAGAATGCCCAGGAGTAAGCATATCAAACTTCTTTTTTTGAGTAAAATCGACATTGCATTGGTCAACAACCGCTATGATAGGCCGTTCCATCTTTGTCATCGCCTTTGGCTACCAGCTCCTCATCACACTTTGTCAGCACATATTGGTGCCACGGACTTCATCCCCACGAGATGTCTCAGGAGACCGCAGACATCCAACTTTGCCCTGACACTGCCATTGGGTTGACATCTCGACCTTGGAGGAATTCAAAGATCCATTATTTTTGTCCTCTGCTCTACGAGTACAGTAGCTATGGCTGCACGAATGTCTTGGCTAGACGACGCTTTTCTGTCGCAAGGAATGGATATTTTCAAGGTTTTTGCTGCTGTATGCCATTCCTGCGGCATACACGTTGGATTCACCTGTCTGGTTTGACAGGCCCGACTGGGTACTCTATCGCTCACTTGCCCACAAAACATCTTGAGCAAATTGAAGTTCTACTCCTCCTGTCCCGTACATAGCCTAATACTGTCTTCTAATACTGCACATATCCGTAGGAAAAGTGAGCCTGAATTGTTGAAAGACCTTGAATGGGGGGAATGAGATTTGCACAAGACTCTTACTTCTGACCGATTCGCATCGTCGTGGCACTTGGCAACATGAATGACTTGGCTAATCTGAGATAGTTCCACGACCGAAGAACATGATAATCTAAGAGTCTCGAGAGTTGGATCATTGGTCGTAAAAACATGGGTTTGGGCTTCCGTCGTGGAACTATGTCAGATAAGCCGTTCTTCAGCGTTGCGCAAGCCTCATAACGACTTGCTCGGAAACCACCAGTGGCGTTCCAATACGCCATCTTCATCATATTGTTTCTCAGAAATTCTAGAGCGTTTTCCATCTTCCAAACTACTTGAGGACGTAGCTGTATTTTAATAAAATCTTTCCTTCGTATTTTGGTATTCAAGAGTATGGTGAAATGAAAGCGTCCACAAGGAGCCAAGTTAAAGACTTCAATCTCTCTCCTACCCTTGTTGTTACATGATAGCAGAACAAATATCTGTCGTTGTTGCAAGGATCAGATTTTGATATTTACGAACGTCAATACGACACAACGGCGAAACGCGACGTTGAAACGCGACAATGTTTCGTCGGCATAATACAAAAGAATCGGTGTTTCATTCACCCTGCAGTTGGTCGCCACAACTTTCGCTAGTTTCAACACGCACACTTCAAGCACTTAATGCAACAGATTGTTTAGTCAGAATCTGAAGTCATGTGTGCCGCTTCATCTTCGAAAACGTTCGAGACATGAATTTTGTCGTGTCAAATCTACTTATGACAGCCTTGTGAGTTCTCTCTAAAACATAAGAAAAGGTGTTTTTGCAACTGGTCCCAATTTTCTATGATATCTTGATCGGAATTTGCCGAAAGTGGGTCACAATTCTCGGATTTGCTTCAATCGATAAAAAACAACTAACCCGCACACAAATCGCAAGCGATCAGGAAACTACGGCAAGCAAATTTGTTCTCTTTGAACTAACCCTCAACTTTCCCTAGCTGTTATGAAGCTACTATCCACGGCAGAACCAAAGTGGCGGCAGGATGTGTGCCCGATTCAACCTCTGAGGAAGTGCAGTTCGCATGAGGAGGCATACCACAGAGCTGGAAGCAGTGACAAAGACGGTGTCACAGCGTCACAGTTACCATCCCCAGCTTCCGATGACATGTGTAGTGATCACTCCACAATCTCATCTGAAATTGTTTCACTGGATGCGGCATCGAATGCTTCATTCAACATTGACAACTCATGGCGGCAGGATGTCATTGAGACTTCAATACGCATTGAAAGTCAAGAATCCATAGAGGAAGAAAAGGATGCCATTGACCCTGTTGATCCTCGAATCAAAAGATCCACATCATCATCGTCCATGGATACAGCCCTTTTTGAGTTCGCAGAGAACGACACGCCACCTCAACTTGTTGTGCGGCACAATTCATATACTAACCGGACCATGGAGGCTGAGCCCATGGACACACGATTTGGTGAAAGCTCATCAGGAAATCAAGACACGGCAATGACCTTTCCGAGGCCATCCTATTCGCAGCAACTATCAATGCCAGTACCATCCGGTCTACAGAAGTTGGCAGAAGCCTTCACAACTGGCTGCGCTGTTGGTACACATTCGTATCGTTTGAAGAAATACCCAAATACCTTTGTTGGAAGTGAAGCTGTGGACTTAATGCTCAGCGCCAATCTTGCGTCTACTCGTGAAGACGCTGTATTCCTGGGACAAAGATTCTGCAAGGAGTTGAATCTATTCCATCATGTATGCTGGGACCATACATTCAAAGATGGACAATTTTTCTATCGATTCAACAACGAATGCTCCAAGGATGTGCGATGCATGACCCCAGTAAGCAGGGAGAACTTGGTCCCTCTGAGCTTGAAGTTTCTTGAAGGTATGCCTGTTTCGACGCACACTGGTCGTCGCTATAAGACATACCGAAACACCTTTTTAGGGGAAGATGCAGTGAACTACATGCTACAATCCGAATTGGCTTCGGATCGACTTGAAGCCGTATTCCTGGGCCAGCGGATGATGGAAGAGCTAGGAATCTTTGAGCCGGTTTCCCACAACAACCGCTTTAAGGATTCTTGCTACTTGTATCGATTTGCCACTGGGGATTGTCATTCTTCTTCCTGTGGTGATGAATCCGCGACTGCTGGGTCGCTATCAGAAAGCTTTCGCGCCCAGCATCAGTGCACGTCTCCGAGCCCATTGCCACCTTTCAATACTTCACGTTGGGACACTCAATCGTGTACGATTGATGGAGAACGAAAGAAGCAGAAAGTCGTCTTTGGTATGATTCATGTTCGATACTTTGAACGCCGCCTCGAACGCAATCCAGCCACAACTTCGGGGCCAAGCTTGGGCCTTGGTTGGAGGTTCTACGATGGTTCACCGGCTCCATTGAAAGATGAAAGGTCCGAAGCATTGGAGTTCCGAGGTCGACTTTCCACTCAAGATCGTTCAAAAATTTTGAAAGAATGGGGATACAATAGGGCAGACATCAACAGAGCTGCTAGATCCAACAAGATCATCCGCCAGAAACGAAATCGAACCTTCAATAAATATACGGAGTAAATATTTTTAAACGTCTGATTTTGAGTCGCCAGTTTCTCTTCAATCCATCCGTTCCTTAGTTTGACAGTCCGACTGGCTGAGTATCTTGCATACAAAGTCTGGAGCTCATAGATAAACAACAAGAGTGCGATGAAATCAATAATATCATAATTATTTTCATTTCCTGCATCTCATCTGTACCGGTACGTATTCGCCACAATCAGATAGTCTAAAACTTTCACTCAACAACTGTTCACCAATTTGAGTCGCAATCCATGCGTAATAGTCCTTGTGGCTCACAAAACCATGCTCGGAACCAGGTGGCCCTTGGATCACCAATCCGAGAGTGTCGTTGCTGAGAGTTGCAGCATATCGGTCGCTCTGTTCGCGAAAGAGCATCCGATCAAAAGCGTTATCCATGCAACTGGTAGAATTCTTAGCATTTCCACAGCAGTACGACCCTTTGTCCTTGTCATTGCAATCGATATCTGACACAGTACTTTCGGCGGGAATGACTAGAATCTTCGTTCCTGATAATGTCCCCCCATAGGTAACGATACCATTTTCGTCAACAGTTCCATCCAACTGTTGGTACAATCGAGATTCATTGTCAGACTCAAGATCAGATCGAACGTCCCAATACTGTGCAAACCAAAACCGAGCCTGTCCGTAGAGAGAAGTCACGGTGCCTCGTTTGTCCGAGGGAACAAAATCTTCGCCCATGTCTCCAACAAGCCCGCGGGTCAAGCCTGTTCCCCCTGCCAATACAGTGACGGCTTGAATCGCAGGTAGTGGACCACTCCCTTCTGGATGAATACCAGGTCGAAAACTTCCTGCTCGAATAAGATCAGGGTAACCATCCAAGATGGCAATACCAGTTACAGTACCTTGGTACTCATGAGCGAACCACAAGCAAGCTTCGCCACCAGCCGAGTGCCCAGCACAAACGTAGGGACCAGCTTCTCCAGCCACACCTAGTAGCTGCGAAAGTATAGCGCCTGAGTTGGGGAGACGCGTGGAAGAGGTTCCAGAACCAGTGGAGGTGTAATAGGTGGGAGTATAACCGTATCCAAGGCGATCATAGACACAGGCACGAGTGTTGAAACTACTCTCAAGTTCTTCTGCCAAAGCCAGCATGGTGAGGGAGTTTGCGCCACCGCCATGTTCGAGAATGACAGTGGGACTGTCCGAAGTACTCTTTTCTCCAAAACAGTAGAGGTGCATCTGAACGTCCATGGTATTGCCATTGAAACGGAGAGGAAATGAATAGACTTGACCTGGTGGAACCATATTGGCGTCCGAGGCGGATGAGATTCCCTGCATCATGAATCCCGTGCTAAACACGAGCAGGAATGTAATGAGAAATAGGCACAAGAAGTCAACCCAAAACCGCTTGGTACAGCACCACGAGCACCGACTGCATCGCTTGGTTTTGACTTCACTCTGACTGCCGTTATTTCCATTTTCGAGGTCAGCTTGAGTGGTACCTTTGTTAGGAGGAACTGATCTCTTCGCACGAAGAAGCCCAACTGTAATGCTTGCTGCAAGCCCACCAACAAGAATCCATAGGAACGAAAAAACTGATGCTGCAGCCTCGTTTTTAGCTTGAGCCCAACCAATGAGAGCCACGAAACCTTCCACGGCAAACAGAAGGCTGTAGAGAGCCCAAACATACAGGGCTGGGAGACCTTCTCGTGTATCGACATTTCGAGTGTCTCTTGATGAGGCCCACCATGTGAGAAAAGAGACCGAGTACCACATGGTGCCGATCCCTGTCCACATGGCAGCAAGCGGACTGGAATATTCGTACCGACGCCCTCCACCAACAGCACCACTGAAGGCAATGACAAAATAGGCAATGAAAATTGAAACTCCAATCGCCGCCAGAACTGAAAGGGCAGCTGGCCCGTAGCGTGCAACAACGACACTACTCATAATTGTTTTGTGTGTCCGTTGTCTCGTTTTTTGCTATCGTTTTGGTTTTGTGACCTCAAATCAATCCATCATTCTGGTGGCTTGACCGAAGGTTTTGGTGGTATTGCACACCCATCCCAGTCGTCGCTGAGTCCTGGTTTCGCTTCTTTTGCGTTTGCCTTTGAGTGTGAATATCCAACTGGGTGGTACATGCAGTACTGTCGCTTGCACCTTTGTTGTTTGAGTGCGAGTCAAGCTTGTGATCCAGGAACAATAACGCAATAAACCTCGAATCACACAGAATATGAAGAATTCAAAATGAATCGTGCAGACAGTCGGTACGTCAACCGCAGCCCACAATAAAAAATGAATGATTTCATGCCGAAGACAAAAAGGCAACGCAACGTTCTGGGAAACCGGAATGCAATCACCCTCTTCCCACTGGCAATGTCCGTCATCACAACACCATCAGCCAGCCAGTAGGATTAGTCGTCGTCCAGGCAGCCACCTGCCATTGGAACCGAAACATGAAGCCAGTGCTCTCTAGCTAGAGTCGCAGGGGCAAGGTGACCCCAGCAATCTCCGGCTCAAAACAACGGCCACGAGAACCAGCCATCATCATGAGTCGAGAAGCGAGGAGCATGTTGAGGCACGGAGTTTCCAAGACTATGTAGACAAAGAGAATGAAGTTTGGGTGGACATTGAATATGGTGACAATTGTGCATGGTGAGTATCTACTCCAAAATTATGTCAATACAAACGACACGCTGGTGAGAGGGTATATGTGGGAGACCAGCACGCACTTTCAGCTGTCCTATGACGGCAACATGCCCTGGCGTCCTTGTAGCTATCCACCAATGGTACGTCGTCTTGGACACGATACGACCATTGGATGTCATCGGATCAACCCGTCCCATGTGCCAATGGTTTTCCAAAAGCGTCACCCCCTATGACTGTTTGGGACCCATGACAAAATTGCATTCAGGATCCAATGATCTGCGAGGAACTATTCCTCCAGTCATCTTTGCTTTGATAAGCAAAAGTCAAGTTTGAGTTAGGAAGGCTTCGCTGTTTCCGTTTCAACTGAAACTAAATCCGCACACCGGTGTAAGCAGGCGGAAAATCAAATCAGTATCCAAAGGTTTGGACGACGACTAGATGGGTCAGCTCGTATTGTCTCTGGCCTTGGAGGCTCTTCTGCCGCAGCACTTGGGGAAGTAGACGAGTTGGCAAGTGACTGGGCACGTGAAGGGGAGAGAGGCAATTGTTCCCTTCAACAACAACTGTTGCAGTAATCTCTGCACTGTGAAAATCAGTCGGCGATAAATTTGCATTGGTTTCCAAACGCACTATTTTTTATTGTCTGTCGAACAATTGACTCCTTATTCTCCTTTCCACCTGTTCGTTGAAGTATTTCTTCAGGAATTCATAACCATTGTTTGTAGTGGGTGGTTTCTCACAATCGTCAAACAATAAACTAGAATGTCCAAGATGCAGCAGAGACTCTTCACATTGATACAGTGCAAGAAAGAATGAACAAGGAATGTTGCGGTTGTATCATGCGCTCGACGTTGTGGAAGTTGGTTTGCAGATCGTTTCATCATGCAGTCTTCGCGGTGCCTTGCAACGACATCGTACTCCGCCCATCATTACTGTATTACTGTATGACATTTCCAAATTCATCGTCACACCCAACATTGCAGTATTGGGCCAACAACTCACGCCTCTTTTCCATCATGGACTCAGGGTGGTTGCTCTTGAACGTAGCAAGCTCATGTTTGGAACCTGGTACTGCGGCAATTGTTGTGTACTGTAGGCATCGGCCGCCATATGCAGTCAAGCACATCATATCGAACTTTGCCACACTGGTCTGTAGTAGCAACCGCTGTCTTGTTGGAAAAAAACAAAACACGTCGCTGGAAGTATCATCCTCTTCGCGCTACCATTTGACGATCCAGCCATTTAGACTGGATTGAATTTGAAGTTCGGTGTGCACATCAATGCCGACGGCTACCGGCACAGTATATGATTATCTACGAGAGCGGGCATTGCTTGTTTCAGTGTTGCGATGGAATGTTACCTTGACGGTTTTATTAACTTTACAATGAGGGACAAGTGATGTTTTTGAAGGAAGAGGCACGATGAAATATGTCGAATAATGAAGCAAAGTGATTGATCGGAGCCGCATGCGAGTGTTGTATTTTCGAATTTCTCGTCGTTTCCGAACCCTTATTGGCCCAAATTAAATTTTATATGATAAGATGAGATATTGGGTCGCGAACTTTATAGGTGCTGTCAAGGATAAAGTGCTGTGCGCTCTTTGATTTCCAATCAGTTAAAAAATAAAAAATGTATTGTATTCTACCCGCGAAGTGGTGGACGATCGCGACAGCGCCCATGCTGATCTTCGAAGCCAACTAGCAAGAAGGAGATTGCAAAACAATAGTATTCCCCTTGTTTGCAACACTGACCCCAGTATCCAGCTCGTTCGGCGGTAGATTGTTGGCAACACGTATGTTTCTTCCTCTGCTTCAGTTCCAAGCTTGTCTTCTTTGTCATTTGATGGCTCGGTTTTTCGGGTCTGGCTCGCCGCTGTGGCTTCACCTCGTTGGACTAGAACAAAAAAAACACACCACATTTGCCGACTGCCTCCGGCGTCTGTCACCATTAATCTGTTCTTCGTCTCCTGCTCTCAGTTTCATTTGTTGTTCGCGATGAGGAAGCTTGAGTAAACAATTTGAAAGTAGTGTATGGTGTTGAATATGATTTATTCGGTTAACGATTTTGTATTTCGTCATCCATCACTTAAGTTGTATTTGCATTTCGTCTGATCAGGAGCTTCCAAGACGCAGTATATATATAGCACCGAACTTTTACCCAAACGAAAATGACTGCATACGGCTGGCACAAGCTTCCAGTGACCACTTTCTAGGTGAAACACCCTACCAATTCTACCTACGCTGACATGTCAAAAAGTACCAGCAAGAAGATCTCATGTTGCGGTATTCTTCTCGGACACCCCTCAACTCGTCCCTCCTTCGTCCTTTTGGGGGAATGTGAGTGATGAATTTACGGGGATACACAAGGTTGCAGTTTTGGAGCTCGTAATAGAAGGAGGTGCTGAGGTCAAGCATCTCTGACAATCGCCATCTCATCAGTGTATAGTCACACCATCCTCGTTCGTCGAGAAGGACTCAAGGAAGGACATCATAACAGCAATAACACCATCAGTTGTTGATTGTCATGAGCGAGTCCTCAACACTCTTCAGTTAAATTTGAGGCTTATGACTCCATCGCACCACGATTTTTGGTGTCTACTCGTAGAATACTACTTTATTAAGATCCAAAAATATGAAAGTTCTAGCTGTCAATAGTGACAGCAGTCGGTCTTGTGTCAACAACAATAGCAAGGTGGATCAAGACATGAAAGCGAACGCGATTACTATTCTTATTGTACAGTGATAATAATGAATCGCTTACTTTATCCGAGGCTTGCGACAACCAGCCATTGATTGTTGGATTCAACAGATCTCTATGTCCTTAAAAGCGTCTTCAATGGACCCATTTGGGACCCAAGAAAGATGAGTAAGGGCCAACACAAGTAAGCTCGATTTCAACGCAGCCAGCATGTGTAGTAAATTTTGTATTGTTTTGAACCGGGTCGAGCATATTAACGGCCCAAGACTGGATGTAAATTGGTGGCATTTTAAAAAATTTGGAAACGAATATCGATTTTTATATATCTGTCGCAAAAAACTTTTAAAAGTCACCACGAACAAGAAAACGTGTGACAAAACGATTTTTGCTGGGTATCCCAAAATATACAGGACTTCTGGGGGCCATGAATTCGACTACTAAAACATATTGGGGGAAGCCTATACAAAATGTTCACTCCTCAAATCAATCAGAGAAAATGCGGAGGGTATATTGTAGAAAACGTACGTACCGTACATTTGGTGACTTACCTTTTTCGTTGATTCATGATTTTTCATATCTTTTTCAGCCGTTTCTCATATCTTGTTCATAACTAGAACGAAACGAAAGGCAGATATGCGGTTTGCCTCTTTGCTCTCCCTTTTGGGACTTCTCATCGCCGCTGTCTACGCAGTGGCTGACGAGACAACAACTCTGTTTGACTCACTCCCCGATTTCAACAGAACGGATCTCTTGAGCCGCGTTGACGATCCCGTGATTGTATTCCTCAGCAACGAAGCTAGCCTTTCTGACATTGGCGTATCCGCTCAAGCTGAACTGGTCCTTGATCTTGTGTCTCGGATTCACTTTACTGGAGACGGACCCCAGTACGTCAAGGTTGCGATCCCCGATAAGGCCAAGGACACCGTTGCCGTGGTTCAAGAACTCTACAATCGAGGCATTCGCACCTTTGTTGGGCCAGAAACGAGCGCTCAAGCTTTTGCTCTCGGACAATGGGCGGAATCGGAAGTCGATCCCAAGGAAGATGTCGTGTTCTTTTCCTTCTGGGCGAGCAATCCGGGATTGGCAGAGTATTCGAGTATCATACAGTTGATCCCAAGCGACGTCGACTTAGTCAGTGCATTCTTGGCTCTGCGTCTCGACGTGCCGGGTCGAAAATTCATTTCGGTCATCCACGATGATGGCATCTACGCCAAAGGTATCGCCGATCTATTCATGAAGAATGCCCATCATTTGATGGCGGCGATGTGCGAGCTTCCGACCAACCAAGTCGAAGCCAGCCAAGCACGTTCCTGTACTGACAGTATTGTACAAGCTTCGGCTCCAGAAGAGACCATGGTGGTTCTGATCACTTCTGGACAAGATACTCGCGTAGTGTTGCAAGCAGCATTTGACGTTTATACTTCTCTTGGTTATTCAGGGAACAGTAACGGTGCAGTTATGTGGGTTGGCGGAGATTCGATTGCCTTTGACGCGAGCGCCTTTGATGATGCCGATGTTGAGACTGATATCTGGAGAGGAGCGCAAGTAAGTCCAAGATTCGCTTCACATTTGATTTCAAATGAAAAAGACTCACTTTGCTGGTCTCTGTTCGTGATACCTTTCCCTTCGCCACGCAACAGCTTGTTAACCTTAACGCTGTTGTAGCAGGTCCCGGTCCTTTGGCGTCTGACAATGATCTGACCATCAAGTTTTGGAATGATTTCGCAACCTTTCTTGGCAGCATGGAGGGCGACGATGTGGTTGCTTCGTCGGATGTCTCGCCAATTGTCCTTATAGCAGCTGATGTCGCGTCCCTTATTTTCGTTATGAGTTCCCAAGGGGCCATTCATGGTGGCGGGTGCGATCGAGAAGACCTTCGTATTGCCATCTTGCGACTAAGCCCTTTTTTGTTCGCTCATACTGGGCCTCTTCGACTGAGTACAGCGATGCAACGTCGGCAAATGCCTTTTGTTGTGGCGGGTGTCGTCAAGCAAGACTCTCGGCCCCCGCTAAAAGATGGCATTTGGCAATCCAAGAGTATTATAACCTTGTCCCAAACTGGGGTAAGCTTTGAGATTTCCAGTGCCCCCATGGCAGCCATCATCCCGTCCCGAAATATGCTCAAAACTCAGAGCATTTCCAATCGACAACGAAGATATTTGTCGGCGTCAAGCATCCTTATAACAGACAAGGAGCAAAAAGATCTGTTCAAAGGCGATGTCGTACTCATGGTCAAAAATGACAACATGTTTAATGCTTTTGATGGAGCGAAGGGAACAACTCTGGGTCAATTGTCCCCGGACATAAAGCCAATGAGTTTTGCTGCGTCTTTTCCTCGTCGTTTGGAGGAGGGAAAGTTTTCCCAAATCCTCGTGCGCTCGGTGATTGGGGATAGCCGGCTTGCTTTCCAGCCAAGCGGATGGGCAAGTGATAAATGTCTTCGACAAATTGAACGTACCATGACCTTTTCGGAAATGGCAGAAGAGCCAGGGTTGTCTTCGTCACTGTGCGGAACGAGTCAAACGGGATTCGTCCTCTCTTTGATTGGATTAACATCGGTACCCTTGACCGGCGCCGAGGTGTCCGACTTCGTGGACTGTGATCAGCGTCGTCTCCTTGCAGCAGGACGTGAAGCGGGCAACGCTGCTGCATCATTTCAAACATTTGTATCCAAGAACGGCGACGACAATGCAAGAAACCTGACTTGTGTTGAATCTCAAGTCCTCTACTCTCATCAAGTGGGACATCTTGCCATGTGGGGCGATCAGGTTTGCGCGATCGGCTCTGGTCATGCAAGCTTGGGTGAAGCCTATGAAGGGGTTCATGAATCATTGTTTGTGTCTTCTGGTCCTGCCAAGCCAATGTTGGACCTACCAGGTCTTATTCAAAGCATTGTACAACAGGGCAATGATTCTGTCGACCTCATGGACGAACGATTCTCGTCGCATATCCGTGGAGAAGATTGGACGTGTGGCTGCGATTCTGCCGGAACTCATGTTACCTGTACTCAGATGTACACGCTGATGGAATGTCCTTTGTCGTCCTCGGATGAAGATGGCGGCCGTTTAGATCTTGAGAGAGATTGTTGTATCCGTCAAGCTGAGTCTGTCAGCTGCGAAGAAAGCGATCCATTTACTTGTACCAACGCCATTATAAAGTATATGGAAGATCGTGATGAACAGTTGGCGAAACACAAGTCTCAAATCGCCATACACCCCAAAGCTGTTATGGAAGGGTATCGCTTACCATTGGTCCTTCAAACCAATACGACTTCGGATGCTGGGGCCCCCTTTATTGCAGACTTTCAGCTTGGTGAATGCTTTCGTTATGATCAGTTTGAAAGAGATTCGGAGATGAAATTTCAGGGGCAAGGTGACCCCAGCAATCTCCGGTTCAAAACAACGGCTACGAGAACCAGCCATCATCATGAGTCGAGAAGCGATGAGCATGTTGAGGCACGGAGTTGCCAAGACTATGTAGGCAAAGAGAAAGGAATTTGGGTGGACGTTACCTATGGCGACAATTGTACATGGTGAGTACCTATTAGTTTCAGCTGAAAGGGAAACGGCGAAGCCTTCCTTACGTGATGAAACTCAAACTTGACTTTTCTTGCTTCAATAGGTACGAAGTAGAGCCTGACGCTTGTGAATACTATTCGGACGATGAGGGAACGGATGGCTTGACTGCTGGCCAAGCCTGTTGTGAGTGTGGCGGAGGCAGTACTAGCAACTTTGGCGCCACCGATCCCCCTGTTGCACCTGCCACTGTTGTTCCAGGATCAGCCGGTAGCGACGCAACCGAGTGGGTCCAAGCTCACAACACACGCCGCAAGAAGTATGCCAACATGTGGGGACTCGAGTACAAACCAGTTGGATGGAACGAAGATCTTGCTGCTCAAGCCCAAGCTTGGGCTGATCACCTAATTACCAAGGACTGTGGATCCATTTATCATGCCACCGACGATTGCTTGGTGGCAGGAGAGAACATTCGCATCAAGAAGAGTTCGCCTGATCCTCCGGAAAAGGACATCGATGCTGTGCTCTATTCTTGGACTGAAAAAGAGATTGAAAACACCGCTCGTCCGGATAAAGCCGGTCATGCTGCACAGGTGCTCTGGAAAGGGTCCACAGCCATTGGTTGCGCCATCGCTACTGGATACTGCAGTGATATCGACTGGGAAGCCTCAGTTCAAGTCTGCCGATACTTTCCACAGGGAAACTACAACTGTGGGGGGCACTGCATCGACTCTGTGAAGAACAATACGATGGAAGTCAGGAAGAACGATGCAATTCAATCTACTAGCGCCTTGCACGAATGCCTCAAAAAAGAGGTTGACAATTATGCTTAAGCTCGATCTGTTCGACTGTCTCGCCATTGATTATCATGATTATCATATTGATAACAACAATCTTAAATCTTAGGCCATTTTCATGGATCTGACATAAAAATCAATGATGACTTCTTCTTGCACTCTTACGCCGTTTGTATCTTACAATATTCGTGCACTTTGCTCCGAAATGTATATCATATCATGTCATGTCAAAGTATTTTATATATTACAATGTTTGCGACATTCAAAGGTGTAATGCCATTCTATTCAATGCCAACGCTAATCCATGGAAACGGATGCAATGAAAATTCCTATCATCTATAAACAATTGTTGTTGACCCGACAGTTCCCAGAGGCTGCGTTCCTGACATCTTGGAAACAATTGTCATTGAGATTGCACGCAAAGTCGATAAACGGAAGCATCGGTAAAGAACCCGTCAACTGGTTCTCTTGCAAGTACAGCCACTCGAGACTTTTTAGATTACCAATGGACGTGGGAATGTTACCGAAGAGTTGATTCGATTCGAGTCGCAGCTCTTGCATATTGGTGCCCAGGTTGCCAATGGTGTCTGGTATTTCTCCCGTCAGCTGATTTGCCGACAAGTCTAGGTAGGTGAGGGAAGTCAAACTAAATATGACTGGTGGAATGCTTCCTTGCAGACCATTGGATCCTAAATGCAATTTTGTCATGGGTCCCGAACAGTCATTGGGGGTGTCACTTTTGGAAAACCATCGGCATACGGGTTGATCCGGCGACAGCCAATTGTCGCGTTGTGTCCAAGACGAGGCACCATTGGTGGAGAAATACAACGACGCCAGGGCATATCGTTCCAACAAGTAATAAATGGCGTTGGGGTCCCCCTCTGCTGGTTGCCAAGTGCTGGTTTGGAGCCAGGTAATGGCTTGGACATTCAAGGGTTCATAATCGACCAGTATCGATTCCAGTGTTTCTCGAGTCGGAGCCGGTGTAGGAGGTGCCGTAGGAAACGGTGTTGGGGCCGGTGTCGGGGCAAGCGTTGGATTCGGAGTAGGACCAGGGGTGGGTACCTTGGTAGGGCCAGGGGTTGGCGCTAGCGTAGGATTCGGGGTAGGGCCAGGGGTTGGTGCATTGGTAGGAAGAGGAGTTGGTGCATTGGTAGGATTCGGGGTAGGACCAGGCGTGGGTGCCTTGGTAGGAAGAGGTAAAGGTGCTAATGTAGGAGCTGCAATGGGTGCTCTGGTTGGAGGAATCACCGGCATTAGAACGGGAGGGCCGGTGGTTGGTGCCAAAGTGGGTGCAGGTGTAGGGGCTTTGGTGGGAGGAGGTGTGGGCGTTGTAGTCGGAGATACCACAGGCGCCATTGTTGGAGCCGAGATGGGTGGTTTTGTGGGAGACACAGTAGTAGTCGCTGGCGTTTCCATCGCAATTGGAGCTGGCGATAATGTTGACTCAATGGGAGTAGTACTGCTAGTAGATGTGGGTGCTCCAGTAGTTTCTACTAAAGCTTCCGCAGAAGTAGATTCCGTCTTGTCGATCACTCCGGAAAACATGACTCCCACAACCCCTGCCGCAATGACTGCCAACACTGCTAAAACTATGCAACACTTTTTCTTGTTGTTTCCATTCCGCCTCGTCTCCTCCACTGCCAGTACAACCGCCTTTGGTTCTTCGCTCTGCCGCTGTTGTACCATGCTGCGACGTTGTTCCTCTCTCATTTGCTCTAGACTTCCTCTCAGTCGTTGCAATTCCTCTTGAATATTATCCACGTCATCGACAATCTCCGCTTCCACAAGCTTATTATTATTATGATTGTTACTTTCAATATCATTGTCACTATCCGATAACCTTACTTCGCCCGAATGATCAATGCTGCCAACTCGTACAGCACCACGCTGTTGAAACTGATTTGGTACCGTCGCGGGAGAGACTTCGATATCCGGTTCCGCCGTCTTTGGGCTTTTGCGGGCTGACAACGAAGAAAGATCTGGTTTTTCCACTTGCTCCATAATAGAGTTTCCATCCATTCGTACCGAGCCCGGAGCCATGCGCAGTCGTTCACTGGACAGCGACGAAAGACCTACGGGAACAACTTTCTCGGGTGTCTTGCTGCTTTGCACGGAGGATAATCTCGTAGTAGGCGCAACAATGGTTGGCTCGGAACCGGGAGCTAGACGAAGTTTCTCGGCTCGCAACAAAGCTGATGATTCCGACTGCGATTGCTGCTGAGAAGAATCCTTTGGAACTATGATGTCTCCAACCTCTATGTCGTCTTCGTTTTCTTCGACTCTCGAAGCATCCTTAGTTTCTTTGTCGTCCTTCATTTTCAACACAAATGATGAATGATGATGATGATGATGATGATGATGGGTGTATTGGACTCACTGATTTCGAGTGATGAATATTATTGCTTGGGATGAGAGAGGATACTGGTACCGTACTTGTACCACGAGTGCGAAAAACATCGGAGCTTGATAAGACAGGCTGGCTCGTTCTCATATGTAAATAATAAGCGTTCAAGACCCGATTTGGCGCGCCCTGCCAATGATGACTTTACGGTAGCCAGTCAGACCGTCCAAAACTTCAAAACTCGAATCCGATTATCAATTAGAAACAAAGCAAGACAACGAAGACAACAACTTATGCCCCCCAATCTATACTAGTGACAACAACATAAATGTAATAATAGTCATAATAATAATACATGGGAATCTACAGCATACATCTGAAACCGAAAAGCACAGAACCGCCAATTCAGTCTGCGTCTATCTATACTAGTGACACAATAAAAATAGGAGTATCATACAATACTGCTGTGTGATGATACTCCGCATTACTGCCATTGCCTTGGTCAGATCCATGGTCAGATTCATTCGAATGTCGTCATGGATCAAGAAAGCAATTCAATTCTACATTCATTGTAGCATTCTTGACAAACATCAACAACCATTGTATATGATACACCGCGCTGCCACCGCATTGGTCAGATTGGAATAACACTGACCCAGAAAGCAATTGAATTCGATGTTTGGATTGTCGGGAAGCTTCGGCACTGGACCTTGCAGAAAATTTTCGTACAAGGACAACCATTCCAGGTTGCTTAGCTGAACAACTGTCTCTGGAATGCTTCCAGTTAGCCGATTGGTATTCAAGGATAGCCTTGTAAGACTATTCAGATTTCCAATGGATGCGGGTATATTTCCATCCAATCGATTGCCATCTAAGATGAGATGTGCGGCAAGAAATCAAGCGACGGTGTGTGAGTGAAAAATAGAAAAGAACATCATAGAGCATCAGTACTGTAGCAAGGCACATCCGTATACGCACAAAGTTGCAGGTCTACCAGGTTGGTCATATTATTCCCAAATCGTGGGATCGGTCCAGTGAGTTGATTTCCCCAATACGAAAGGACTCTTAGGTTTGTCATTCTTCGATGTCCGGGCATGAATCCGGTCAAACTGTTGCCGTTCAAGTACAAATACTCTAAATTCGTCAGACTTTGAATCGTCGCTGGAATACTTCCTGATAAGCCAGTGCTAGCTATAAATATGCAATCATGGACGATAATGCGAGGTCATCAAACAAAGAGAACGTTGTGAGACTAACTGGCTGACTCGATACTCATTTGTCAATATAAGAGCAATCAGCAATTCACATACACACACACAAAGTACGTACCCAAGTCTAGAAATGTAAGGTTCTGCAGATTCTGGATAGTGTCGGGGATGCTACTCTCTGTCAATTGATTCCTGGCAAGATCTAGCTTGGTCAAGGCACTGAGGCCGAACAATGCCGACGGCAAGGAACCTTGCAAACCGATCAATTCTAGTATATAGCATGATGCATAACGCAATTCAGTGTCAGCTGGGCGTTTGGTCATTCATTCGTCATATAAAGTATATATAGTGCTCCCACACAATACTACTATGCAACTTACTTAAAACAAGACTGGTCACTGGTCCTGGGCAGTCTAGGGTGGGTTCCAGAGAGAACCAGGTACAAGCTGCTTCGTCCGACAACCAGTTATTATTGATGTTGCTGTTGATGATGGCCCAATTTGGACCATTCGTGGAGAAGTACAAGAAAGCCATGGCATATCGCTCCAACCATAGATAATCACCGTTTGGATCTCCTGGGTCTGGTTCCCAGGTGCTTGTCTCGAGAAGCCAATCCATGGTTTGCTCGTCCAAAGGTTCATAATCACGTAAGATGCCTTCAACTTTGCTTCGAAGGGTGGTGGGTGCTTGAGAAGGAGTTTCCGAGGGGGGAAACGTGGGAGCTTGAGAAGGGGACCCTGTTGGAAAGGATGTTGGAGCTTCGGTTGGGAAGCCCAATGCAGCTCTTGTAGAGGAAGAACCACCCAATGCTCCACCGAGGATTGCCACAATAACAATGACAACTAGTGCAATCAGAATCCATCGCTTTTTGCCATTGCATATCCTCGAGTTGTCAGTGGTTTCAACCTCTTTTTCTTCTTCATTGCTTCGTTGTTGTTGTTGTTGTTCTGCCTCTAAAGGTTCTGGAGGATGAGTTTGGTCTTCTATTGTTCTTGTTTCTCGTGCACTGCTTACTTGCTGTGGTAACTTCCTCCTCTCTTGCGCCACATCGGGAGTGACCTTGTGAACAATGATAGTATCCATGATTGAATGATCCTTCGGTTTAGCATTGTTAACTGGTGGAGCAGGTTGCTCATCAATTGGAAGGCCATGGTCCATCTCCACATCACGGGATTCAACTTTGCTGTTGGCAACAGGAGCAGCAGGTCGCTCATCAAATGGAGCGTCGTTGTCCATTTCCAATAGGTATATCCCTTCCACCGCTTCTTCAACTTCTCTTCTTTGATTGCGACGCCGCGATGATGATGATGATGTTGCGTGCGCGATTAGGTCTATCCTAGTACATGGTCTACCAGACCGACGACTGACTGACCGACTCACTGAACAATTTCCATTTACTTTCACTTATTTTCTAGCGAAGTACAGTAACTGCTACAGCACTTTCATCATCCACTCGATGATATCATCGCGATTGTATTGTATTGCATAGTCCAGAGATGTCAGGCCACTGTTATCTGTTTCCAGGATTGGTCCGTGTTCCATATGTTTTGCGGAGGACGAATCAGCACCCTCCTGCTCCTGGACGGCGCCGTCGTCCTCCGCCTCTTCTAATAATAGTGCGGATGCTGACGAAAAATATTGATGATAGCGTTTTCCTGCCAAATATTGACATACCTTCAGATGTCCTGCAGCCGCAGCCCAATGTAAGGCGTTTTGGCCGCGCTTGTCAGCGTACATTGGGTCGGCTTCACCTTCGTCCAACAACAATTCACAAAGCCTCACATTGCCACCCCAAGCTGCGTACATCAATGGGGTACTATGATGGGTCCTACAAGGTAGGTTGCAAAGCTTAACAACAGAATCTTTACCACCCTCCTCAAACACCCGATCGATCATCCATTGACACACTTGAATAGAGCCTTTCAGTAGTAGTTTCACAGGATTCGACCAAGATTAAGAAGTTGTTAGCCAAGAATGTCAGAAGCATATGCACAGCACTGTTCATTCTGATCTATTCTTACCTCCACCACCTTGCAAGCTCGTAGTCATACCACATACGGCCCAGTGAAAGGGTGTTGTGCCCATTTTGGGGTCTCTTGTATTGTCCAATAGCTCCAACAGAGATGATGATGACTCGTCGTGGTGTTCTTGAAGAAGTGCCTGAATCAACGCTTGAGTTCCTGCCAGTTTACCTGGGCCCGCAAGCCCATGCAGTGGCCCAATACCAGTATTCGTATCGTACTGATCTCGCAATCTGTAGAACAAAGGGCTTATTACGACCGAATCATGATCCTTCTTCTTGTTCGTTCTTCTTCTTCTTGTTGTTCGAGGATGGTGAATCGGGGGCGATTCTTGCAAGGACGATGGATTCACCGAGAAAGCACAAGTTGCTAGTGGCCCTTTTAAGATGAACAGGCAAAGTGGTAAAGTGTTTATAGGGATCTTCATGAAGTTTGGATGTATTTCAAATCATATGGATTGTGATTTGTGGATGAGTGATTGATGACGGTTCTCATAAAATATATTTCTTTTGAACAGAATTTGAAATTGAGAATATGATACAGGTTCTCATTCTCGTCTTGCTGCCTCCCGGAATGAATCAATCAATCGTTTCATTCAGGTTGGTCAAATATGTTCAATGTTATCAAGGTCTATTCATTCTTATAGCTAGCTAGAGTACTGACAGTACATCCATGCAGAATATTCAATATGGATCGCATCGTGTCATCGTTCGGCTATTTTAAAAAATTTCACAGATTCAAACGAGAAGAAAATGCGTACAAACTCGTGGTGGTAAAATATCCTAGTATTATAATATGTATAGTTACAGCATCATTCATTCGAATGATGCCTCGCTCTTGAACGAAAGAAATTGGTAACAAGATTCATTCCAATTCAATAACAGTTATCGAAAAAGATGCATCGGGATGTCATGGCATTGGTGATATCTGAAAAGCAACTACCAAGAAAGCACTTTCTCACTGTGTCGGAAAGTTGTGGGAAGGAACCTTCTAGTCGATTGTTTTCATCTGCGAGGCGATATGAACGAGTGAGTAACGTGAGTGAGTGACGTGAGTGAGTGAGTGATCATGCAAGAGAGAAAATTGAGGCAATCCCATTGGCAACACAATGCAGCATGCCACTTACACAATGATAGCCATTGCAAATTGCTCATATTCAAAAAGCTTTCGGGTATTGTTCCGGATAGATCATTCGTGTCTAAAGAACGAATCAATCATGCGGAAAGAAACAAGGACCACGTCAGTTAGAGATGATGATTCGATTCATTCATCCCATGCATCATCACTTCACTTACGCAAGGAGAGTCGAGAGAGACTCGTTAGACTTCCCAGTTGCGTCGGCAAGGGACCACTCAATTGATTTTCAGCTGGATGTTGATTGTAGATGAATTGAGGGATCGAACAAAATGAAGTGAGAGTCTGAATGCAAAACACTTGTTGCTGTCGATCCCCTATGGTACTTACACAAGGAAAGATCCTTGAGGCGGTCCATGTTCCCAATGGAGGATGGAATCGTTCCGCCCAATTGGTTACCCCATAGCGATAAGACTGTCAAGTTCGTCATGTTTCCAATCTCTTCGAAAATGGGGCCTGTCAATTCGTTGCCAGCTATTATATATAAAGAAATGGAATACAGTAAGTATTAGTGTGTGGAAAGTCAGAACAACATAATTCACCAGGCAGCAAAAAGCATCTGCAACTAACAAAATTATACTCACACAAATAGAGGCTTTCCAGCTGCGTCATGTTTCGAATGGAACTTGGAACGCTTCCTTTCAATCCGGTGCTCGCCAGGTCCATAAACGTCAAGTGCTTTAGTAGGTAGTTGCTAGTATCGGATGGTATAGTACTGCCCGTCAATTGGTTTCTGGCAAGGTGCAACTTTTTCAGGTTGCTGAGAGCAAACAGCACTGATGGCAGGGTCCCTTCCATTTTGTTCAAATCTAAATGTATATAAATTATAGATGGAGCAAGATAGAAAAGGTATAAGAAATATGTACAGTACAGCATTCATTTCCAATGCAATGCAATTCAATTCAATGCAATTCAACTCGAATTCACTTACACAGGACAAGATTGGTAATAGGTCCAGGACATGCATTGGGTTCCAAGGAGAACCACCGGCAAGTGGGTTCATTGGACATCCAATAATCATTTCGTGCCCAATAGGGACCATTGGTGGAAGAGTAGAGCAATGCCAAGGCATATCGTTCCAACCACAGATAATTTTCAGTTTCATCACTGGGATAATTGCCAATCCTTGCAGTAGTAGGAGGAGTCCAAGTGCTAGTCTCCAAAAGCCAAGTCATGGTGCGTTCGTCCAAAGGTGCGTAATCCTTCAAAATGTACTCGACTCGTCCGCGCCGTGTCGTGGGCGTCCAATGGGACGGAGACGGCGTGGGTTGGGTTGTAGGAATGGCATTAGCCTGGTTGCTGTCACTGGAGGTGGTTGTGGGCGCGTCATTGCCGTCATTCTTGTTGTTATTATTCAGCAACAACATTCCAGCCAGGATTGCCACAACAATGGCCAACAAGACAATCACGCTCCAGAGTACTTTCTTTTGACTGACGTTCCTTCTGTTTTCATTTTGTGTGTGTGGCTTTTGTGGTTGTTCTTTCTTGGCTCCAACCACAACTTTAGCGTCTACATCTTCGTTGTTCTTCTTCACTGCACCCTCTTCTTGCTGTTGCACCACCACATCAGTAGTTGTTGGTGAGGATATCATCGAGATGTCATCCGTTTCTTCGGTAACAAACGTAATGTCATCTCGCTGGAATACAGAATTATCGTCCTCCATGATGCTATGTGTGTGTGGTATGTATGATAGTTGGTGTTGTTTGTTATTTATTCCTACAGTACTGTACCGTACGATTGCTGCTCCTCTATCTGTTACCACAGAAGATCTTGCTTGCAGTGGAGGGAATACAGTACTGTAGGTCTTGAACGAAGGCTTGGAAGAAAATCTTGGTACAGCATGTACGTACAGTAGGGTACGTGTACCATTAGTCAGACTGCGTAGAAATCCCACGTGAGATATCGGCTATGTGAGAACGAAATAAATCGCATTATATTCATTCCTCATGGCGAATACCACAAAAATCAAATTCATGTCCCAGCGCGCGAGCGTACCTCAAATTGGTTTTTCGGCTCGCCAAGGCTTTGGCGACTGGCGACTGGCGATTGAGTTTTATTTTGAGTGTGTGGTTTTTTTTGGGATTCCAATCATCATTCCATTGCTATCGTTTGCCGCTGCATTCATCGTCGTCATCATCGCACACTAACTACAACAACAGCAACTACCCCATAAACAACTCGTTGCAATCAGTACACAAACCCACGCAAGTCTAGTTAGTTCCTACAAAACAACAAACGTCACAAAGTAGTATCAAATAATCAGAATAACATGGGTGCCTCCGCTTCCAGAGAAAAATTTCGGGAATCCGTCGCGGCCTTGGTCGAAGTCGATGTCAGCACGGACGATGCCGACTTTTGGGATGAATTGTGGAAGATTCCCAGCACTCCCGAAGAAGTCTTTGAATTGATTCCTCCCGCTGCCGCACGAAGGCTGAGAGACGAGCGATTTGAAAACTTGGCCACCTTGTTCACCCAAGCGACGGCCCAGTTGTGTCAAATTGTCGAAACTCCCTACAATATTTACTTTGATCAAGCACTGAACTGTGTTCGTGTCTTGACCAGAATTCTTCCATTCTTGCTGGAAAAGGGTAAGAGAAGAAGCACGAATCAATCATTTGGTTGTTGTGTTTGCCACGTTGTTGGGTGAATCCATGATTCTGACTGTCATTTTTTTTCGTCACTTCCTTTTTTTAAATCTCTATCCACTCTACTCCACTCCGCTCTAATTTTAAAATAATTCTCTTAGGTGACTTGGGAGATGCCGATGAAAACGTCGAACAACTTTGCTGGGGAACTGCTGGAAACATTGGGGATGAAAAGATTGGTCTCATGATTGGCGGTGCCGAAGGCAAGTCGGTAGCTTCCTCCCTTCCTCACCAAGGAACTGGAATGGGTGATGATCAAGAACCACTTGCCCTACTTGTGGTCCATGCCGCCATGCACATGCTGTTCCTTCCACAATTCACTTGCGACTTTCATGAAACCAAGGAGTCGGCAGCATCGTCTGGACTCTTTGGACGCAGTGAAGAACGGGAAGATCGTGAGATGCGGGCCGAAGCTGGACTTCAGACCAAGGTCATTGAGAATGGTGTCAGTCTCGTCCCTCGTCCTACTTCTATTGTCTGGGCTTCTGGTACTGGAATCAATGGAAGCCAATCCTTGGGAAGCGACTCGGCTTCTCGCAAATACGACAAGAATCGTGTCGAGGTCCTCCGACTCATGTTGGCGGCATGCTGCGATCCTTTGTTTAGCCCTGCAGATGAATACAACCCATTGGCCTCGCGTTGGTTGGCGGTTGCCACGGCTGCAGATGCTCCCAACGCCCCATGCTTGTTCCACAGTCTGTTGAACACGATTCTTTCCTTTGATCCCTCGGCTGGTCTTGGAATGTCCGACACACACGTACAACTCGTGGAACTTTCCACTCAAGTCCTGGCGGCTCTATTGGATTGCGGTCTTCCAGGAAACCCAGAACCTGTTCAAGATTCCAATGGCGAGCCATTGATTGAATTCGAAGCTGCCAGCAAGGGAGGATTCAACGTCTTTCGTACACTCATGTCCCGAATTGAAACGACCAAGGAATTGGACTTTATCTTCAAGGGCTTTTCGCGATTGTTGCGAAATGTGTACGAGGCCGAATCCAGTTACCTACCAGGATCAGCTCCCAAAATGGAATGCTTTCAAGAACTTTTGGTTCTGCTATGGAAGTTCCTGGAAGAGAATCCACTCTTTGTTAACCACATCCTCACCAAGTGCGATGTCAACGAGCTTGTCGTACCCATTTGCTATTTGATGTACAAGTCACGTCGGGATCCTGCCCAAATCGGTTTGGTTCACATTTGTACTTTTGTTCTCCTCAAGCTTTCGGGAGAACGCTCCTTTGGAGTTTCCCTCAACAAGGCTTTCAAGAAGAAGCTTCCTTTGGACATTCCTCTCTTTTCGGGAGGTCACAATGATTTGTTGGCAATCACTTTGCACAAGTTGGTGGTCAATGGTGCCTACAAACTTGTACCATTGTATTCTTGCTTTTTGACGATCATATGCAATATCTCTCCCTACTGGAGAAGCATGAGTCTAGTGGCTGCCGTCAAGATGGTCAACCTATTCGAGCTATTTTCCAGTCCCAAGTTTTTGTACTCGGGAGAAAATGCTCACCGACACTTGGCACTCTTGTTGGAAGTCTTTAACAATGTTCTTCAATATCAATACCAAGGCAATACACACTTGGTCTATGCGATCATTCGACGAAAGGACTCGTTTGGACGTATTTCTTCCTTGACCTTGAAAAAGGCCCAAGAACAGTGCCACAAGGTGTATGGAGACAAGAACTCGACTCACTATGACGCAGATCGTGCGCGTCTTGCAAATGGGGATCCCAAGGGGGTCCCAGTGGGTGAGGCCCTCGGAGCTGGTGGTGGCATGGAGTCTGGAGAAAAGTTCCAGCCAACCGAAGCATGGTTAATGGAATTGAAGGAGAACCTTCCTTTGGAGACTGTCACAAGATTGCTACAGCACTTGGTTCCTGTCGTGGACGAAATTGTTTCTAGCAAGTCTGGTGTCGTTGACGAAGGTGAAATCTTGGAAGTCCTTCACGAGATCACCATGGTCGGCTTGTTGCCAGTCCCACACCCCATTGTCATTCGCAAATACCAACCCAACCAATACACCGCACTTTGGTTCACTGCCTTTATGTGGGGTGTCATCTTTTTGCGAAACCAAAATCTTCCCATGTTTGATGGAAAGTGCATTGAATTGTTCCAAGTCAGTGTCCAAGAAGAGGACGTTTACGGATAACAGAAAACAAACAATACAATTCTCTTCCTTGCCACCAACCACCACCAACAACAACAACAACAAGAAAAAAAATCAAGCACCAACCAAAATCAAACGCTCCATTGTCTCGTATAGAAAATATCATATTGTTGGAATAGTTAGTATCAATTAAAAATTAAATAGGCAGCTCAAGTAAAACAACAACACGATTGCCAAACGAAAATGGATTGATTTGAATTGAACTATGATCTTAGAGCATCATACAAAAATGATCGATACACATGATCGCATTTTGGTATTTGTCAACACCAAGACTACAGAACGTACAGCTGCCTTCAGCAGACGATTGGTCATCATCACCACTGCTCTGGTGGTGAGGAACCGCTGTCCTCGTATCGCTTTCATTTGCAACCCCTGAAGCCGCTCGATTGCCTCTTTTTCGTACTTTCTCCGATCTTTTGGATGATTGTTATGCTTGTCGTCCTCAAGCCACTTTTTGGCTGTTTTGATTCATTCATTCATTCATCATTTAGTACATCATCATGCTGCTGTCGTTGCTGATGATGCATGATGATGATAGGCACAACAATAAAATATTTAAATATTTTATTGTTAAATATTTTATTGTTGTGCCTATCGAGCAAGATAGCCGTGCCAACGATCAGAGAAAACTTCTATTCTCAGTCTGGCTGGCTGAGCAGGCTCTGTTGTTGACATCCCATCGCGCACTTTGCCATAACGGGGTGGACGATCCAAACAAATTCAACTTGTTTGTGATGTGCGTATTTTCCAGTATTGTTCCACCATTGATTGATTACCTTTGTTCCTTGACAAGTGCGTGGCTGCTTTGGATTGGATATTCTCTAGGATTTAGGGGTTAATATTATTTTATCAATGATTGCTTCTGTTCCTTGGTAGTCCTAAGTTTGAAAGTGCGTGGTTCCTTTGGATTGGATATTTTCAATTTGCAATTTCAGTCATTGAAGATGATTTTGTCCTTGGCATTATCAATGATTGCGTTTGTGTTCGCTGGAGAGTGCGTGGTTTGTTTGGATTGGATATTTGGACTTGTCAATGGTATTCATTGACACCCACCGCCTCTCCGATCCCTTTCTATGTAGAAGAAAGGTGTCAGCGTCAGAAAATGTGGGTTCATTGTTGTTCTTTTTTCTGTTTTCTTCTGTGATTGGCCGAATCGGTTCGTCTGCCAACTGCTTGACGTGGCCAAGCACCATTTCAATGGAAGCGGTTTTCGGCGTTCAAGCTCTGGCACTTTTGGTGCCGCGAATAGTAACACGTCGTCAATTCTGATGGGCAGCTACATATTTAGCCATACAGTATCATATGATGTCGATGGTTTGCGCGGAAGACGTGTCTTCTCCGCAATAATTCTGTTGGACAAAGAGAGTTTGGGGTGCCACATACTTCGAGTAGAACTGGTACATTTTTCTACAGCCATCAGAAACTACACAGCTGACCGACCGAAGAAGCAACCAGAACCCATCACCAAAGCTCGAGCGTCATGTCTCGCATTCGTCGTGAGCATAAGTATTCATGAAGGGTAAGTCTCCAAAGAACACTTGTGACACGGCCAGCCCTGCAAAATCAATATTACCAGAACTGGGGAAGAAGTGGACGTGTTCCCATCTCTCGATTGGGAAAGAAGACCCCATCTTCGAAAAACGTCAAACTTGACACAAACCGATTGATTGATCGTGTGAAGAAACGCACACATCAACAATATCCAAACGAACGCCATATATCCACAACCACGATAAAACTCATAAAAAACGTCAAACAGCACACAAGGATGGTGAATACAGTAGCAAACAACAAACTAAGAAAGCGAGTCTCCTTTGGGAGCAGTTTGCCTCAATCATCACCACTTCATCAGGAAGAACAACCAGAAAGTGATCATCATCAGCAGCAACAGGTTATTGCACATTCCTGCCATTGCTTTTGCGATGGACTAGAGAAGGAAGAACGTAAAGCAATCTGTTGGTACTCGGTTCAAGACTTGCAACCATGCCGTGATGAAGCCAAGGATGCCATTCAACAACTTCAGATGAGACTGGAGCAAGGTACTTTGGATTCCCTTCCCGATCACGTAGTCTTGAGAGGCATTGAAAAGTATGCCGATGCTGCGGGCAAGTACCGCAAGCAACGAATCTACATCGAGTCTGTCTTGCATCAACAAAGAGCACTTAAGGAGCAGCAACGAGTACTGAAGGCTTCGTTTTGCAATAGTGATGTGGATGCAGTGGAGAACCTAGCGAACCTTTCGAGGTATCTATCCCAGGCATCTACCGAACTTGCTCGCTTCTATGCTGGGCGCTGTGCAGCTGAGCTCAGCTTGCTTAGACATGAAGAAGAGGACGAAGAAGATGATGAAGAGTGGGATGAAGAAGAAGTAAAGTACAACTTGGATTCTTCCTCCACTTGCTCTTCAGAGATTGATGTCCATGAATCCAAGGCCAACACTGATGAATTGTGCCCTGTTTCTTCTAGCACTACCATTGATATCTCTTCGAAGCGAAAGCGATCTCGATGCCATGCCTTTGGTGACACTAGCATGCCACCCCGAAAGATCCAATGCTGTGAGTAAGTCTGAAGATGAAGATTCATCGTTCGGAGCACCACGCACCAGCATTGAATCTACAAGATTTGCAATCCATGACAACAACATCTGTTTCTTCTGGGACCGTGTGAGGAGACACTGTCCCGGAACGATGTAAAGAGCACGAGAGACTGTTAATGTTTCGCTCTTTGCTTCCCATCTCCGATTTTGAACTTCCCCCTGCATCCAAGGATGCATTAATCATAACAACAACAACAACAAGCACTCTGTAATACAATTAGACTAAAGACACCATTATATTACAAACGTCAACCTTGAAGCATTTCATGCCTTTGGATACCTAGGACAGTATACATCCTAGTATACATCCAGAATAGACTACTAGTTCTATAGCAGTATGCTGTCTACTAAAGAGCAAAGCTTGTACAGGTGCAAAAAAACAATGCTACTCCTTTACTGTGGGTTCTCCCTTTCCCTTTGAGCAGAAGCTCAGTATATATTGTTTCGGTACTGGAACCTGTTGCTACCGAATCTATCATCTCATATGCCATCTTCTGCCTGCAAGCAGAGACGTGCCTACCATTCTCCTTCCGTCAAGGATCGAGACCTTTTGGAGGTGATGTCATGGGGATTGCAAGTACGTCAGCACGTCAACTTGATGTTTTTTTTAATTGCTGACGCATTGTGGCACGGCAACGTCAGCTGGTCGAACTGGTCGATCCATCCAACAAGACTGCGTTCGTCATACGCAAGCCTGCCGGCACCATGTGCATTCTGGATTCTCATCGACGACCGAATCCTTTTTTTTTCGAGGCGAAAAAACGTCTGACCAGCAGGGTACGGTACCAGGTACTGTTGCTGCTTTTGTGCATCTCTCTTGCTGCATCTACCTTTACATACCCAATTTATACTAGTAAAAATGGCTGCTGATCCCAACACAGACCCCGTCGACAGCGCTTTGGACAAGCTCAAGCCCATCATGTCCCAATTGTCCTTTGGATCCGTCCTTGGTTACTGCAGCGGTATGGCTCTCAAAAAGCTGGGCAAGGCTGCTGCCTTTGTGGTTGGAGTTGGATTTATCGGAGTCCAATCAGCAGTCCGTGCGGGATATGTCAAGGTCAACTGGACCAAGATTAAGGATGATGCTATTTCGCCTCTTGATACTGTAAGTAGTTTTGACAAAGTTTTATGTTGATGAGAAGAAGAAGAATGATGAGGAAATCAGAATATGGATGAGGAAATGCTGCTGCTGCTGTATGGAACAGAAACAGGACAAAAATCGCATTTGAAATTAATTTGCCATCAAAATTCATTCTTGCATTCTTAAGAATCAGCTGTCCTTCAACTTTGATATGCCGCTCTAACATTTGTTGTTTCTTTCTAATATACAGACTGGAGATGGAAAGGTTGATATGGATGACGTGAAGGGATGGTGGAAGAAGCTACGGGTAATCCTGACCAATGAATTGCCTGGTGCTGGAGGATTCAGCTTGGGATTCATTACTGGTGTCCGATATGGATAAAAATGCTCATATATATGCATGTGCACATAGGTAGCCCTTCAAGAAGATTCAGTTTTGAGAATTTCTGAAGGAATTTCATTGCATATGGCACAAAAGCATGCTATTTATGATACCATTTCTATTGCTGCATACAGACGCTTGGAGAACTATAGACGATGCATTCAAGTAGCTGCAATAGATGAATATATAAAAAAGAAAGAATATTTTTCTTCAACATTCAGATCGTGCCTCATCGTTTGTTCAGTTTGTTCAGTTTACTCTTGTGCCATCCTCATCTGATCGCAATGCTGTATTCAAAAACTTGGGGAACTAGGAGGTGCATTGAAGTAGCCTTAATCGATACATACTTGTACATAAAACAAAGAATACAACGACAGTCAGCTAGTGCCTCATCGTTTGTTCATTTTGTTCCGTTTATTCTTGCGCGATCCATTTCTGGTCATGCAGACAGACGGTTTTCTGAAATTGATTCATTCGATCCGAATCCAGTCCACAAAACTTTCAACTTTGAAATGCTTTCGACCTTATTTTGTTGTTTTGACTTTGGCTATTTACAAGTCTGTTGGTGAATCTACTTTCTCTCCTCTACCTTTAAAATTCGCAGTAGAGTCAGCATCAAGACTGAGTGGAGACAGCGATAGGTTTCGCTTCTATCAAAATCGTTTCATCAAACGTTATCACACAAGTCTTTTTACAATACAGGTTTTTGCTTCACATGGTTGATCGTGGATTGATTCTCTCTGCTTGGTCATAGTGTCTCATTTTTGCATACAGATATAGTATCATTATCATAAGCATCAGCTTGCTAGTGAGCTATATTCCATGTACAATCGACTCCGACATCGAACAGCGTCAGCAGATGAGGAGGGAGGCGTCTTAATTGGCTTCAATGCCATTGACATTGACAATCATAACACTCACAACACTTTTCACGAATACAACCACAATAACTTGGCGGCAGCAAGCCCTCCGAGAATCAAGTCACCCTATCATCGACCTAATCGGCATCGAACGGGATCAGTCAACTCTGTGAATTCTCTGAAATCTCATCGAATTCCCTATCGATCCTCAAGGGGGTACAGCTTTTTTGTTGGGTTTCTGGTGGTCGTGGCGATACTCCTTGTGAGCGGCATTGGATACTCAGTCTTTTCCATATTTCATGTGGCATTAAGGGGCCGACCGGCTTGGCTCTATGGTCAGCCCCTGTTGATGCAGCATGTGGCTGCTTGCTTGGTGGAGGACGATCATGATCCGCCATTGCCACCACGCGTCTTGTGGGAATGGCACAATTATACTACTACAACCACGAAAGAACAGCAGCGGCATGAAGGAGGAGGACAGACAAGGCTACTGATTGCTCAATATTCGGGGTTTGGTGAATATGCTCAGTTTCTGAATTGGATCAGCCCGGTTCATCAAGAATACGCTCGAAAACACGGGTACGACTACGTCATTCTGCAAGGGACACTGCTGGACTTTCCGGGCATCCAGCAGGATTGTTTTTCCAATTTGCGAGCCACCTTTAACAAAATCCCAATCCTGGAAATGTCCTACACGGTTCGGCACAAGTACGACTATGTATTGGTGTTGGATACCGACGCCATGATTGTCACCACCAACCACCACGAGAATGACAACCACCACAATCGGTGGTCCGAATTGTTGCCTTCCAATCAATTGCTTGCCGCCCAAAGGGTCATGAGGTATGATTCCAGCAATGCCTGGGACATTAATGCGGGAGTGACCCTCTGGAATCTACATCATCCAGACTTCTACAGCTTGGTTCAACGATGGAAAAGTATGTCTCAGTTTGGAAGTATGGAGCCTGACCCACCCAAAGACAAGCTACGGGTACATTTGGAGAACATTTTGACAAAGAATGACGATCAATATTTTCTGCAAACGGCCTTGCTTGATGCTTACAGCTGGTGGAACCGACCGGTGGTTGCGGTCATCGACGAGTTCAATTACTATCGTGGAACTCTGGTCAAACATTTCAAACGAGACAAACGAAGTTGGTCCACCACTGGACTGGAACAACGATTGGAGCGAGTGAAAGAGGCCATTCGAGAGGTTTGCATTTCTCAACGAAAAGGAATCGCGTATTGCTTGAGTCAACAAAGCAAGTCGGAAATTGACTATTCGATACGTGAACCACCACCAGTAACGGCTTGGGTTTGATTATAACACTCATTGAAATCCAATTGGTATGAAATCCCTCACAGTGATCTGCTCGAAGCGATGACACAATGTTATGTAAGTGGCAAAGACTTGAAATGGTCATATGTTTTAATATCAAATTCTATACTGATTATATTATTCTTGTTCCAAATGCCAAGTTCAGAGCTCCTATGCGGATTCCACCTTTGACATGTAGCCAACAGTCAAACTCATGCGTCTACTGTTCCGTTTTGGACTCTTTGACAGGCGAGAACTGGTCGACTTCTTCTGACCATGCTTTCTTACCAGATCAGCGACAAACTCTTGTCCCTTTTCTTCCCATTCGCGACGGTTCTCCATTGCGTAGTTCAAGTACTCATCGCTAGCAACCCCAAATACACCACATTCCTTCAACTTCTTTGCCAAAGGAATCACATAATTGTCAAAGAACCCCATCTCTCCTTCATACCACTTCTCCGCGGGATCGAACGCCAGACGACCAGCTTTATGAGCTGCCGTCATCTCTTGGAATAGTCGCTCATTCCACTTGCAGTAAATATGCCAATGCTGCATGGTGTGGGACACATCAGAAGCTTGGATCAAGTGCTCAATGACAATCGTAGCCTTGCGATTGACATTGTCTCTGGTGGTATCCTCAGCTTGTTGAAGAGCTGATGCGCTGCCATGGAATGCAAGATCCCAACGCTTGCGACGGAGGGTGTTCAGCTGCTTATCAAAGATATCGGTCGCCAAGACAGTATTGGCCATGAGCTGACGGAATCTTTCGAGTTCAAACGGAGCCGTGTAAATCATTCGTCGGAAGTCATGGAATCGCTCATCCATCAAGATATCCCATGCTAGCACGATAGAGTTTTGCTCGGCAACACTCTGGCTCTTGAATACCTTTGCGAGTTTATGATTTTCTTTGACGAGCTGAGCGTTGGACACACCAAGATGGTCAAGATCATGAACGAGGGCTGCCAAAATGACACTAAATTGAGTCATGGGGTCGGACGTGATGCCATATGTGTGATCGTGAATCGACCATTGTAAATTCCTTGACATTGCTGCGTTTTCGTCTGCATTAAAAACATCATCTGCCGAGACAATGCGAGAAAGCAGCTTGGAAACCGACATCATGACGTGACTAGCATGCTCGAAGTTGTGGAATGCGTTATCACGATACATCGTCGCCATACAAGCCACGTACAGCCGCATTTGGTCGATGACAGCATCTGGAAGATGGACTTCTTCTGGGTTTTGTTGTTCCCTGTAAACTCGAGGATCAAAACCTGGAAGAGGAATGATCTCGACAACCTCATCGAGAACCATGTATTGATCACGAATCTCGCTTTCTCTTTCAGAGAGGACGTCTTCGTTGCTACTGTGGACGGCATCGGAAGAGTTGCGATGGGCAATGATCTGACGAAGTAGCTTTGCAAGGACGTCGACGTTCCACTTGCAAAGCCTTCGAACCTTGGGCGAGAGGAGACTTTCGACCTCTTCAAGAGTACATGTCTTGATGTCCAATGGAGCCTGGTTGATTTGCTCTTGGATCACAGCCCTGTTGTCGTTTTCTGAAGATAATTTATCCGCTGCGGCTTCCATTTCAGCACGTTCCTCTTCCTTAGTGAGTAGCCAGTATGTTTGCAGCTTTCCTTTACCCTTGGCTGTCACAACTTCGTCACGGCGCCGTAGCCAGTGCACTTTGCCAGCAGCAGCTAGCAGATCGGCAGTTTCTTCTGACATTTGAATCCTGTTACGCATACCAGTCGACTCGATTCTCGCAGCCGTGTTGACGGTATCTCCAAACAGTTGGAAACGAGACTTGTCTCCACGCAGGACACCGGCCGTCACTGGACCACTATGCATGCCGACTCGAATACCAAGATCGCCAGTATCAGGTCCAAGCGTGGTTTCCAAGACACTTACCAAGTCGACGAACCTGCTTACGCAATCTCGAGCGAATCCTGTATAATGAAAAGGAATAAATGAGTCCATGATGAAGATTACATGCCAATTCCATGAAAATCTCGAGATGACTTACCAGCCATGATTGATGCATGCGCCTTGGTCGGTTCTGAACAGCAGCAACAGTTCTGTGAGCCCACTGCAACAAAATCAAACCCTGAACTACAAATCACACTTACCAGGCAAACCAGTGACCGCCACATAGCAATCCCCAACCGTCTCTACTTTGAACACCTTTTTTCGTTTGGCAATTGTGTCGAAGGCTCGATAGACAGTTTCAAGCAGAGTGAATACTTGAGCAGGCTCGCGGACAGAACTCCATGCGGTGAATCCAGCAATGTCTGCAAAGATAACGGTCGCATTGAGAAATAGATCGGCAATTGGCTTGGAGCCGAAGCCTTCCAATGAGTCGCCTTGGCCTGACGGCGAAGAACTCTTCATGAAATGCTTGAGTTGGTACCTGCTAGCCTTAATAAGATCCTCTTTCATTTGTTTCCTCTTCGTTGTAGGTACGCTTTTGTGTTCTTCTTCTTTCTTTTCTTCAATACCAAAAAGTCGATCCCTAATGGACTTTGGATACAATACCGAAAGAATTTGCTCTGATTGTGAAGCCACCCTGAGAATTCGCTTTTGGCGAAAATGCACGGCGGCATCGTAAAGGTAGAAGATAATGCCAATGAAGAAGAATGCCGCAGTGACGATTCCAGCAGTTGTCCCAGGATTGCTGGTATGGTATATTTCCCAGAATTCTTTCGTCGGGAAAACGCGGATTGTGTAGGAGCAATCAGGACCAGCGAGGTGATGTGAAGGTACATCTGGTGCAAACGGAAATGCAACTTCATAATCATCATAGGTTGAGTCATGGGAGTCTACGAAGCCGATGAACTCTGCTTTTTGAGCTGTGATTCGAATGGTGATCCTTCGTTGGCAACCTTCATCAATTACAACATCGACAGGTGGAATGTCCTCATCACTTGCCCGTGCAAACATAGGTAGCCAACTCACATCGGAGTTCAAGATTGCAACAACTTCTTGGTTTGTGGAATCCTTGAAGACCGGTGTGAGAAACAGACTGGTTGGTTGGACAGATACAAGATATTGAGTGTCGGGACCGCTTAGTTCCACTAAGTCCTGGTTTGTGATGCCCAAGTAGTCGGTCATTGCGAGTTCCTTGCTCTCAACAACAGAGTTGAAAACTTCTTTGTAGTGGGGATCTGAAAGCATATTGAAGTTGACAAGTGGGCTATCCCTAGACGGAAAAAATTGCCAAAGCGGAAGAAATGGCCCCGAGCCTTCCTCTGCGACATTTTCTCCATTCGAGCGCCGAAAGATGGTTGGGTAAATGTCTGAAACATTCAGCAGTCCTTGTTGTTTTGTAAATTCAACGCCGTCTGCAATCCAGCCTTGGTTTTGCTGTGAGTAGTTGGCCCATTTTTCTCTTTCTTGTTCACCCTGTACTAATGGTGCAAGGAATACGAGACCCGCTCCCGTTGTAGCCATAAAGTTTGAAACGATCATAGGTAAGTTCGAGTCTGTGAAAAAAGGCCATATTGTGTTGGAATTGATTGCTAGTCCCGTCAAAGTAGATGCCAAGGATGCAAAATCGTCAGCTTTTTCTGTCATTCGCCTGTAGCTAAGCTGTTTGATGTCCTCTGCAATCACATCAAACTGGTCGACAAAAAATCAAGTTAGAGTCTGGTTCGCGACAGGACTGTGTGGAACAAGCATGGCAACAAACTTACTTCTTTGTTGAAATCTTCCTGCTCTTGACTTGAGAGGAATTTCCAGGTTGCAACACCGGCACCGATGGTTGATCCTATCATGAGGAACAGGACGAAGAATCGCAGACAGCTAATGGCTGCCTTTTCAATCCCGTCATCTTGAACAACCACTTCTTGCTCATTTGTATTGAAATGTATGCTATCATCAAGCGTGGAATCCTCCCTCTCTGGCAGGATCACTTGCTTCCCAACATTACTGCTTGATTTCCCAGAGGACTCTGTTTCGCTGATCTTCTCCATTGCTGGGTGTATCGTGCTTACTTTTCGTTCAATTTTTGATATTGTGTACCGGGTACTCTTACCGGTATGGAAACGTTGCACGCACCATTGGAGGAACCTAGCCCCCTAGCCTGTCAACCATTCTTCTTAGAGAGGTGTTTGACACGCCCTTTGCGTCTCTAAAGAATTTTTTAAAGCTGTGTCATCCGTTTTTATCCCTAAATAAAATGCTCGGTCAGCGGTCATATCTCCAGCACGATCAACTTTTTTATAGATGTTCCCCACCGGATTTAACAAAGAATGATGACCAAACACAAAGGACAGATGTAGTTTCGAAGGACTGATAAGACTGTCCTGTACTGTATCTCATCTCATCTATTTTAATATATCATCTCTAATCTCATGCATCCTACACTACTTCCCCTTGTTTGCAGACGACCCTATTGCTTTCCGACCTGAGCAATAGCTTCTTCATAATTTCGGCTGTCCATGTTGATAGTCAATCTCCTGGAGCTACGTTTGTTTTCCTGCTGCTGGACCATCATCATTCCGGTGCTAGCATTGGGATCATCCATGTATCTTGCAGTCAAGGTCGCAACAAAGTCTCGTCCCTTTTCTTCCCACTCGCAACGATTCTCCATTGCATAGTTCAAATACTCGTCACTTGCAACCCCAAACACACCACAATTCTTCAACTTCTTTGCCAATGGAATCACATAGTTGTCCAAGAACCCGATTTCCCCCTCATACCACTTCTCTGCTGGATTGAAAGGAAGACGACCAGCTTTGTAGGCTACTGCCATTTCCTGAAACAAGCGCTCGTTCCATTTGCAGTAAATGTGCCAATGTTGCATGGTGTGGGCAACATCCGAAGCCTGAATCAAGTGCTCAATCACGATTGTAGCCTTGCGATTGACCATGTCTTTGGTTGCCTCCTCTGAACGGGCTGCAAGGGCTGCATTAGTATTGAAGGCTGCATCCCATCGGTTTCGACGCAATGCTTGAAGCTCCTTGTCCATGATATCAGTGGCCAGTACGGTATTCGTCATTAGCTGGCGGAACCGATCCAGCTCATACGGGGCTGCGTAGATGGTGCGTCGAAAGTCTTGGAAGCGGGGATGCATAAGAATATCCCAGGCCAAGACCGTCGAGTTTTGTTCTGCCACACTCTTATTATTGAAAAGGTCTGCAAGCTTGCTTCCTTCGTTGATGAGCTGATTATTGGAAACCCCAGAGTGATCAACGTCGTGTACCATGGCAGCAAGAATGACAGTGAACTGTGTCATTGGATCGGATGTAATGCCATATGTGTGATCGTGAATCGACCATCCCAATAAGTCATCTGACGAGGCAGCGTTTTGATCTGCATTCAAAACATCGTCAGCAGCAATGATACGGGAAAGGAGCTTGGAAACGGACATCATGACATGTGAAGCATGCTGAAAGATCGAAAGCTGTCAGCGCATTATCATGAATACATATACCAGTTGACACGAATGACACAATAAAACATACCTCAAAGTTGTGGAATGGATTGTCTTTGTACATCGCAGCGATACACGCAACATACAACCGAATCTGTTCGATTACAGCCTCAGAAAGCTCAATCCTTTCGTGAGCTTGCTGTCCTTTGTAGACACTTTGATCGAACCCAGGAAGAGGAATGATTTCAACTACTTCATCAAGAACAGAGATGTGTCGACGGATTTCCTTTTCACGTCGCGAAAGATCGGATTCCCAATCCTTGTTGCCCAAATCAGACGCAAGTCTGTGAGCCACGATCTGTTTCAGAAGCCTTGTCAACACATCCACATTCCACTGACACAAGCGTCGTGTTCTAGAAGGTAGCGACTTTTCGATGTCCTCCAAGGTGCTGGTTCCTAGATCTAGAGAGAATTCTGAGCTGACGGAAGGACTGTTCAGGAAAATACCACTACCATCGTCAGACGCCTCATCATCTGTGAAAGCCGAATCGACAGTTTGCGATGTAATGTTGATACTAGCTTCTTCTTGCTTGGTCAGAAGCCAGTACGTCTGCAGTTTCCCCTTTCCTTTTGCAGTCACAAGCTGTTCGCGGCTACTCAGCCAATGTGATTTTCCAGCAGCTGCCAATAGGTCAGCAGTCTCTTGCGACAAATGAATGCGATTGCGTTCACCAGAGGACTCAATTCGAGATGCTGTATTGACAGTATCGCCAAAGAGCTGGAAACGCGCCTTCTCTCCTCTCAATACCCCGGCCGTGACTGGTCCACTGTGCATTCCCACGCGGATTCCCAAGTCTCCAGTATCAGGGCCAAGTGTTGTCTCCAACGATCCAACCAAATCTTCAAACTTTTCCACACAGGCCCTTGCGAAAGAACTGAAATGAAAAAACAAAACAAGCGCGATGTGAGAAGATGGAAATGAAAAGCACGTGATGAAAGAGCAATAGAAGAACTCACGCCATGATTGTAGCATGTGCCTTAGTCGGCTCTGTAGGTCAGGACAAATGAACAAGATTGTGAGTACGATGCTGCGATAGTGCTTCGTTTGAAAAGCATGAATCGAACTCACCAGGCAAACCGGTAACTGCTACGTAACAATCACCTACTGTCTCCACCTTGAACACATTTCGACGTTTTGCAGTGATATCAAAGGTTCTATAGACAGACTCGAGAAGGGTGAAGACTTGCGTAGGCTCACGGACCGAGCTCCATGCCGTGAAACCAGAAATGTCGGCAAATAATACTGTGGCATGAAGGAAGAGATCAGCAATGGGCTTCGTATCCAAGAAATCGGTTTCATGAGGATGAGCAGAAGGTGTGCTCTTCATGAAACTCTTAAGCTGATATTTGTTTGCCTTTTTCAAAAGATCTTCATTGAATCGCCGAATCGCACTAGCACCTTGAGAAGACTTTTGTTCCTCCGTCACAGTCTCTTCTTCAATGCCAAAGAGTCTGTCTCGAATGGTCTTTGGGTACAGCACGGACAAGATCTTTTCGGATCGCGACGCAACTGCAAGAATCTTGCTCTGTCTCATGTGCACTGCGGCGTCGTACATATACAAAATGATCCCGACCAAGATGAAGACGGCTGTGATGACACCAGCCATGGATGCTGGATAAGTAGTATGGTAGGTGTCCCAGAAGCTCTTGGTAGGAAAGACGCGGACCTGATAGGAGCACCCAGTTCCTCCCACATGATATGTGCGAAGGGACGGTGAAAATGCGAAGGACCGTTCGTGCTCCTCATAGGTGGGATCATGTAGACTGCCGAATCCAACAAACTCACTTACAGAGCCAGTTACCCGGAAGGTGAACTCATTGGCACACCCGTCGTTAAGTACGACATCTACTGGTGGTGTGAGCTCGCCACTGGGCAAGGCAAACAAGTTCATCCAATTAAAAGCCGCGCTTACAGTGGCAACTATCTCTTGATTGGTGGCATCCTTGAATACCGGAGCGATGAACATGCTGATCGGATTCCTGTTGACAAAATACTGGGTTGATGCAGGAAAATTTTCCATCAGACCTGCGTTATTGGGACCCAGGCGATCGGAAAGAGCACCTGTTTTCTCCTCCATTAAAGACTCGAAAATTTCCTTGTAGTGAGGATCCGATAGCATATTAAAATTGACAAGCCTGCCATCTCGAGGAGCTTGAAACATTTGCCACACCGGGGCAAACGGACCGTCTCCCTTTTCGGGAATCCGCCCCCCCGCCGAATTCCGAAAGACACCAGGGAAGATTTGTGTGTAATTGGAAGGATCCGGCTGTTGCTCCAAGAGGAGACTCTGAGGGATCCATTCTTGATTGGCCTGGGAGTAGTCAGCCCATTTTTGCAGGTCAACTTCGTTCTTGACAAAGGGTGCTATAGCAACCATGGTGACACCAGCTGTTTCCATGAAGTTGGCCACAATCGTGGGATAGTTCAAGTCTGTGAAGAAAGGCCAATTCGTTTTAGAATTGATCGACAAAGCGGTGATGGTAGAGGACAAGGAACGGAATTCGGCCACCAAGTCCGACGTTCGGTCTTGCGAAACTTGTTTAATGTCCTCAGCGATAATATCAAACTTGTAATAAAACGAGAGTGTAAGAAAAGGATTCTGAATTGGAACGAATCAAGATTGAGTCTTCGGACGTACCTCCTGATTGAAATTATTTGACTCCTCTCGATCCAAAAAGAACCAACTGGTGAACCCTGCTGCGATGGTAGCTGCTAGCATCAAAGCAAAGACAAATAATCGGAAACATTTGATTGCCACCCGTTCGAATTCATCATTGTTCATGGGGGCGGCGTTTTCATCATCGTGATGAGTTGGATCAGTGTCAGTTGTAGATTCCATAGTCATTCTCTCCATAATCCCTCCTTCTCCACTGTTATCCTCGGATGCCGATCCAGATTCATTTGTGTCTGTTACTGCGGATCGTGTCTTCATCAGGAACTTGTCCTTGGATTGTTTGGATCTAGTCATATGGATTTGGATTGTCGGTATCTTCGTTTGAAGGGTATTGTGATTTGACAAAAGAAATTTTCGTTTCCTTTGAAAAACCCCGGCTAGAATAAAAAGACCGTGGGTGATAGTCTCCGTTCTGATCATGTGTATCAAGTACCGATATCAAACACCCCCTAAGTTGAAAGTTAGTTAACAAGAGAATATATTTTGGAGAGCTTAATCCTTCGTGAGGCAAAAAGACTTTCTCACTGGATTTTTCCGCTCGGGTTATTTATTGGCTGAAAGATTCCGGCTTCGTGCTCAGTTCTCATCGGTTCTTTGTAAGCTGAACCGGTACCAAGTACCTCGTTCGAGGAATTCAGATCCCACCACGTCAATAAGCTTGCTTGTGAGAATATTTTACACGCGTCCAGTTGTTTGGTCAAATATTTCGATTGTCCGAAGAGTGTAGAAAATGTGTTCTTCTTCTTCTTCTACTGTAGTGTTTCACAACGGTGATTACAGAATTTATTTTTATATACATATTCAAAATTTTCAAAATCCACCCAAGTGGCTCTGTCAAGCTCTCAACAAAGTCTCGTCCCTTTTCTTCCCTCTCGCGACGATTCTCCATTGCGTAGTTCAAATACTCGTCACTTGCAACCCCGAACACACCACAATCCTTCAACTTCTTCGCCAATGGAATCACATAGTTGTCCAAGAAACCTATTTCACCCTCATACCACTTCTCTGCTGGATTGAAAGGAAGACGACCAGCTTTGTAGGCTACTGCCATTTCCTGAAACAAGCGCTCGTTCCATTTGCAGTAAATGTGCCAATGTTGCATGGTGTGGGCAACATCCGAAGCCTGAATCAAGTGCTCAATCACGATTGTAGCCTTGCGATTGACCATGTCTTTGGTTGCCTCCTCTGAACGGGCTGCAAGGGCTGCATTAGTATTGAAGGCTGCATCCCATCGGTTTCGACGCAATGCTTGAAGCTCCTTGTCCATGATATCAGTGGCCAGTACGGTATTCGTCATTAGCTGACGGAACCGATCCAGCTCATACAGGGCTGCGTAGATGGTGCGTCGAAAGTCTTGGAAGCGGGGGTGCATAAGAATATCCCAGTCCAAGACCGTCGAGTTTTGTTCTGCCACACTCTTATTATTGAATAGGTCTACAAGCTTGCTTCCTTCCTTGATGAGCTGATTATTGGAAACTCCAGAGTGAACAACGTCGTGTACCATGGCAGCAAGAATGACAGTGAACTTTGTCATTGGATCAGCTTGGAAACGGACATCATGACATGTGAAGCATGCTGAAAGATCGAAAGCTGTCAGCGCATTATCATGAATACATATACCAGTTGACACGAATGACACAATAAAACATACCTCAAAGTTGTGGAATGGATTGTCTTTGTACATCGCAGCGATACACGCAACATACAACCGAATCTGTTCGATTACAGCCTCAGAAAGCTCAATCCTTTCGTGAGCTTGCTGTCCTTTGTAGACACTTTGATCGAACCCAGGAAGAGGAATGATTTCAACTACTTCATCAAGAACAGAGATGTGTCGACGGATTTCCTTTTCACGTCGCGAAAGATCGGATTCCCAATCCTTGTTGCCCAAATCAGACGCAAGTCTGTGAGCCACGATCTGTTTCAGAAGCCTTGTCAACACATCCACATTCCACTGACACAAGCGTCGTGTTCTAGAAGGTAGCGACTTTTCGATGTCCTCAATGCTGCTGGAGACCAGGTCATGAGAAGAATCTGAATGGACGGAATGACTGTTCAGGAAAATACCGCTTCCGCTCTGAGACGCCTCATCATCTGTGAAAGCAGAATGGGCAATGCTTGATATAATATTGATACTAGCTTCTTCTTGCTTGGTCAAAAGCGAGTATGTTTGCACTTTCCCCTTGCCCTTTGCAGTCACAAGCTGTTCGCGGCTACTCAGCCAATGTGATTTCCCATCAGCTGGCAATAGGTCAGCAGTCTCTTTGCGACAAATGAATGCAATTACGTTCGCCAGAGGACTCGATTCGAGATGCTGTATTAACAGTATTGCCAAAGAGCTGGAAACGCGCCTTCTCTCCTCTCAATACCCCGGCCGTGACTGGTCTACTGTGCATTCCCACGCGGATTCCCAAGTCTCCAGTATCAGGGCCAAGTGTTGTCTCCAACGATCCAACCAAATCTTCAAACTTTTCCACACAGGCCCTTGCGAAAGAACTGAAATGAAAAAACAAAACAAGCGCGATGTGAGAAGATGGAAATGAAAAGCACGTGATGAAAGAGCAATAGAAGAACTCACGCCATGATTGTAGCATGTGCCTTAGTCGGCTCTGTAGGTCAGGACAAATGAACAAGATTGTGAGTACGATGCTGCGATAGTGCTTCGTTTGAAAAGCATGAATCGAACTCACCAGGCAAAGCGGTAACTGCTACGTAACAATCACCTACTGTCTCCACCTTGAACACATTTCGACGTTTTGCAGCGATATCAAAGGTTCTATAGACAGACTCGAGAAGGGTGAAAACTTGAGTAGGCTCACGGACCGAGCTCCATGCCGTGAAACCAGAAATGTCGGCAAATAATACTGTGGCATGAAGGAAGAGATCAGCAATGGGCTTCGTATCCAAGAAATCGGTTTCATGAGGATGAAAAGAAGGTGTGCTCTTCATGAAACTCTTAAGCTGATATTTGTTTGCCTTTTTCAAAAGATCTTCATTGAATCGCCGAATTGCACTAGCACCTTGAGAGGACTTCTGTTCCTCGCGCTGGACAGTCTGATCCTCTTCAATGCCAAAGAGTCTGTCTCGAATGGTCTTTGGGTACAGCACGGACAAGATCTTTTCGGATCGCGACGCAACTGCAAGAATCTTGCTCTGTCTCATGTGCACTGCGGCGTCGTACATGTACAAAATGATCCCGACCAAGATGAAGACGCCTGTGATGACACCAGCCATGGATGCTGGATAACTAGTATGGTAGGTGTCGCAGAAGCTCTTGGTAGGGAAGACGCGGACCTGATAAGAACATCCTTTCCCTCCCACATGGTATGTGCGAAGGGCTGGTGAAAATGCGAAGGACCTTTCGTGCTCCTCATAGGTAGGATCATGTAGACTGCCGAATCCAACAAACTCGTTGACCGAACCAGTTACCCGGAAGGTGAACTCATTAGCGCACTAGTCGTTAAGCACGACATCTACTGGCGCTATGTGTCCGTCACTGGGCAAGGCAAACAAGTTCATCCAATTAAAAGCGCGCTTACAGTGGCGACTATCTCTTGATTGGTGGCATCCTTGAATACCGGAGCGATGAACATGCTGATCGGATTCCTGTTGACAAAATAATGGGTTGATGCAGGAAAATTTTCCATAAGACCTGCGTTATTCGGTAAAAGACCTGATCGATGATATTCTTAAAAAAATCTATATAAATAATGTCTGTTTCGGCGAGCTGAAAACACCTTTCGCGGTGGCTATGACCTTCACAAGACTTTTCTCATTCTTGCAGAAGAAGGACGAGCCCAGCTCATTTCTGATGAGCCATGTGGTGCAAGAATGAGAAAAAGACCTTGGAATTCGAAGAATTCCTGTTAGTTTCACGAATGTAAGATACAGGTATCTGTATCGGCGAGCTTTTAGTAGCGATAGACGAAAAGAAGGTTGATGAGCTAATGACTTTGTCACCAGTTTTGAATATTCAAAACTACAATTATTTCGACGTCATCAACCTTCTTTTCATCGTTCGCGCTATAAGTTCGCGAATGCATGTACAAAAGCTGACGTGTTGGGTTCGAAATTTTCTCATTCTTGCTCAATGAGTTGGGCTCATTGAGATCGATAAATAACCAGAGTGGAAAAGTCCGGTGAAGATATTTGTCGACCTAAAGGAGCCTTCGAGTAGCACTAGCTCATCATTCAATTCGATTTTTATGTTATTTTTTCTTATATGCGTTGATACTTTCTTGCAATGACACTTCTGGTCAACAAGTATGCTGAACTTCAGCCCAGAACTCCAACATAATTTGACCCCAGACCCGATTCACTGTCAAACACAAAATTTCGAATATGGAGCTGTATTGCGAGTCAATCGAGAATGCTGTCGCTTCCTGGAAGGTATGTTGACCCGTTTGTTACCACCGCGAGCTATAGTAATAGACTTCTCAGATAAGCTCACATCAAGATGTTTTCTCAAACCCATCATAGACCGTCCAAGGTCTCCCAGACTACAAGACCCTTGTAGGCGAATTGCTATTTCGAGAGTAAGTCCACTGAAGGAAGAGTGTCATTGTGAAACGCAACATCCAATCCATGCTTTGCAAATCTCAGGATATTCAAAATATCCCCAGGTGCCATCAACATGTTCGCGTTCGGAGAAGGAGTAGACTGTTATAATCTACCCGAAACACTGTTCAACCTTCCAGCATTTCAAAGCCATACCAATGGTGTCGTCACAATGCTAGAAACAGGGCTCGAGATGATGCTGGGAAATAATATGGAGTCTTTGGCAGAGGCATTGAGTAGTCTTGGTGAAAAACACGTTACATTCGGAATTCAGCCACCCCATTACATCATTGTTGAGTCGGCTTTGATCAGAACTCTAGAGGTAGGATTGGGGGAGAACTTCATTGCATCTCTACGAAAAGACTGGCAGGCTGTGTTTAGATTCATATCTCGAACCATGATGATGGGTTCAGAGAATCGTGTTGAGATTGTTAAATCAAAACGGAGAAGTGCAGAGCAGAAAAAGGTTGCAACACTGCGACTGCACTCCATCTCACCGGGACAGCGAAGCAAAGCCCTCACGCGGCATAGTCGGACTGACTTTGGTCGTTTTGAAGGAGAACCTAAAGGTAAACATCGTCGAAGAGGTACCAGCAGCGACCCTCCACATAAGCCAATGAGGAAAGGCACGGAGGAATCGCTTCGCCGTGCCCGAAGTGTGTCCCTACATCTGGATGACGATGATTGCCCTGCTTTGGATGACGATGATTGCCCCGCGTTGGATGACCTGACGATAGATATAACTGCGGAAACAAGAGCCATGACTGTATCAGACCACGATGAGTCTGACAACGCTGAGACCATCTGGGCATGGGGTAACGATACCAATGTGGAGCCCCCAAAGATGCCGCTACGGTCGCCTAGTCCAAAAGACCCACCAAGAAAGGTGCATGGGTCGCCGCCTCGTGTGCCATTGCTTGTCCGAAACAACTCGTTCGATTCTGTAAGCACGTTGGGATCACTTGATTTTGCACCGCATTTTCCAAAGCGACTTAGATCACCAACGCGAGAACTCAGAAAGCCGTTGACATCGGCACATCAAGTGCCGGAACAAGGTCGAAAGAGCTCCTTCGATTCTAGGCGCACGCTGGAATCCTTCGACTCCCCACCGCGTTTTCCAAAACGATCGAGCTCACCAACGCGAGTACCAGCTTAATTGGATTTATCTTCAACGTTCACTAAACTTTCAGGAGAATCGTACTAATACTAGGTTTGTATCTTATCCGTTCTACCCCACAATAAACGATTTCTTCCTCTACATGAATTTTGGCAAGTTTCTGTCGTTCTCGGAAGACAACTAGGACGTTTGCTTGTCTCCTGTACTTTCGTCAAATTCCTAGTTGCGAAGGCATTGTGGCTGGTGCTCATATAATGCATGCATTAGAATACCGTTTTTTCTCAACAGTTTACCCCATGCGCTGTTCTGTCTAGGTCGCAACCAAGCCAAGAGCTTTTTCTTTCCACTCGCTACGACTCTTTATCGCGCAGTTCAAATACTTGTCAATCGCAACCCCAAAACCACCACAATTCTTAAATTTCTTTGCCAATGGATTCACATAGTATATTCGCATTCTGCTTCACATTTTTTCTTTGTTGCACTCTACAGCCATCGTCTTGCATTCGACCCTTCCTCGTCTGTCATTGGTAGGGTTTGCGGGGAATCCCTCGTTTACTCGTACGTGCGAGCGACAGATGATACGGACGAACTATAGACGATGGCTGCAGAATGGTATCACTGTGTCGTACCAGTACTGATTGGAAGATCGCCACCAAAACTCGCATATTGATGGAATCTAACACAATATAACTATCAGAACATCCTTAGATAATCCGAGACAACTAAAGCAACTGAGAATCCGTGGAGACCGTACTAATGGTAAGCTTGCTGAAGCTTGCTTCAACCACGAGAAATCCTTCCTTGCATGCGAATGAATGACACTCACAAATAATAAGAAGGTACAGAACGATTTGCAGCAGGGACACAGTAAGCAGTAGAAACAGAACCAGTACCGGTGTTGAAGAAAAGGAAATCAAGAGCAATATCTGATGCAGGAGAAGATGTGAGAAACACCCATGGAGGTGGACAAGGCCAATTGCGACGACTGACTCGTTGACGACAAGTCCGATTATTGTTTCTTCACCATATAAAACTATGTCTTGTTTTACACTATATAAAAGTAAATTTGCTGTTTTGTTGTGACGAATAGTCCGCGCATGTCATGCCCATTTTTGGTTGACTGTGGATTTTCAAGAAATTAAAACAACATACCGGTAAATAAAATAACATTTTTTAAAAATAAAATAAAAGATTAAAAAATTCATTTTGACTAATGTGACTTGAAATAGACGTTTTTTTGAAGCAGAATTCCTATCACATTGTACTCTGGATTCGCAATGAGCTTTTAAAAAAAATGATGACATCGGATATCTGTTTTCTACGAAGAATATGAATAATATAAATGTATATTCTATAATTGTAATAACAGAATTTACTGTGGAATTTCAAAAAATTCCCAAATGCCGTTCTGTCAAGGTCGCTACGAAGTCGCGTCCCTTGTCTTCCCATTCGCGACGATTCTCCATTGCGTAGTTCAAATACTCGTCACTTGCAACCCCGAACACACCACAATCCTTCAACTTCTTCGCCAATGGAATCACATAGTTGTCCAAGAAACCTATTTCACCCTCATACCACTTCTCTGCTGGATTGAAAGGAAGACGACCAGCTTTGTAGGCTACTGCCATTTCCTGAAACAAGCGCTCGTTCCATTTGCAGTAAATGTGCCAATGTTGCATGGTGTGGGCAACATCCGAAGCTTGAATCAAGTGCTCAATCACGATTGTAGCCTTGCGATTGACCATGTCTTTGGTCCCCTCCTCTGAACGGGCTGCAAGGGGTACATTAGTATTGAAGGCTGCATCCCATCGATTTCGACGCAATGCTTGAAGCTCCTTGTCCATGATATCAGTGGCCAGTACTGTATTCGTCATTAGCTGGCGGAACCGATCCAGCTCATACGGGGCTGCATAGATGGTGCGTCGAAAGTCTTGGAAGCGGGGATGCATAAGAATATCCCAGGCCAAGACCGTCGAGTTTTGCTCTGCCACACTCTTATTATTAAATAGGTCTGCAAGCTTGCTTCCTTCGTTGATGAGCTGATTATTGGAAACCCCAGAGTGATCAACGTCGTGTACCATGGCAGCAAGAATGACAGTGAACTGTGTCATTGGATCGGATGTAATGCCATATGTGTGATCGTGAATCGACCATCCCAATAAGTCATCTGACGAGGCAGCGTTTTGATCTGCATTCAAAACATCGTCAGCAGCAATGATACGGGAAAGGAGCTTGGAAACGGACATCATGACATGTGAAGCATGCTGAAAGATCGAAAGCTGTCAGCGCATTATCATGAATACATATACCAGTTGACACGAATGACACAATAAAACATACCTCAAAGTTGTGGAATGGATTGTCTTTGTACATCGCAGCGATACACGCAACATACAACCGAATCTGTTCGATTACAGCCTCAGAAAGCTCAATCCTTTCGTGAGCTTGCTGTCCTTTGTAGACACTTTGATCGAACCCAGGAAGAGGAATGATTTCAACTACTTCATCAAGAACAGAGATGTGTCGACGGATTTCCTTTTCACGTCGCGAAAGATCGGATTCCCAATCCTTGTTGCCCAAATCAGACGCAAGTCTGTGAGCCACGATCTGTTTCAGAAGCCTTGTCAACACATCCACATTCCACTGACACAAGCGTCGTGTTCTAGAAGGTAGCGATTTTTCGATGTCCTCCAAGGTGCTGGTTCCTAGATCTAGAGAGAATTCTGAGTTGACGGAAGGACTGTTCAGGAAAATACCGCTTCCGCTCTGAGACGCCTCATCATCTGTGAAAGCCGAATCGACAGCATGCGATGTAATGTTGATACTAGCTTCTTCTTGCTTGGTCAGAAGCCAGTATGTTTGCAGTTTCCCCTTTCCTTTTGCAGTCACAAGCTGTTCGCGGCTACTCAGCCAATGTGATTTTCCAGCAGCTGCCAATAAATCAGCAGTCTCTTGCGACAAATGGATGCGATTGCGTTCACCAGAGGACTCTATTCTAGATGCTGTATTGACAGTATCGCCAAATAGCTGGAAACGCGCCTTCTCTCCTCTCAATACTCCGGCCGTGACTGGTCCACTGTGCATTCCCACGCGGATTCCCAAGTCTCCAGTATCAGGGCCAAGAGTTGTCTCCAACGATCCAACCAAATCTTCAAACTTTTCCACACAGGCCCTTGCGAAAGAACTGAAATGAAAAAAACAAAACAAGCGCGATGTGAGAAGATGGAAATGAAAAGCACGTGATGAAAGAGCAATAGAAGAACTCACGCCATGATTGTAGCATGTGCCTTAGTCGGCTCTTTAGGTCAGGAAAAATGAACAAGATTGTGAGTACGATGCTGCGATAGTGCTTCGTTTGAAAAACATGAATCGAACTCACCAGGCAAACCGGTAACTGCTACGTAACAATCACCTACTGTCTCCACCTTGAACACATTTCGACGTTTTGCAGCGATATCAAAGGTTCTATAGACAGACTCGAGAAGGGTGAAAACTTGAGTAGGCTCACGGACCGAGCTCCATGCCGTGAAACCAGAAATGTCGGCAAATAATACTGTGGCATGAAGGAAGAGATCAGCAATGGGCTTCGTATCCAAGAAATCGGTTTCATGAGGATGAAAAGAAGGTGTGCTCTTCATGAAACTCTTAAGCTGATATTTGTTTGCCTTTTTCAAAAGATCTTCATTGAATCGCCGAATTGCACTAGCACCTTGAGAGGACTTCTGTTCCTCGCGCTGGACAGTCTGATCCTCTTCAATGCCAAAGAGTCTGTCTCGAATGGTCTTTGGGTACAGCACGGACAAGATCTTTTCGGATCGCGACGCAACTGCAAGAATCTTGCTCTGTCTCATGTGCACTGCGGCGTCGTACATGTACAAAATGATCCCGACCAAGATGAAGACGCCTGTGATGACACCAGCCATGGATGCTGGATAACTAGTATGGTAGGTGTCGCAGAAGCTCTTGGTAGGGAAGACGCGGACCTGATAAGAACATCCTTTCCCTCCCACATGATATGTGCGAAGGGATGGTGAAAATGCGAAGGACCGTTCGTGCTCCTCATAGGTGGGATCATGTAGACTGCCGAATCCAACAAACTCGCTTAGAGAGCCAGTTACCCGGAAGGTGAACTCATTTGCACACCCGTCATCAATCACGACATCTACAGGTGGCATGTGCTCGTCACTGGGCAAGGCAAACAAAGGCGTCCAATTGAGACCTGAAGTCAAAGTGGCAACGAGCTCTTGTTTGGTGGCATCCTTGAATACCGGAGCGATGAAGATGCTGACTGGTGACGCGTAGACATACCCCTTGACTAAGTCATCGGCATTTTCCAGCAGTCCGGCGTTATTGGGACCCAGGCGATCGGAAAGAGCACCTGTTTTCTCCTCCCATAAGGATTCAAAAATTTCTTTATAGTGCGAGTCAGATAGCATGTTAAAGTTCACAATCTTGCCATCTCGAGGAGCTTGAAGCATCTGCCACAATGGGGCAAACGGACCGTCTCCTTCTTCAGGAATCCGCTCTCCCGCCGAATTCCGAAAGACATTTGGATAGATTTGTGTGTAATTGGAAGGATCCGGCTGTTGCTCCAAGAGGAGACTCTCAGGGATCCATTCTTGATTTGCCTGCGAGTAGTTGGCCCATTTTTGCAAATCTTCTTTATTGTTGATCAAGGGTGCCAGGCCTACCAAACTAACACCTGTGGCTGCCATGAAGTTGGCCACAATCGTGGGATAGTTCGGGTCTGTAAAGAATGGCCAATTGGTTTCGGAATTGATCGCCAATGCTGTGATGGTTGAGGACAAGGAGCTGGATTCGGCCACCAAGTCCGACGTTCGGTCCTGGGATATCTGTTTAATGTCTTCAACGATAACATCAAACTTGTGATGAAAACGAGGGTGTAAGTAAAGGATTCTGAATTGGAACGAACTGTGACTAAATCTCTTGTCCTACCTCTTGATCAAAACTGTGCATTTCCTCTCGATCCAAAAAGAACCAACTGGTGATCCCTGCCGTGATGGTAGCTGCTAGCATCAAGGCAAAGACAAAGTAGCGAAAGCATTTGACGGCCTCCCGTTCGAATTCGTCGTTGTTCATTGTGGCGTTTTCATCATCCATAGGCAGTATCTTTACAACAGTTCCTTCTTCGGTACGACTGGCTTCGGAGGCTGCTTCTTCCGTTCTGTCTGAGTCTTCCATTCCTTTGGATTGTGCCTTTATCAGGGACTTGAGCTTAGACTGCTTGATTCGATTCATTTTGCTTTAGTAGAGGAAGCAATTCTTGTGACTGGCACTTTTTATAGTTTGTCGGCATCTTGATCTTCGATTTTTACATCGCCATACCCAAATGACTTCTGCTCAATGATGCAAAGGGAAAGTGTTTCCCCCAAAATTTCTTTTTCCTGGCCATTGTAGTGTACCCCATTCATATAGGTACACGTGTACACTATATTGTATAAGAAATTTGCACATCGTGTCCGAGAAATGACTTCTGCTCAACAATCTAACGGAAAGTGATCACCGCTAATTCTGTTTTTCGTGAAGTCGTGCATTTCAAGGTTCATTTCACTGGATATTTTTTCTTGCTACCATATATACAGCATTACGTTCTGACTTCTCATCAGGAAAGTGGGTTTTATTCAGTGGCGACTGTGGCTTCGTCCCACCGCAACGACACACCAATTGGCTGTGGAATCGACAGGGCAACAAACTATATTTCAAAACAAGAGTTGCTAAGTTCACCTCGTTGTGTACTAAATTATGCTACCGTAGTTCTACTAGTGTTGGTTGGTTGTTATTTACTTTTGCCCTTTGCCTATTTGGAAAGAGGATGACAGACGTGCATATACCGGTAGGAGGATTGACAGGGAGAAAGACTAGGCTCTGACTGAGGATTACATGTTGACACAGAGTCACAACTGTCGGTTTCAGTCAAAACAACGCCATTTGAAGCATCTAACCAATATACGTAGGTGAGATGCTGTTCGTGCGTTCGGGCTTGTAGCTACTTTAAAGCTTCCGTCAAAGTGACTTCTGCTCGATGATGCCAGTGGAAAGTCATTAACTAAAGTTTCTTGCGAGATTCGTTTTCCTGGCTTTACTTTTAGTAGAGTAAAATATTAGTATCATTTCACTGGATTATATTTATATTTGTTTTCTCATGCGGTTATACTTTCGCAATGACACTTCTCATGCCGAACTTCAGCCCAGCACTCCAACATAATTTGCCCGACTCACTATCAATCACAAAAAATTGAAAATGGAGCTGTATGCCGAGTCCATCGAGAATGCTGTCGCTTCCTGGAAGGTATGTTGACCTGTTTGTTACCACCGCGAGCTATAGTAGTGGACTTCTCAGAAAAGCTCACAGCACGCTGTTTTCTCAAACCCATCATAGACCGTCCAAGGTCTCCCAGACTACAAGACCCTTGTAGGCGAATTGCTATTTCGAGAGTAAGTCTACTGAAGGAAGAGTGTCATTGTGAAACGCAACATCCAATCCATGCTTTGCAAATCTCAGGATATTCAAAATATCCCCAGGTGCCATCAACATGTTCGCGTTCGGAGAAGGAGTAGACTGTTATAATCTACCCGAAACACTGTTCAACCTTCCAGCATTTCAAAGCCATACCAATGGTGTCGTCACAATGCTAGAAACAGGGCTCGAGATGATGCTGGGAAATAATATGGAGTCTTTGGCAGAGGCATTGAGTAGTCTTGGTGAAAAACACGTTACATTCGGAATTCAGCCACCCCATTACATCATTGTTGAGTCGGCTTTGATCAGAACTCTAGAGGTAGGATTGGGGGAGAACTTCATTGCATCTCTACGAAAAGACTGGCAGGCTGTGTTTAGATTCATATCTCGAACCATGATGATGGGTTCAGAGAATCGTGTTGAGATTGTTAAATCAAAACGGAGAAGTGCAGAGCAGAAAAAGGTTGCAACACTGCGACTGCACTCCATCTCACCGGGACAGCGAAGCAAAGCCCTCACGCGGCATAGTCGGACTGACTTTGGTCGTTTTGAAGGAGAACCTAAAGGTAAACATCGTCGAAGAGGTACCAGCAGCGACCCTCCACATAAGCCAATGAGGAAAGGCACGGAGGAATCGCTTCGCCGTGCCCGAAGTGTGTCCCTACATCTGGATGACGATGATTGCCCTGCTTTGGATGACGATGATTGCCCCGCGTTGGATGACCTGACGATAGATATAACTGCGGAAACAAGAGCCATGACTGTATCAGACCACGATGAGTCTGACAACGCTGAGACCATCTGGGCATGGGGTAACGATACCAATGTGGAGCCCCCAAAGATGCCGCTACGGTCGCCTAGTCCAAAAGACCCACCAAGAAAGGTGCATGGGTCGCCGCCTCGTGTGCCATTGCTTGTCCGAAACAACTCGTTCGATTCTGTAAGCACGTTGGGATCACTTGATTTTGCACCGCATTTTCCAAAGCGACTTAGATCACCAACACGAGAACTCAGAAAGCCGTTGACATCGGCACATCATGTGGAACAAGGTCGAAAGAGCTCCTTCGATTCTAGGAGCACGTTGGAATCCTTCGACTCCCCACCGCTTTTTCCAAAACGATCGAGCTCACCAACGCGAGTACCAGCTTTGTTGCATTTTTCTTCCACGTTCACTAAACTTTTAGGAGAATCGTACTAATAGGTTTGTATCTTAATCCGTTCTGCCCTACAATAAACGATCGCTCAGCAAGTTTACATGAATTTTTGCGAGCTGCTCTCTTTCTCGGAAGACAATTAGGACGTTTGCTTGTCTCCTGTACTTTCGTCAAATGCCTAGTTGCGAAGGCATGGTGGCTGGTGCACATAATGCACGTATTAGAATACCGTTTTTTCTCAGCAGTCTACCCCATGTGCTGCTCCGTCAAAGTCGCAACCAAATCACGACCCTTTTCTTCCCACTCGCGACGATTCTCCATTGCATAGTTCAAATACTCGTCACTTGCAACCCCAAACACACCACAATTCTTCAACTTCTTTGCCAGTGGAATCACATAGTTGTCAAAAAATCCGATTTCCCCCTCATACCACTTCTCTGCTGGATTGAAACCCAAACGGCCAGCCTTGTACGCTATCGTCATTTCCTCAAACAAGCGTTCGTTCCATTTGCAGTAGATGTGCCAGTGCTGCATCGTGTGCGCGACGTCAGAGGCTTGAATCAAGTGTTCAATGACGATCGTGGCCTTGCGATTTACCATATCTTTCGTAGCCTCTGACATTGCTGAATTGGTCTTGAAAGCTGCATCCCATCGATTTCGACGCAATCCCTGAAGCTCTTTGTCCATGATGTCAGTAGCCAGTACTGTATTCGTCATTAGCTGTCGGAATCGATCCAGCTCGTAGGGAGCTGCGTAAATGGTGCGTCTGAAGTCTTGGAAGCGGGGATCCATTAGAATATCCCATGCTAATACGGTCGAATTCTGTTCTGCCACACTTTTGTTACGGAAGAGGTTTGCAAGTTTATTTCCTTCCTTGATGAGCTGGTTATTGGATACACCAGAGTGATCAACATCGTGTATCATAGCAGCAAGAATGACAGTGAACTGTGTCATTGGATCGGATGTGATGCCGTAAGTGTGATCGTGAATCGACCATCCCAAGTCATCTGATGTGGCGGCGTTCTCATCCTCATCCAGAACATCGTCAGCAGCAACGATACGGGAAAGCAACTTGGAAACGGACATCTAAAGGAGTATGGGAAGAGGTGCAAGATGAGACGACGACACAGTCAATATTGACCACCAAAGAGTTGGCTCCGGTGGTGGATTGGAAGAACGTTGTCCTTCTGCAAGGCATTACCCCGAACTATACCAAAATCAACTTACCATGACGTGACTAGCATGATCGAAGTTATGGAAAGGGTTGTCTCTGTACATCGCAGCAATGCATGCAACATATAGTCGAATCTGCTCGATTACTTGATCGGAAAGCTCGATCTTGTCGGGATCTTGCTGCCGCTTGTATACTCGTTGATCGAACCCAGGAAGAGGAATGATTTCAACCACTTCATCTAGCACCGATATCTGGCTACGAATCTCTTGTTCTCGCTTTGTAAGCTCGTTTTCCCATCCCTTGGACCCCTCATTGGTTGCAAGTCGGTGTGCCACGACCTGTTTCAACAGCCTTGTCAACACATCCACATTCCACTGACACAAACGCCGTGTCTTGGGAGGTAGCAACTTTTCGATTTCCTCCAAACTATTGGTGCGAAGATCAAGAGATGCTTCTGCAATTCCAGAAGGAATATTATTGAAACTGCCACTAGCATTGTCCAGGAGTTTGTCTGCAGAGCCCGAGTTGGATGTAATCACGACGCCAGCTTCTTCCTGCTTGGTCATCAGCCAGTACGTATGCAACTTCCCCTTTCCCTTTGCAGTAACAGGCTGATCGCGGCTCCTCAACCAATGTGATTTACCAGCAACTGCCAATAGGTCAGCAGTCTCTTCCGATAAATGGATGCGATTTCGTTTTCCAGTGGACTCGATTCGAGATGCCGTATTAACAGTGTCTCCAAAGAGTTGGAAACGCGATTTGTCTCCTCTCAATACTCCGGCTGTGACTGGTCCACTGTGAATTCCCACGCGGATTCCCAAGTCTCCCGTGTCAGGTCCAAGCGTAGTCTCGAGCACTCTGACCAATTGGGCAAACTTTTCTACACACTCTCGAGCGAATCCTGCCATGATTGTAGCGTGAGACTTGGTGGGTTCTGAGCAACAACAAAAGATTGTGAGCCAAACGACGTGCAGCCTACGTCTTGAAGAAATCGGAATAGTCGTCATCGTCAAACTTACCAGGCAAACCGGTAACTGCTACATAGCAATCTCCGACTGTCTCCACTTTGAACACCTTGCGGCGTTTTGCAATCATATCGAATCCATTGTAGACGGCTTCCAAAAGAGTGAACACTTGCGAAGGCTCGCGGACCGAGCTCCATGCTGTGAAACCAGAAATGTCGGCAAAGAGAACCGTGGCATGAAGGAAAAGATCCGCAATCGGTTTCGAATCGTAAGGATTCAATGCATGATCCATTTCATCTCCTGGGCGAGTCGTTGTCATGAATTGCTTCAGCTGGTACTTTGCAGCTGTCTTTCGAAGATCGTGATTTAAGCGACCACGGATCCCAGAGGGTGTTTTCCCTTCTGCCGGATCCTCCTCTTCCTCATATCCAAAGAGACGATCACGAATACTCTTGGGATACAGGACGGACAAAATCTTTTCTGACTGCGATGCCACGGTCAGGATACGTTTTTGGCGCATGTGGACTGCTGCATCGTATAGACAGAAAATGATGCACATGAAGGCAAATACTGTTCCGATAATCGCAGCAGTGGAAGACGGTGACGAAGTGTGAAAGGTATCAAAGAATTCTTGGGTAGGAAACACTCGAACTTGGTATTTGCAGTCGGTTCCGGCAACGTGATGAGTTTGCAAAAGCTCCGCAAAAGGAAAGTCAATTTCGTCCACATTAAAGGCGGGATCGTGTAGATCATCAAATGCCAGAAAGATCGACTTCGGGCCAGTCAATCTCAAGGTGAACTTTTGACCACACTGGTCATCCACAACAACATCGACGGGTGGTAGGCTTTCATCACTCGAGAGAGAGAAAAGTGAAACCCAATTGACATCTGAATTCAAAATGGCGACGATCTCGTCACTGGAGGCGTTCGTGTAAACAGGTTGCACCAACATACTGAATGGACTAGACGCAAAATATGCAACGTCATCCTCGTCCAAGAGAGGAATGATATCTTGGAATTCCTTGTCAAACCGATCAGTCAAAAGTGGCTGTTTGGTTGCCATGACAGTTTCAAACGACTCTACAAAGTTCCGATCGGACAAGAGATTGAAATTGACAGAGGTTGTCTTTGTGGAAGGTTCAAATGTCTGCCAGATGGGTAGGAACGGTCCTGAACCCTCCTCCAGTGTTCTCATGCCGTTTGGAGCACGGAATATGCCGGCAAAGATCTCCTCCAAGTTCATATCTTCTTCTTCTTCTTCATGCTCGTTGTGATCATGGTTGTGAATGAAAGAATCCTTCTGTTGCTGTTCAAACACCAGTCCTTGTCCGATCCACGCTTGCTGTGTTTGGGAATAGTTGGTCCATCGGATGCGTTCCTCCTCATTTTGGATAAGCGGTGAGAGGATCACCAGATGGGCACTCGTGGTGCTGATGAAATTCGAAGCAATCAATGGAAAACTAAAATCGGTAAAGAAAGGCCAGGAGGTTTTGGAATTGATTGCAAGACTGCTAATCGTCTGCCCGAGTGTGTTGGAGTCTGTAACAAGCTCCAAGGTGCGTTGATTGCTCAGTAACCTAATGTCCTCTGCAATAACCTCAAACTAAACATGGTAGGAACAACAAAAGTTGAGACTTTAGAAAGACAGAAGCAACCATCGCTCTCTCCAATCTAACTAAAACTGTACGCACCTCCTTGTGAAAATCGTCCTCTTCCGCTTGATTCAGAAAATGCCAGGTGATCACCCCAGCCGTGATCGTCGAGACTACCATTAAAAAGAAGATGTAAAACCGAAAACACCGAATGGCAGTTCGTTCAAATTCATCGTCTTCGATTGTCGTTTTTTCAGTATCGCTATTGCGCCCCTTGCTGCTATCGTCCACTTCAAAGAGACTGCTGGCTTCTTCATGACTCGGAGCGAAGCGAAGTTCTTGGCTTGTGGATCTTCGTTTCAACGACCCTTTACTCATTGTTCTGTTCATACCGGTAGCGTTACTCATGGTGGCTATGGCGTAAAGTCAATGGGATGAATAAACGCCGCTATCACCTATACTATGTACTCGTACATCTGCTAACGAGCGGGAACCCTGCTTCTCCGCATTTCATACAGTATTTCGATTGATTCGCTTATTTAGGAGAAGACCTCTACATACCAGTGCATTGATGTGGTCGCTTCCGAATCACGATAAAAGGTCGTACTTATATATGTGAAAACTGAACGGCTATAAGTGGAGAAATAGTGGAACGTGAGTGTCATCGATTAAAATTAACAGACGTCAAGACGATTACCTGTAGGATGACCAGAGATACTTGTTGGGTCTGTAATTGGGTGCCAGTACTACAGTAGTTCCAAAGACTATTTTTCCATGCTGTACATAGTACTAAGGCTGTTTCCATGCGAACCGAATTTCGAAAACCGAAAAGATGCCAAATCCAGCCAGAGATTTTCGGTTTTGGAAAATCAGATGGGTAAAAAACACGTTTCCACGCAAAAACGAAATTCGGCATACGGATTCTACCCGCCTCAGCCAATCAGAAACTGACATTTTTCAACCACTTTCATTGGTCTAGAACAGACATGAAATATTTTACCGCACAAAAGTTTTAATCTAAACGAAGGCTACAAATTTAACGCGTGAGAAAGGCTATTCATATTTATAGTTAGGCCAAAGTCAAAATACATTAGTTTTATGTCGTGCTATTTCTATTTCCATAATAAAAATTCGGATGTCAATTCTTGCTCTTCTACTCCTACTCTTTTCTTCCCTGTATTCACCACTTCTATTCCAATCATTGTCGACTTGATCAAAGTAGCTGTAGGGAATGCCAAACCTTCGTCGAAACCTTTTAGCACGAGTGCTGTCTTTGTCCCAAACTGAATCAATAGCTGCAATAGCATCTTCGTTTCTATGCTGATGGTGGTCGTCGGAATTCCTGTTGTAGAAATTGTAAAATGGAGAGTTGTAGACATCCTTTTTGACTCTTGGCGCTCTTGGGCCCCGTCCCCTCATGTCCACTGATGATACTGACGAATCGCCTTGGGACGAACCCTCACCATCAATGACACAATTGCGGAAAGATCCTCAAATTGAGGTCAAAGTCTTAGAAGAAATCAAAACCAATATCAAATTCAAATTGGAAGGGTGCCTCAAAGGTGCCAATGGAGGTCTTGCTTAAGTCCTGACTGCCATCACTCAAAGATCTGCTGTTGGAGTCGCGACTGCTGTTGCTGTTGCTAGTACTGTCGCTACCACTGGTTGTACTGCTGCCATCATCACTATTCAAGCTCATAGGTTGGTAGGACGAGTGGTCCATATTGTCGATGTTGTTGGAATCCAGTAGATTGCTTGATATGTGGTGTTGGAGGCACTTGGTTGTGTCAGAACCTACGCATTACAACGGTTTGTGGAAGATTCGGCTGAGACAGGCAAAATCCGGCTGTCGGTTTTCGGCGCCGAGATATTGCCCAAATATTCGGCCGCCGACCAACCGAAATCCGGCCGCCGACTCAGTTTTGGAGGGAAAATGTTCGTGTGGACGTGTTTTTTTTACGAAACCGAAAACCGAGAAACGAAAAAGACCCAAAACACTCGGTTTTCGGTTCGCGTGGAAACAGCCTAACTTGGAGGCATGATTACGAAAATGTCTGTTATTTTAAATTTTTTTAAGCTGTACTCTACAATAAGCCTACCAATAGCTACTGGCGAGCCATTATCAGTTTAGACTTAGTAGTATTTTCTTTAGAATAGTTATGTCGATTCAATATAATGTACTATTGCTTTGCTCCTTCAGCGACAACTTCATCATCGCGGACACGCTTCCCTAGAATAGATGCTGGTGAATCCGTGGAAGCGGGTTCGGCCACTGCAATCTTGGTGTTTGCATCATTATTGCCGTCGTTGCTGCTGCCGCCAAGAATGGTAGTATGATTGTCTGGGTTTATTGTTTCCGTTGCACCATCACCAGGGGCACTACTCAAGCCAGTAGTCAGCACACTGCTCTTGGACAGACGGACCAATATCTGATCAATCGCACCGGTGGCTCGCAATCCTTCTTCTTCTGCTTCATTTCGTTCGCCAGTCTTGCGATTGTCCAGAACTTTTCGTCGCTTGGTCCGCTTGTGTAGCTTCATGAGTGCTACTGGGTCTACGTCGTCATAATCATCGACTGCCTTGTCGAAATTCCAAGCATATCCCATAGATGGTTGGAATCGAGCGCAAACACTAAGCGCTGAACAGGCACCTGCCAATCCTTCCAGTGTTCGTGTCACATTTGCTTTCATCAGCGAACGGACCGAGGGAGACTTGTAAATGACACCTTCCACTACATAGTATATTCCTGTTTTTTTGTTTCAGAGATGGGGATGGTTAGAAATGGATTGGGCAAGAAAACAACAAGGGAGTATGTCAGAAAGATAAAATTGCAACAAGACCGCTACCCAAATGACAAATGACAATAAGATATTCATTCGATCGTCGTCTGATCTCAGAGCCTGATAGTCATTCATCATCAATTGAGCTTCAGATATTTAATTTTACCCACTTACCCAAAACCTTGACGCTGCTAGGGTTTTTTCGCAAGACATGCCGTATCGTATAGAGCGGTGATGGTTGTGCGTATTGTTGCGGGTCCACCGGAGGCATGAGTTCGTATTGCTCTCCCGTCAGTCTTGATAATGCTCGCGCATATTCTTCTTCTGCGGCCTTTGGAGGCAATGGAACACACATGCCACCACTGTTGGCATTTGGGATTCCTATTTGCATAAGCAGACCAATCGTTACTTGCTGCATTTCGAGATATTCATTTGATGTGTTGACTTGAGTGCGAAAAGGATTCAGAGGATGTAGGAAATAGTTCAGCACATTGGCTCGAAAGAGACCGAAGCGTGCTAGATAGACAGGGTCCACAAATGAGGCTGTTTCAGACATCGCTGTTGTTGAGTTGGATGAAGCTGTACCTGGTATATATACCGGTACTGATGATGATGAGGATGCTGATGACAATTTTTTTTGTTTGGGGGCTGATTGAAATTGTAAGGCCTAAATCAGCTCTTGATCGTGAATTGAAAAAGAAAAACTCCACAATACTGTACGTACCTGGTACCGGTACTACGGTATACGTGCTGTATCAATAGCAAATGTAGAGCCTATGTTCCTTCATCTCCATTTCGTATTTAGTAGATATATTTTCTATATTTGTATCATCCCGATCCAGAAGTTTTCAAAGTAGCAGATCTAGCCCTTCTACCACCGGCCCCCCATCCTCCATATCACCACCAAACCTTTCAACCATTTCAGCAACAAAGGCTTCACCCTTTTCTTCCCATTCTCGCCGGTTGTCCATGGCATAGTTCAAGTATTCGTCACTAGAAACACCAAAGACGCCACATTCTTTCAGCTTCTTTGCCAGCGGAATGATATAGTGGTCAAAGAATCCAATCTCACCTTGAAACCAGAAGTCAGCTGGGTTCTTCTCCAGTTTCCCCCTCTTGTAGGCTCGGACCATCTCTTCGAATAAACGCTCGTTCCATTTGCGATAGACATGCCAATGTTGCATGGTGTGCGACACATCGGATGCTTGGATCAAGTGCTCAATCACAATGGTAGCCTTACGATTCACATCTGTTCTTTCGTCAGACGAAGTAATCGCCATGGTGCCACTGAAGGCTGCATCCCAGCGCTTGCGGCGGAGCGTTTGTAGTTCTTTGTCCATAATGTCAGTAGCTAAAACCGTGTTGGCAATCAGCTGTCGGAACCGATCCAGTTCCAATGGTGCTGCATAGATGGTTCGGCGAAAGTCTTTGAAGCGTGGTTCCATGAGAAGATCCCATGCCAGGAATGTCGAGTTTTGTTCTGCGACGCTCTTGTTCTTGAATTGCTTGGCTACCATATGTTCATCTTTGACAAGTTGGGCGTTGGAGACACCCGAGTGATCAACATCGTGAATCAATGCTGCCAGAATGACGCTGAATCGAGTAATCGGATCAGAGGTGATTCCGTACGTATGGTCATGGATGGATCCACCAATGCCAAATGTATGGTCATGGATGGACCCGCCAATATCATGTGACTTAGTGACGGTCTCGTCAGCGTTCAGTAGATCCTCTGCTGCGACGATTCGAGACAGCAGCTTGGACACAGACATTGTAACGTGACTTGCATGCTCAAAGTTGTGAAACGGATTCTTGCGGTACATAAGAGCAATGGACGAGATATAGAGTTGCATTTGCTCCATCACGACCTCTGGGAGCTCAATTTCGTCGACATCCTTTTGCCGTTTGTACACCTCTGCATCAAATTCAGGAAGGGGCACAATCTCCACAACCTCATCAAGAATATATATCTGTCGCTTGATTGCATCCTCTTTCTCATCCAGAGCCTCTTCGAATTGCTTAGTTTTGAATCCTGTCGCCATTCTGTGGGCCACAATCTGCTTCAATGATTTTGCCAGAACATCGACATTCCATTGGCAGAGCCGTTTGAGCTTTGCCGGGAGCATTGCTTCAACAGCATAGTGATTGGCAGATTCAAAGTCTTCAGGAAGGGTACTTCTAATAGACTTGTCAAAGTCCTCGCCGTTGTGTGCCGATGTTGCCAGCTCATGTTCCTCTTCCTCTGTTGTTAAGAGCCAGTAAGTCTGCAGCTTTCCCTTGCCCTTCGCTCTCACCGGTTGAGCTCGACTTCGAAGCAAGTGGCCCCTACCCGCGTTTCCAATCAGATGTGCCGTTTCTCCAGAGACCTGAATCCTGTTTCGCATACCGGTGGACTCGATTCGTGACGCTGTATTTACAGTGTCACCAAACAGCTGAAAACGCGACTTGTCTCCACGAAGAACTCCAGCTGTAATAGGCCCGCTATGCATACCGACACGAATGCCCAACTCTGCAGTATCTGGTCCTAGAGTTGTTTCAAGGAATCCAACAAGCTCGCCAAACCTATCAACAATCTCCCGAGCGAATGAAGCCATGATATTCGCGTGGTCTTTGGTTGGTTCTGGACAGCGGCAGAAACGACAAGATAGTGAGTCCAGTGTCATGAAGCCTATTCCTTAGACAGTTAATCATACTTACCAGGCAAACCGGTCACAGCCACGTAGCAATCGCCCACCGTTTCTACCTTGAACACTTTTCTCTTCTTGGCGATCACATCAAAGGCTCGATACACACTTTCGAGCAGGGTGAAAACTTGAGCTGGTTCCCGGACGGAACTCCAAGCGGTGAAACCACAAATGTCAGCAAAGATGACTGTCGAGTCCAAGAATAGATCTGCAATTGGTTTTGAAGAAAACGCATCCAATGAACCTCCATTTGGATTGCTCTTGATGAAGCTCTTGAGTTGGAATCTTGAAGACTTGACGATCTCACCCACTTCGGTGTTATTCCGATTTCCTTTCGTTGTCCCATTGCCATCTTCCTTCTTTTCGAGGCCAAAAAGCCGATCTCTGATCGATTTGGGGTAGAGAACAGAGAGTAGTTGTTCCGATCTCGAGGCAACATGGAGTAGCCTCCTTTGTCTCATGCGTACCGCGGAATCGTACAGATACAGAATCAGACACATAAACAAAAATACGCCACCAAACACTCCACCAAATACTGCTGGATACTTGAGATGGTATGTGTAGTAGAATTCAGAAGTAGGAAATACCCGAACGGTGTAGGTACAGTCTGATCCTGCAATATGTTGCGTAGTGACATCTGGAGCAAACGGAAACTCAATCCCGAAGTCATTGTAGGCGGGTTCGTGGTGATCACCAAATCCTACAAATTCAGATTTTTGGCCGGTTACCTTCATGGTAAAGGCGACGTCGCAACCGCCATCCACCACAATATGAACGGGAGGAATAGGATTGTCACTCAAAAGAGCAAATAGAGGGAGCCAACTCACATCTGAATTCAAGATTGCAACAACTTCTTGTCCCGTCGAGTCTTCGAATACAGGCTGAAGGAAGAGACTGTGAGGCTGGGTTTGGACCAGCTGTTGGATATCAGGATCATACAGTTGAACAAAATCTTGATTTGACAATCCGAGGAGATCAGTCATGGCAGATGCTTTGGTCTCGAGGACAGTGTCGAAGACATTGCTATAATGTGTGTCCGAGCGCATGTTGAAATTCACCATATCACCATTGCGAGGAGCTCGGATTGTTTGCCAAATGGGGAGAAATGGGCCCGACCCTTCTTCTGGAATCTTGTCTCCGGCAGACAGTCGAAAAATGGATGGAAAGATATCCGTTACATTATCTGGCTGAGGTTCTTGTTGAAAGGCCAGACTATCAGCAATCCAATGCTGGCGTCTCTGCGTGTAGTTTGACCACTCCTTATTTTCAACATCATGGACAATGGGGGAAATGAATATTATATCTGATTGTATGGTCTTCATGAAGCTTGAAACAATCACGGGATAGTTGTCATCGGTGAAGTAGGGCCACGTTGTGTTCGAGTTGATTGCCAGTCCAGTGAGAGTCGATGCAAGTGATTGCAATTCTGCAACACGCTCTGAGAGTCGTCTATAGCTCAGCTGCTTGATGTCCCCCGCAACAATGCCAAACTGTTTTCAAAGGGGTGTAAGGTGATGAAAAGAAGAACCATTCGACTAAGGCAACCACGATAACATACCTCCTTTCCGAAATGGACATCCTCTTGCCTTTCGAGATAGAAGTAACTCGAAGCGCCGCCAGCGATTGCTGCAAATATCATGAGGAAGACGAGGAAATATCGAAAGCATGAAATGGCGGACCTTTCGAACTCATCATCCAATCCAACAATACCCTCTTCTTCTTCTTCTTTCGAATAATGGCCGTATCTATCCGATGTGGAGAATTGGTTATCTTTGTCTGTCGTTCTGCTGCTAAGGTCCGCTGTTTCTTCACCGGATTTTGATGTTGAACCTATCATAGTTGCGTTTATATGGTGGTGTGAATAATTTGTCGATGAGTAAAGATGAGGCCGCGTGTATTCCAAGCTGCATACCTAAATCCCGAAAAGTGACCCAAATCTGGTCATTCGAAATGTCATTGGACAATGACGTGTTAGGAGCAAAACTTCTGACCTTATAGGGACTCGACAAATCAGATACGTCGCTGGAATAACACTCTGTAGCAATCGTGTTTTGAGACTTCTTTAGTTTTTAATTTAGAAATTTGTGGTGTCTCAAAACACTCTGAAATCAAACGCAGGGTTTTTTCTCGCGGACTGCTCAACATTTTGTAGAAAGTCCAACTGGTCGACAAGACGAGATTTTTGGAAGCTCCCGCACTTCACTGTTCCTACCGCTCGCCCGCACTGTCTCCCGCTCGACACAATTTATTTTACTTTCGTGCAGCAATGACAACAATATCAATAACATCCATCCTACAACAAGCATATTCTATGAGTATATAGCTGATATTGGGAATTTTCATATATTCAATTGCGAGTCTGGGTAGCGAGAAATGGTGGCTCACTGATTGACGACAGAAATTCAAACGAATTTAAACACCAATCAACCCAAAGAAGTCAGAAATGGATCGGACATTACGGCAATACACGATTTCCTTCAATATTTATTCAGCTAATAATTACAGTTTTCAGACATTCAATTGGAGAAGTAGGTGCGGAGAAATTGCGACTTGACTGGCGTGACGACGGAATTTCATCAATCAAACTAAAGAAGACACCAATGAATGGCAACAATACACATATACAGTTTCATTCATTTTAAATTCAGCTAGTAAAGTCTTTTCCTTTTCTCCCCGTGAAGAAGCCATCGTCGTAGTGTTTGTGATTGTGATTTGTGGAACGCAGACCATCCTGGCAGAACGGGAGACCATAGTATGGGTGTGCTTGAGGCATGCGGTACCAGGTACGGAGCTTTTCCAAAAAGCCTGTCTTGTCGACCACTTGGACCATCAACAAAATGTTGAGCAGTCCGCGAGAAAAAACCCTGCGTTAGCATAACAGATGTGACTGAGGAACGAAGTACAGACGGCGTCTATCATGCGACATCAAACACGATTACTACAGAGTGGCTGGAATAAATGTATTCAAGCAGTTTGATCCCCGCAGATTTGAAATATTCAGCCGAATCTAGAATTTGTTAAATAGAAAGGAGGGGAGTGGGAAACAGAAGGTGTTCTGATGACTATTACAGTTCCCACCTCACGTAATGCGGTCCATCTCAAAAGACTTGATGCTTGCTCCGCAATATGACAGCGAGACGTTCGCAAAAGAGGAAAGTATAATCCAAGGAATCGCAAGGGTTCACATAACTGCGTATCGAACACTGATTTAAAAGTTTAGCAGATCGAGACAGCAAGAATCCAAAAACAATTAACAACATCCTGTATGTCCGTAGCTGCAAAAGACAAGAAGTGCCGAAAAGTGCGCCACTTAGTGCTTTGGTTCAGGAGTAATGGATGTTGCTAAAACGAGATGATTAGAGCAATGAATCTAAGGCTGTTGAGGATGAAGGATCCGCCTACAGCAGATATGATTGTCTGGTCATCTCATTGGCAACAATAGCCACCGTGTCAAAAGGGAACAACGCAGCCAAATCGCTTGGAGTTGAAATATCATAGATGTAGCATTGGCTTCTGCATGGCGTCGTCGTTGAATAGATTCCAAGTGAGCTCCGACCGAGAATACAGCAAAATGTTCTGCCGCTGCTTACAGGATGCAATACAGAAGGCTCTGTTTCATTATTGATAACGAGACCTCTATAAATCACGCTGAATCCTGCAGCTCCGGCTTCAAAGGGCTTCATTCCTTTTTCTTCCTGGAGCTTGAAATCTTTTCAAATGATAGAGCTGTGTTCAATAAAGTACCAGTACTGTTGGACATGATAATTAACAAGTTTCAAGACGACGGACTCAAGGAGCTCTGCTATCCCGTTGGATTCTCCGAGATAAATTTGACAAAACACGGTGACGGGTAGAGGAAATTGTTCCATTGCTCGGGATAGACCCACGGAGAAAAACTCGATTGGTGTAGGGTGTAGGAACTGACAAAACACCAGGATGATATCCGTTTGAATAGACTTCAATGTTCATTGAAGTTCGCCTTGTTTTCCGGGGAGACAATTATGTAGGGAAACGGAAAAAACATCAGACTGGATACTGTGGGGATTGCTGCCTTGAAGTTTGTATACCGGTACATATAATAAATCCACACGAAATCGCTCGACCCTCACTCGCTCATAAAATTCAATTTGGCCCAAAACACCAAAATACCAACAAAAACACTACAATACAACATATCATAATGAGTGTTCCAACCAAAATGAACGTCATCTCAACTAATATGACCAGAGCCAATGAAATGCAGAAAGTCGGTGAACTCAAGAGACAGCTGCAGGTAACTGCACGAAGTTGTGCTCTTCGAGGAAATCGACCATCACTCTCTGAACGAAGATCACAAGAACTTCTTTCAGACAACAGCGACCACCTATCAGAGCTATTCCGAAAGAACCAAAACTGTTTGGTCGACTTTGAAAGTGATGATGAAAGCGACTTGGAAGAAGACTGCTGAGGCGCTAGTAGCGGATAAAGAGACAATTTTGAACAGACTCCGCTGGCTTGTATGTAACATGAAAACAATAACTGTAACAATAAAGATTGCGAAATCAACCAATCAATCAAACCAAATCACTATAGCTCTGGTCGGTTTAGTTCCAGGGCCACTCCAATGCTTCGATATCAAGATGGGACGTCTTGGATTCCCCACAATACAACAGCACTCTTGCGAACGACGGTAAAAGAGTAGACCGTTGTACTTTCGTTCGATGAGGTGACTATGGACACCGCGCGGGAGAAAGCGTTCACCGTACCCACGAGCGGACAAGACATGATGAAGTCCTTTGAGAGCCAAACTTCAATGGGCATTGAAGTTTGAAGTTCTGTCTTCTTTTCTAAGGTTTTCGTTGGTGAGACGGATAAACACACCACAGCGAGGGCTGACTGTGGACAGGGATCTCCAAAAATTAGGATTGCACAGAGGCACTTGGGTCAGTCCAAACGGAGAAAAACTCCATTGGTGTAGGAACTGACATAACACCAGAACGATATCCGTTTGAATAGACTTCAATGTTCATTGAAGTTCGCCTTGTTTTCCGGGGAGACAATTATGTACACAAACGGAAAAAAACATCATACTGGATACTGTGGGGATTGCTGCCTTGAAGTTTATAACATACATTTTATACTGGTGTTTCCACTACACCAGAAACAGGACCAAGAAGCATAATCCACACGAAATTGCTCGACGTATTATTCACTCGCTCATAAAATTAAATTTGCCCCAAAACACCAAAATTCCAACAAAAACACTACAATGTGTGTTCCAACCAAAATGAACATCATCTCAACTAATATGACCAGAGTCAATGAAATGCAGAAAGTCGGTGATCTCAAGAGACAGCTGCAGGTAACTGCACGAAGTTGTGCTCTTCGAGGAAATCGACCATCACTCTCTGAACGAAGATCACAAGAACTTCTTTCAGACAACAGCGACCACCTATCAGAGCTATTCCGGACGAACCAAAACTGTTTGGTCGACTTCGAAGGTGATGATGAAAGCGACTTGGAAGAAGAATGCTAAGGCGCTAGCGGATAAAGAAACAATCTTGAATATACTCCGCTGGCTTGTCTATATGGGACGTCTACGTGGAGACAGACAGATATCTCATATTGCTGCGAGTATATGCTTGTACATATTCCCTGGAGATAACATGAAAGCAATAACTGTAACAATAACGATTTCGAAATCAACCCAATCAATCAATCAATCAATTGGTATTACATACCTACCGTATACGATCACTATATCTAGCTTATATTGTTCAATTCCGATCAGTCAGACCAATAAATGATGGTCAAATGATACCGCTCTGCGGTCATCGTCTATGGTTCGTCCGTTACGTCGGTCCGTCGCACGTAAACGAGCGAGGGACTGACTGACTGACTCACTCCTTTTACGTGCGACGGACCGACGTTGTGGGTTGATTGCAAGACGATGGCTGTAGAGGAAGAAAGCGGTCGAACCGATGGATTGATTCAATATTGACTCTATGAACGACGGTCAGGCGATCATCTCCATCAAGTCTGATCTCGTCATGTATCGAATTTGTGCAAGTATATACTGACAGAAAGATAGAGTTATTTCTTTCTTTCCCATCCCACCACACCCTGTTGGGCCTTGACACGATCTTCGTGTCAGAACGGAAGGCGCCAGTTGGCTATCTTCGATAGAATTATTGAACAGTACCTATATACGGTGGATAGTACCGGTACAATACATACTGTATGTGTTTCGATGATAGCTCGTCATAATACCTTTTATCACCTTATCTGCGGCCTCAAATATTTATGGGCATCGACCCAATGGTAGTTGTAGATTCTCGCAGATCAAAAGTATGTCGTTGGAAGAGAAGATGGTTTGAAGATCGGTACCGAGAAGTGATTTTTCTCATCATAGTAGTGGTGGCTGCGGTATAGCATGGACGAATGATATAGCTCAACGAACCGTCTTCACCTAATGTATCCGTTTTCTTCACCAATAACATCTTCTGAGATATTTTCGACACAGCAACGCCCAAAGTTTTTCATGTCAACAAATCACGGCATTATCACGTTTGCAATGCAGAGAATCTGAAAGAGACGTATGGACCGGCATATGCGATGGTGAACTCTTGATTTCTTCTGAGCTATACAACAAAGACGTTCATTTTGTACAAATTGGAGCACATGCCGGCTTTGAAGCAAATGATTCACTTGCCAATGTATTGTGTCCTATTTGAATGCTCTGGAGGGCGATGAAAAGCAACGATTCCATTGGCATTTCGTTGAACCGTCGCCACCAAATTATGAACGATTGATGCAGAACCTTGCGCATCACTCAGATTCATGCGACATGAAAGGAATCAACAAAGCGGTCGTACCGGATAGTTTCAATAGTACTCAAAAGGAGTCCCTGATATTTTATAGCATCAGCAGAGACAGTGACCCTGAAACGGGCTACGACTCGCAAAGTGGGAAATACTTACCCCTATTCGTAACTCAGATTTCATCAGTTTCCAAGAGTCCGTTGCACCACAATATAGACGCGTGCTCAAAAAGCAATATCTAAAGATGAATGACTACATTGTAAAAACTAATGTATCAACCCGCAGTTACGGAAGCCCCTCTTCGTCGTAATCGATACAGAGGGATTTGACTGCAATATCATCTGTGGAATATCCGAGTCATCGCCCTATATACTGGCCCCTTTTTCTGATTTATGAACACACGCAATGTTCAAAGACAATGAAGAACGAAACCATCGCACGCTTGAAAAATATTGGGTACGAACTGACAAATATACCCCATGGACAGAATACTGGGACGGCCGGGAAAATCAACATTTACTCCCAAGAATTGTATGCTAAATTTCTATTTCCCGGCCGTTCCTGTTGCTATTCGCACGTCTTCTCACTGTGAGACCTGAAAATCACTTACGGGATTCTTTCCAGTGGTATCGAGAACAGGGGCACATAATGCTAAACTAGATCGGCTTGTCTGATCTGAGGGGTTCTATTGGGATCCTTTGAAAGTTTCAGCCTTTGATCCTCGGAGTACTTCCAGAAAGCCAAAGATGCGAAGTGAACTGCCCATTATTTCGCTAATGCCTTCCGTCCTCACCGATGTGGATCGACTCACTCATCTGTTGAAATAGATAAAAGTACGGATGTTCCTTCTTGATTGTCACTGCATAACGTAGCTATTATTTACTTTCTCTATATTTGTACCATCACGATCCGTAAGTCTGGGGACTTCTCAAAGTAGCAGATCTATCCCTTCTACTGCCGGCACCATTTCCTCCACATCGTTCCCATACCTTTCAACCATTTCAGCTACAAAGGCTTCGCCCTTTTCTTCCCATTCTCGCCGGTTGTCCATGGCATAGTTCAAGTATTCGTCACTTGAAACACCAAAGACGCCACATTCTTTCAGCTTCTTTGCCAGTGGAATGATATAGTGGTCAAAGAATCCAATCTCACCTTGGAACCAGAAGTCGGCAGGATTCTTATCCATCTTCCCCCTCTTGTAGGTTCCCATCATCTCCTCGAATAATCGCTCGTTCCATTTGCGGTAGATATGCCAATGTTGCATGGTATGAGACACATCGGATGCTTGGATCAAGTGCTCAATCACAATGGTAGCCTTACGATTCACATCTGCTCTTGCGCTAGACGGGGAAGCCGCGACGGTGTCACTGAAAGCGGCGTCCCATCGATTGCGACGGAGCGTTTGTAGTTCTTTGTCCATAATGTCAGTAGCCAACACCGTGTTGGCAATCAGCTGTCGGAACCGATCTAGTTCCAATGGTGCTGCATATATGGTTCGGCGAAAGTCTTTGAAGCGTGGTTCCATGAGAAGATCCCATGCCAGGAATGTCGAGTTTTGTTCTGCCACGCTCTTATTCTTGAATTGCTTGGCTATCATGTGTTCATCTTTGACGAGTTGGGCATTGGAGAAACCCGAGTGATCAACATCATGAATCAATGCTGCAAGAATGACACTGAATCGAGTAATCGGATCAGAGGTGATTCCGTACGTATGGTCATGGATGGACCCTCCAATGTCATTCGACTTAGTGACGGTCTCGTCAGCGTTCAGTAGATCCTCTGCAGCGACGATTCGAGACAGCAGCTTGGACACAGACATTGTAACGTGACTTGCATGCTCAAAGTTGTGAAATGGATTCTTTCTGTACATTAGGGCAATTGACGAGACATATAGTTGCATTTGCTCTATCACGACCTCTGGGAGCTCAATTTCGTCGATATCCTTTTGCCGTGTGTACACTTCTGAATCGAATTCAGGAAGGGGCACAATCTCCACGACCTCGTCAAGAATGTACATTTGTCTCTTGATTGTATCCTCCTTTTGATCGAGGGCCTCTTCGAATTGTTTAGTTTTGATTCCTGTCGCCATTCTCTGGGCCACAATCTGCTTCAATGCCTTGGCAAGAACGTCAACATTCCATTGGCAGAGCCGTTTGAGCTTTGCCGGGAGCATTGCTTCAACAGCATAGTGATTGGCAGATTCAAAGTCTTCGGGAAGCGTGTTTCGATTGGTCTTTTCAAAGTCGTCGCTGTTATGCGCTGAGTATACCATGGCATGTTCCTCTCCCTCTTCTTTTCTCGTCAAAAGCCAGTATGTCTGCAGCTTACCCTTGCCCTTCGCCATCACCGCTTGCCCTCGCCTTCGAAGCAAGTGACCGTCGTCGCCACTTCTAATCAGATGTGCCGTTTCTCCAGAGACTTGAATCCTGTTTCGCATACCGGTGGACTCGATTCGTGACGCTGTATTTACAGTGTCACCAAACAGCTGAAAACGCGACTTGTCTCCACGAAGAACTCCAGCTGTAATAGGCCCGCTATGCATACCGACACGAATGCCCAACTCTGCAGTATCTGGTCCTAGAGTTGTTTCAAGGAATCCAACAAGCTCGCCAAACCTATCAACAATCTCCCGAGCGAATGAAGCCATGATATTCGCGTGGTCTTTGGTTGGTTCTGGACAGCGGCAGAAACGACAAGATAGTGAGTCCAGTGTCATGAAGCCTATTCCTTAGACAGTTAATCATACTTACCAGGCAAACCGGTCACAGCCACGTAGCAATCGCCCACCGTTTCTACCTTGAACACTTTTCTCTTCTTGGCGATCACATCAAAGGCTCGATACACACTTTCGAGCAGGGTGAAAACTTGAGCTGGTTCCCGGACGGAACTCCAAGCAGTGAATCCGCAAATGTCAGCAAAGATGACTGTCGAATCCAAGAATAGATCTGCGATTGGCTTTGAAGCGAACGCATCCAATGAACCTCCATTTGGATTGCTCTTCATGAAGCTCTTGAGTTGGAATCTTGACGACTTGTTGAAGATAGTATCATTCCCTTCGATGCTTTTCGGTCGCTTTTTCGGTGCTGCATTGTTATCTCCCTTCTTTTCGAGGCCAAAAAGCCGATCTCTGATCGATTTGGGGTAGAGAACAGAGAGTAGTTGTTCCGATCTCGAGGCAACATGAAGTAGCCTCCTTTGTCTCATGCGTACCGCGGAATCGTACAGATACAGAATCAGGCACATGAATGCAAACGAAGCGGCAATCACTCCGCCCGTTACTGCTGGATACTTGAGATGGTATGTGTAGTAGAATTCAGAAGTCGAAAATACCCGAACGGTGTAGGTACAGTCTGATCCTGCAATATGTTGCGTGGCGACATCTGGAGCAAAGGGAAACTCAATCTCGTGGTCATCGTAGTCTGGATCGTGGTGATCACCAAATCCTACGAATTCAGATTTTTGGCCGGTTACCTTCATGGTAAAGACCACGTCGCAGCCGTCATCCACTACAATATGAACGGGAGGAACAGGATTGTCACTCAAAAGAGCGAATAGGGGGAACCAACTCACATCTGAATTCAAGATTGCAACAACTTCTTGTCCCGTCGAGTCTTTGAATACAGGCTGAAGGAAGAGACTATGTGGCTGGGCTTGGACATCAGGATCATATAGTTGAACAAAATCTTGATTTGACAATCCGAGGAGATCAGTCATGGCAGATGCTTTGGTCTCGAGGACAGTGTCGAAGACATTGCTATAATGTGTGTCCGAGCGCATGTTGAAATTCACCATATCACCATTGCGAGGAGCTCGGATTGTTTGCCAAATGGGGAGAAATGGGCCCGACCCTTCTTCTGGAATCTTGTCTCCGGCAGACAGTCGAAAAATGGATGGAAAGATATCCGTTACATTATCTGGCTGAGGTTCTTGTTGAAAGGCCAGACTATCAGCAATCCAATGCTGGCGTCTCTGCGTGTAGTTTGACCACTCCTTCTTTTCAATCTCATGGACAATAGGGGAAAGAAATATCATCCCCGCATGGGTTGTCTTCATGAAATTTGAAACGATCATGGGGTAGTTATCATCGGTGAAGTAGGGCCACGTTGTGTTTGAGTTGGCCGCCAGTCCAGTGAGAGTCGATGCAAGTGATTGAAAGTCAGTGAGACGCTCTGAGAGTCGTCTATAGCTCAGCTGTTTGATGTCCCCAGCAACAATGCTAAACTGTTTTCAACAAGCTGTAAGATACTGAAATGATCCGATATAGGCAAGCACAGAAGCAACAGATAACATACCTTTTTATCGAAATCGTGGTCCTCCTTTGCTTCGAGGTAGAAATAAGTCGCAACGCCGGCAGCGATTGTGACAGATATCATGAGGAATAAGATTAAATATCGAAAGCATGAAATGGCAGACCTTTCGAACTCATCATCCAAGCCGACACCTTCTTTTTCTTCTTCGGAATAATGGTCGTTTCTACCCGATGCACCAAATTGGTTTTCTTGCTCTACAGTGCTGACACTTAGGTCCATTGTTTCTTCCACAGTTTTCGATGTTGATCCCTTCATGATTTCAGACGAGAATTCGCCGCCTTTGTCTATCATACTGCTGCTTAGGTTTACTGTTTCTTCAACAGACTTCGATGTGAAACCTACTTCCATGGTTCAGGTTTCGGGATATCTGGAAGATAGAGCGGAATAATGTAAGATTTACATCCAGATGAGTGACGTGCGTGAAGGCAAAAGACCCATGAGCGCGTTTCAAGCTCGAAACCAGATTTAAAACACGAATGGAATCGCTTTGGGACAGATTACATAAAGGCGTTTGCTTAGACCAGATTTTTTTGAAAAAACAAAAAATCATCGACAGCTGCGTCAGCGAAGAAAAACCTGTGTCTGCATATGCACGGCGTAATTCCTCACTGCCAGATATTACCTAATAAAGGCGTTTGCAAGACCAGATGTTTGTCGCAAATCATCTAGCGTCAGCAAATTTTAAAACTTGCAATAAAACAGTAAAAGGGCGAATTGTGTTCGAATAAAATCACTTGATCCAATCATGATAGTTTTGCGGTAATATCAATGACAGACGGAAGATTTTTCATGTTTAGGTACATCTCAGCTCATTTTCCACAATGTAAAGAACTAAGCGATGGCATTCTTGAACAGACGATATTGCTGGTAGCACTACCCTTCCAGTAGGTACCCTCAAACTCTATCCTGAATACATCACTACGAACATGTCGGTATGACCTGCTGGACCTACCAGGTGGTACTGTACCGCATTGACTAAATGACTTAAAACTTTTAAATGTAGGTTTCTTTATTTTTATTTTTAAATGTGCACAGGTGCCAGGTACAGGCAACAGGCAACTGGCCTTCAGGTCATCTTAATGCGATGGTAGCAACAGCAGGAGTCTCATCATTGGATTGGTGATTACGTCAACATTGATGAATAGCACTTCGACCTTTTCCAGCACTACAACAAATCAGCACACGTTTTTGTCCACAATGACAATCCAATGCTCGAATACGATGCAACGAAGCTAGCACTACTCCCATCTAATGATATCATGAAATCTAGTTTTGTGTGCGTTGTAGATCTTTTGTGGCCGTTCCCAGTTGGCAACAGGCACAATCATATGTTGACCAACCATCATATCGCAAGCTGTAGCTATTACCAACAGAATGAGCAACATGTGCAGTTCATTCCAACTCCAGTGTCGTTCGTTGCACAGTCTGCTTCCAGCACTTCCAAATCGTCAATCGGTGCATCACGCAAGGCGCAGATGTCCTCAGGCATTTCACCCGTCAAATTGTTATCCTGCAAAGTCAACACTGACAAGCCAAGGAAACCGCCAAGTTCCGAGGGAACCTGTCCAGTCAGTCTATTGTTATGAAGTTGAATCCGTTGAAGACTAATGATACCGCCCAATTCCGAAGGAATCTGACCTTGGATGTTATTGTCTTGCAAATACAACCGTTGAAGTCGCTTCAGCTGGCTAAGACTACTTGGGATCTCACCGGATAGCCTATTATCATGCATGTAGAGGTTCACCAAGTCAACAAGACCGCCAAAGGCTGCTGGAATCGTACCATTTAGTTGGTTTCCAAACAAAAAGAGTTCATCAGCATCCAAAAGGCCAGAGAGCTCATCAGGGATTTGACCTGTCAGCAAGTTCTCGTTCAGGTACATGAAATCGACGTCTCCGAGCTTTCCAACCTCTGGTGGGATGGTACTGCGATGGATTTGAAGAGTTGAGGAATGAGAAATGAGTTTAGACGAAAAGGACTAAGGCGATCTCTCACTTTCTTACCCTCTCAGCTTATTACGGAACAAAAAGACAAAATCAAGATTGTCCAAGTATCCAATTTCACTGCAGATTGGATTACAGAATGAATTGTGAGGAATACTGAAACAGTAATGAGGACGAATGGATACATCGCATACTTCTGCTGCTTACCTTGGAATGTGTCCATCAAGGTTCTGAACAGCAAGATCCAAGACTGCAATGCGTTCATCATCATTACAAGTCAATCCGAACCAGTCGCAAACGGAAACATTTGGATCGAGCCAATTGTCGTTATTGAACCATGACGAGTATTGAGTGGAGTAGCCAAAGACAGCGGCCGCATAACGCTCCAAAAAAATGTGTTCTGATTCTTCTGAATCCAAGGGGAATTCGATGGTGGTATCCATGTCGGTCAACCACTGTATAGCCGCGTGTTGTGGCGCATCCTCGTCTTCTGGCAGGTCCCCAAATTCCGATACCACTGCCTCGACCACAGCCGACTCTCGAGTAGTCGGTGCCATTGTGGGCGACATGCTGGGCAATATAGTCGGCGCAGCTGTCTGCTGCTGGTTGCGGCTGGAAGTAACGACAACGGCAGCAACGACACCTGCTAGTACAGCAGATCCCAAAAATGCATAAAGACAAAAGTTACGTCTCTGTCGCTGACGCTTGAGTCTATCTTCCGCCTCCACATCGACCACTTGAACAGCATTCTGTGTTTGCAGCACGTTTTCCAATGTTTGTTTCAGTCGTTCCTGGTCCTTCCTTTCATCCACTAGCTCGGCAGCGAGTTCTGATCCGTCTTGTGACTCGGGCGCCTTGGTCTCCTCCTCTTGGCGCGGTGGGTTATTGGTAACAGTAGTAGTAGGATCGTTATTGTTATTGTTTTCTCGGTAGGTAAATGGACTGCGACGAAGGGGGACTCCAGGTGGCACAGCGGTTGTGTCGTCGTCATCCTCAGTGACATTTATCGACTGGCGTGTAGCCAGGACAGTCGGCCCTGTAACCTTGGTATTACTCTTTCCCCTGACTGCAGTGACACCTGAGTTATTAGAGTTCCGGGTTAGTGGACCTTGTCGTTTTGCCTCGGACTTGATTTGGGAATCATCCATGGCAGACGAGCATTCAGTTTGAGAGCCTTCCACGAAAAAAGAACTCCTATCTTGGTCATCACTGCCATTGAGAACATACTGCGAAACGATTTGACGGCGTTGCTCCGATCGTTGGTCATCTTCATCGCCATCTTTCTCCATGTTGTTTTCGTTTGAATTTGTTACAGAGTGAAATGCACCAGGAGCGACATCTTCATCTTCCGCAACCTTTCGTTGCTCTTCCTTAATTTCGGCATCTGATTTCTTGGGTGACATCTTGTTGACAGTCGTCAAGTACAGTATCTTGAGAGGGTAATGATATCATAGAGTATATATATAGTGCCTTCTTGAAAATGTTCTGAAAATACTGTAGCGTAATAATGGCGGACGACGTACACGTGTACGGTTTCTTCCCAGTTCCAAGATGCGATTCGATTCCACTTCAGATATATTATTGAATGCATCGGAATCAATAATAGTATAAGTAATGCACCGTGAGCTGGTACGAGTACAAGGAAGAAGGGAGGGGTGACAAATTCCAAAATGATGCATATCCTTCTTAGAAACATAATTTCATGTCTATGGTCTTGTTTCCGGCAAGTGATTGCATTCTGTAAGCCAACATAGTGACTATACTTGACTTATTCAAGACTGCTGTGTTTTTCAGAAACAAATCGTTGTTTGTTTGGCACAGCTACAATATGGCCAACACGAGTAGGCCAACCAAGAACCCAATGTTTGGCGAGCCTTCATTCAACATCTCCATTTTTAAGTAGCTAACCATTTCTGACTTTCACATTATATGGACCCATCTATGTTTCATTCCTGAGGCTGAAAACTGTCTCTTGTGCGCGTGCATTCTTCAATGTTCATTCCTTCCCTTCGCTACCTGTATATCTCATCCAAAAAGTGCCGAACAGAACACAAAGGCATCCGTCGAACGAACCATCTTGAAAGTCGATTGGAGTTTTTGACGCAATCCATCGCGGACTTTGGAATTATGTTTCAGGTATTGTGATATCATAGTCACGGCCATGAGTGAGAAGAATACCAAAGCCATTTGCAAGAGGACTGGAATTGGTACTGGTTCATAAGGATTGAACAAGTCATGATCCACTGGGGTTTGCTTTCTCGCTTCCTTTCCCATTCGAAACATGAGCATGGAACACAGAACCACGCTCTTTTGCGATATTGGAGGCTGCTTCGACAATGGCTGCTCCTGGTCCTCTTCCTCTGACATGGCGAAAAGGTCTCAGTGAATGGATCACTTGGCCCTGGTGCGTGAGTAGCTAGCTACTGTACGGTAGCTTTGTGGAAGCAAAGGATGGATATTGAATGCGAGGGATCCTACAATATAGCTAGCTATAGAGCGATGAGTGGTAAACAGACAAGATGAATTTTATGTGAAAGGATTGCGTCATCAGCATTTTCAAACCGTTTCTCAGACGGGCGCGCAATGCACATGATGAACATTGATCAGAATATCCCCGAATAGTCGAATTGCTTGTTCTGAAACCCCCTTTTGTATCGTCTGCTGTGTGTCGGACGAAAACATGTTGGCCATTTTCAATTTTCAGCTATTATTATTCTCAAGAATGCTTTGCCTTTTATGACCACCACAACGGTACACCTTTTGAGGCCAATGTATTCATGATCCTATGCAAAAAATTGACTGCACATCTGGCATTTCATCTAAATCATGACTACCTATCGTGTTCCAATGAATTGATCTGTCCTCATCGTTTTTTGGGCTCCGAAATGGCCGTTGAAAACCAAACAAAGAGTATGGTCTGAATTTTGGTTTAGGGACCCTCTCGATGTCCTCTCGATATCCCCATTGCAATACACTTCGTGGCTCATGGTTCAGGGTTCGCCTCTTGACATATTATTAGATCCGCTGATATCATCTGGGGATGGGTATCAGGTTTCCTTTGTGGAAGGCTTCCAGTCCTACCTTTCAGCTACCAATTCGGTGGAACAGAAACAAGGAATTGGCAGCTCTGGACCCCACAATAGGAGAAGGTGGAATCATACAGTATGTTGTAGCAAGCTTTCTTGATATATCTCTCAATCGTCCTGAATTGTGATTGGACATTGAACTTCGAGCTTGGCGTCATTCACATTACAAACAACAAGTGTTGCTCGAACCGTTTCGGTTCGTATAGCTTGTTCTTTGGGGTCTACAGCCAGCCCCACATGCCAATAAGGACACCCTCCAGTTTCTGGAAGGATGCATTAGGCATTGGTACCTATGTCATGTTTGGGTATTGTTGAGCTCGTTTCATCGGCTTTTATTCCAAAGATTTTTGGATTCTCGGCTTGGAGTGCTTTATTGGTTGTCCATCGTCCGGCTGGTCCGCAAGGCCGCCATGGAGACAGAGAACCCCTCAACAATACACCAGTCGCTTCTTTCAATCCCTATTGCTGCAGTCACATGCGACTTACCATAAGTTTGACCTGAAGCATGCATACAACGGCCTAAATGGGGTCAGAACTCATGTAAAAAGTAAGTGCACCCCAATGCCATCACCGGTCAAAATGTTGGCCTTAATTTCTTTGAACTAGTTTATTCTAACTCGTATTTGCTGTTCTTGGGCACATTTGCCAAGGTCAGGTGGGTTGAAACGGCAGGCAGCTTTCCATGTAGCAAGTTCGATAACTGCACTCACTTGACTCGGGTGATCCATTCGGCCTACATTACATAATATATAAGGACCCAAGAATCTTTTCCAGTCGCCACCACGGTGGTACCCAAACACGGTGTCATCAACACCAAAGTTTTCAAATATCCGTATAAACCATCAATTTGGGCGTTGTTTTGGAATGCTGCGGCAGAAGTCAGCCCTTGGGCGCCCATTCCCCATTTACATGATCTTTCCAAGGGGCGGTAGCCTAACAGGTAACATCCATAACACCAACGTATTCTAGACCAAAATTCGCAATTGAAAGTGCATAGAGCTGCAATCTATATGCATGTAATAAATCAAAAGAGTATAAATTGAAATAACACGATTTGTAGTGGGAACAAGGTCGTATGGTACGAGATCCGGCTCTTGCCTCTCCATTGAGTTTTGATTTGGACCCAACACCGCCCGTCCGTCTCCAGTCCAGCAATAATTTCGTCTCAACTTCATCATCATGTTGTCGTTTTCGTTTCCATCATTAATGGTGAGTTCGAGCCCAGAATTCTGCGTACACTGCATGACCGTGCAATGGACAGTCACAGTAAGTCTCTTGGTCTTCTGTTGATAGTTCTGTATGAAAGGAATTGGAATATTATCTGTATTTGGGCCCAAACAAAACTACTTTGCATATCCCAACACACTTTACGTTCCACTTATCGGCGTCTTACAGAGCCCTGATTAAAGTACAAGTCATATCTAAGGGCGCACGCTATTCTTTGAATCTTAATAATTCCTTGGGTCTTTGAGGATGGCGTTTAATGAAATCAACATGCTCCCAAATCGAACCCAAGCTCTGGTTGCAAAATCTGTTGCCCTCATGAAATCAGCGTTGGTGGACCCGGCAAGGCGGGAAAACGAATCAGCGATGCACAGATCTCTTCTTCGGATCCAATGATAGCGATTGTGTCGTTTCCCAGGAGGAATCGACTTTCCAGAAGAGAATTGCCGACCAAAACGGCTGTTTGGTTCAGTAAAAGTGTATTTTTCATATACCGGTATCCTTCGGAGGGTCCGCATGCCTGCCATGGCAAGGAGATAAAAACACTCATCAACAATACACCAACTCCTTCTTTGGATCCCTAAGATCAGAGTATCATGCGAGCCGTCGATATGGTCGGTCTAAGTCAAGCATACAGTGGCCTCAATGGGGTCAGTAAAAATGTAAGTTTTGCCCCAAAACCAGTATTGGTCGAATGCTGGCCTAAAACCTTCAAATTTCTTTCTTCTACCGCATCTTTGTCATCAATGGGTACATCTAACAAGGTTAGGTGGGTTGAAATGGGTCGTTTCTAGGTAGAAGTGTTTCAAAGGCACTTCCTTGACTTGGATAGTCCATTCGGATTGCACGCAAGAAAAGACCAAGAGTCTTTTCCAGTCGCTGTGTCGATACCCACACACGAGGGGACCCTTACCAACGTATCCTAGTGTACTCTAAATAATCGATTTTTCGCGTCGTTTTGGAATGCTACGGTGGAAATGAGCCAACTTGGGCTACAGTTTCCAATTGACCTCATCTGTCCAAGGGCAACAGGTGACTCCTCGATGGTTTTTCCTGGAATTTGATCTGTTTTAGACCAAATTTCCCAATTCAAAGTCGACAGGCGTCTAGAAAAAATGTAAATAATGCATAGTATACGTTGGAATAATAAGATTTGTAATCAGAACAAGGTCGTATGGTAGTGCGAGATCGATGCAGCTCTTTTATATTGAGTCTGCGAATTTTCACCAGAGTCCCGACCGTCCGTCACCCGTCGCAGAAGGAAAATGCTTTTCGTTTTATAATATCTGCAAGGAAGATCAGCCATGGCATATAATAAGTTGGAGCCAAGATTTCTGTGTGCATTACATGAAATCTGGAATTGACACTTACTCGAGTCTCTGCACCTTATAGGAACGGCTCTGTATGAAAGGAAATGGATGACTTGTTTTCTCTGGGCACCAACAGGACCACTTTTCATATCCCAACATAGTCACCGTCTCACTTTCAACTTATCGCAATCCCACGGAGTCCACTTGGAATTAGAAGTCCTTTCTAAGGGCGTAATATCTTCTTTGAATAATAATAATAATAATAAAGCCTTGGATCGAGGACAATGATGTCCAATCGTGTTGCCATGCGCCCAATAATTCGAACCCGAGCTCTCGTTTCAAAATCTGGTGCTTTTGAGAGTTTGGCGTTGGTGAACCCCACAAGGCTCGAAAACGAAACAACAACATACTGATCTCTTTTTTCGAGCCGGCGAGAGTCATTGAGCCATTTTCCATAAGGATTGGACTTTTAGAAGAGCCATTCCGACCAAAACGGCGGGTTGATTCGGTATACTTGTCACTTTACCATCGTTCGGTAGGTCCATATATGGCCGTCATGGAGACGCAAGAAAACTCAACAATGCACCAGTCACTTCCATTGATCTTGTGGAAAGAGCAGTAGGGAACTCCTCGATGGAATTGCCTAGATCAAGCATACGGTGGCCCAAATGAGGTCAGAACGCACGGAAGTTTTGTCCCGAAGTCATTATTGGTCGAAGTTTGGCCAAAGTTCTTCGACATACTTCCCTTCTTACACATATCTGTCTTCCATGAGTATATATCGCAAGGCTGGAGGGGTTGGAATATGTGTTATCAATATAGAAGTGCTTCAACTGCACTCACATGACTCGGGTCATCAATTCAGCATTCATTACAGATGTGACGAAGAACCTTTCCCAGCCGCCTTGACGATACGTAGGAACGGTGTGACCCCAACCAAAGTTGCAAGTATACATACAATGACCCATTTTGGGCGTTGTTTTGGATTGCCGCGGCGGAAATGAGATGGTGAACTACATGTATACCAGAGTTGTTTTGGATTGCCGCGGCGGAAATGAGATGGTGAACTACATGTATACCGTTTCTGGTTGATCTCATTCCATCATGATTTCAAGTGCCTCGATGGATTTTCTTCGAATCCGATCCATTCTTGACAAACATTAATTATTAAGAGTGCCTAAACCTTTAATCTATACACAAAAAGCAAATATAATACATGTTGAAAGAACAAATCTAATCACAGCAAGGTACAGTAATTGGTACGGTTTGGAGCTCATCAACTCTTTTGAAGTTATTATGGGCCTTCTTTCATGTAATCGGACGAGTCCAATTCAATCTTCGCTACGAATTAATTTTTTTCGAACGCATCATCACACCGGTATGTATGCATGTTGAATGTACCGTAACTCTTTTAATTCAGATGACATCTTTGGGTTCCCTTCTTGATGATCCAGACTTTCATCACACGCTATCATTATCTGTAATCCTACTAGCACCGGTGGTGTTGCTGATTCTTCTGTTTTTTCAGCCTCCAACGTATGGCAAACTGTCCAATGACCAGAATACCAAATTCGGTCCATCACTGCCGGCCAAATGGTGCTGGATGATTTTTGAGTCTCCCAATTGGATTATCAGTACCATGTTGTTCCTACGACAATCATATTCCTTACCTTGGCCCAATCGACTTTTACTGGGCTGGTTTGTAACTCATTACATCCACCGATCCATCTTGTACCCGCTCAAGATGCCAAGTAATTCAAAATTCCCTCTTGGAATTATGCTCATGGCTGCCCCATATTGTGTTGTGAATGGATAGTAAGTGATTTTCTGAAACAAAACTTAAATTGTGATAGCTCTGAACAAATAATCTGATGCTTGTTTGGAAATCTTGTACATGGTAACAGTCTTCAGGCCCAGGATCTGTCCCAATTTCGGATGTATCATCAGGGGCATATCATGTCGCTCAACTTTATAGTTGGAACTGTGGTTACGCTATGTGGTTTTGGTATCGCCTATCAGTCAGATTCGACTCTGGTCCAACTGAAAAAATCAACTGGCACCTATCAAATACCAAAAGGGGGCATGTTTCAGTTTGTTTCCTGTCCTCACTTTTTTGGAGAGATTCTCGAATGGACTGGGTTCTGCATTGCTTCCAATGGCTCATTAGCGACCTTGTCATTTGTCATTTGGACGGCTTGCAATCTGATACCGAGAGCGTTGGCTCAACACCAATGGTATCACTCCAAATTTCCTGAAGAGTACAAACAGTTGCGACGAAAAGCTGTGATTCCACTCTTGCTATAGCATCGCATTGGCTCAATCATCAATGTCGTAAAACGACCAACATTTTGTTGTGACGTTGGACATATGTCCGTACTGCAGTATTCTGACCGTCAGACTGCTAGGGTAGTACCGGTACGCATTCAATGTCAAGATCCAAAACTACGTGACATCACTCCAAGTTTCCAGAAGAGCGCAAGTATGTACGACACAAAGCTACAGTACGAATTGAATCTCCAATAGCATACACTGGATGACACAGGTTTATTAATGCTACTGTAAATCCGACCACTCACTCGTCGTTTGGATCCAGAAGAAGTAATCCTATGAGGTCATAATGGCACGACGATTATCCGTCTATAACATCACACCTAAACTCAGATTTCATCATTTCGTACGGTTGAATGATCTGCTTTCATCGACACGTAACGGTGCCGCCTCCTTCCTAAGATCCGACATAACAGGTAACGGTGCTCTGTGCTGTCGTGCCAATACACAGAAGACCAATCGTAGAAGTGATAGCGCTCGGGATTTCACAGAACTGGTCGAGGCGTAAGTCTTACGTCTTACTTCAACGTCTTCCTGCAGTTAACTGAGGCATAATGTGAACGGACCCTTGTGAGCCGTCCTCATTGGATGACTTTCTGTGGAAGGTCAGAATTCAAAGAATTCAATACCATGGAATGGTGGAGGAAGTGTCAAACTGATTCGGTTTCGAATATCTTGACACCTTCGATTTTTTACGGAGGATCAATTATAGCATTTTTGGGGGTCAAATCTAGCGTAAGTGATGTGTTTTTGCGTACTTCAAAATTTTCGATATCATCGTTAATCGACAACATGTCACACACCTCTATGATTTCAGAAGCGACTTAATTAAAACTGTTTTCGCTATACGTTGCTGTGAAACCGATCGGCACTGAAATTCAAGCCGATGACACTTTCCTCTCACAATATTATCGTTCTTGTAGACCAAGGGCCAGATTTTTTGACATAAAAAATGAAGATGCTTCCGCCAAACGAGAAGTTTGCAACCAGCACATACAACGATCATATGCCCTACAAGGCTTACTTTCACTCGTTGCTAAAGAGTTCAGGGGCTTCAAGACTGGAACTTGTACGTGATGATGCGATGATTCTTGGATCTGCTGATCCATTGGAGGACGCTCGATTCCTTTTGAACCATTGTGCTCCTCCAAAGGTAGACTCTGGACTACCAAGCCTTCCCAATCGAAAACCAAGCGTCGATAACTTGTTGCAGCTATTGAGCCAATCGGCTCCAAACGAGATGCGAATTGCACATGGTGACACTTGTTGCTGTGAATACCCCCATCACGAGTGCTCCTCTTTCTCACCACGCACTCAGCGTCGTGAACAAACCAACCAAGGTACGAGAAAATCGTGGCCTGGGTGCTCGGAGAGACCTTCCATTCGAGAAGTCGCAACTCCAGAGGAGTGCGATATTCCTCCAACAGCTCCAACAAGGCGAAGGGAAATGCCAGCTAGGAATTTTAACAAACGGAAACACTGCCGGTGGAGTGCTTCCTCAGTCCCTGCTACAAAGGTCGGATCATGAGAAAGATTCTACTTTGGCCAGCCAGCCAATCCTGTTGCCATTGCCACCATGCTATTCAAAACTTTTGAGCCAAACCATGGCCTTGCATTTTGACTATGATGAAATGTACAATCTCTAGATCTAGACAAAATCACTATTATATAAAAATAAAGGTTCTTGCACAACAAGCTTGCCAATGAAAACTATGTTTGCCCGAGGCATACTCAACCGTTTCCACATATCCACTAGACGGATGATCAGAATAGTACGATTGAGTCTAGTATAGGTTCATTCTCGAATGTTGGTAAAATTTGATTGCTAGCAAAGTTGCAAGTTACTATGGTACCATCGTTCTCGCCTCACTACGCTTCAAAGGGAATTTGTGTTTGGAATTTCAGGTGTAAGGATCCCAGAGCGGAAGCATGGGGAGGCCAACGTGTTGCCAAAATTGTATATTGTTCTATTGTAGGAGGAAAACAAGTTCATTTTTCTTCCGTCGGTTTGGTGGGTATGTTGTATCCTCGTATTCCTTTGTGAATTTAGGGCAAAGGAATGTGGGAAGTACTATAGCAGTAGCACTATCACAATTGACAGCTTGATTTCTTTCGCTCAGGCACGGATGGAACACCGTGATCGATGCTCTTCTCACGACAGTGTCGAAATATGCTCCGAAAGCCATTCATGGTTTCTGGGGATATGCTTGGCTTTGACACGGTGGTGCCGGGAGAAGAATGAACCACGAAGATGTCGTTCGGTAGACCAAATGCAGGATTACAAGTTGAAGTGGACGATGGTGATGTACCTGTTGTTCTCGTTGAGTACAGCTTGACTCCTGGTGCCTGCTTGCGAACTTGCGGGAATAAGGATTTCTTCGATTCGGCGGATGAAGGCTCAACACCAGTGATCAGATCAAACTTGGCGTTGCTCAGAGCCGGTGACGAGTTTAGGTTTTCAAAGGTTGCATTGCGCAAATTGTCCTTGGATTTCATGTTGTAGAGTGAAGCTTTCCTGGTTGGCATATTCAATCCCATTATCTGATTGGAAGAAGCCTTTCTTGTTGGCATTGGAAGTCCCATAGTTGAAGGCATTCTCGAAGGCGTCGTTCTCTCTTTCAGATTGTTAGCAGCAAACTTTCCCAGACTATCTCTTGACTTCATCGAAGTCAAGTTGGGTTTGCTTCCAAATCGCCAGTCTCGGTTCATGGCGAGAGGAGAAAAATTGTCAAGACTTCCTTCCCCCGCAGACGATTCATCGTCAATTGTTACGGCAGAGAGAAGACTGTGAAATGAGCCACTAATGGACAGAGGAATGCTCCCAATTGAGCTTCTACTCGAACTGCTCGTTTCCCCTTCTCCTGGCATCATCTTCTAATCAACAGTCTACAGTCTACTGTCAATACCTTGGTGTCTCTCACTCTTTCGCTTTGAAGGATGATTTATATCAATGGTGATATTTTAATCGTAATGGTGGTTCCTAATGCTGCCTGTGACGATGTTTCTTACGCTTCTGTTCCATATCAAGTGGTCCGCTTGTTGGAATGTGAAAAACGGTTTTCGAATTCTAGCTGTCGCGCTTGTATTTTGTTAGTGGCTTCTCTTTTCATTCACGCTTCCGGCCGGCAATAAGAACATTTTACTTATAATACGAAGAGATACTTCGCATGGGGCTTAAGAAATGCTGACGTATGCTTCCAAATTTCGCCAACAATTATGGATTTCACGATCCCAATGGTCCTTTCGCTTGTTTACGACTTTGATAAAAGCTGGATTCTGAGCGATTCTGAAATGCGTTCAACATGCGTCATCACGATGATTGGAACTTCGATGTAGATCCAGCTTAGAACCTCAATGAGAACGAGGCGAAATGAAAACTAAAGGAGCCCATTCCATGTGACCCTTTCTTCCCTTCACCCTTAACGTCACTCGCGACACTACCTTCTACCGGTACTGTTAGAAGTGGGAACACTACTTTTAAATGTCGTCTATATTGAATCTCAGCGTATGCGTCTGGTTACTCATTCGTACCTAGTCTTGGTCAACGAAAATATTCTCCACCTTTTGAAATGTTGTTCTTACCATTGGGACCGAGAAAGTGTCAAGTGACTTTTTGTAGTACTTGATTGCTTCATTCCATCTACCGAGTTTGGTCAAACAAACATGTTGTGTTAAAATGAATAATTCGTCATGTTTAGAATACAATAGTTTACAATAGTTTACAAGTGATCATTGTTGAGGAAAGCGTTTCCATCAATGGGACTTTGATATCAAAATTTGCATGGGATGATCACGACGAGGATGTGACAATCGAACTGCTGATTCCTCCTCATAAAGGTGTATCGGATAGCATTGGGATTGCGCCAGCTGTCAATCTTCTTCTTTGATTGTTGTTGTTACTGCTGTCGTCGTCGTGGTGCTTGCTGATGTTCTAGTTATCGAATGTGGCGTTCTGAAGATCGGATAGAATGTTGCATTCTTGCGTGCTGGAACTTTGGTTGAGTGACAGCGAGCAGTTGTGTTGGGAGGGTTTTCGTCTTGGGACAGCGAGCGGAGTGTCCGAGTTCAAACTTGCTCTTGTCTTGCGGCTCGCCGAGCGTGGGCTCGTGATGGTTTCGAGACAAACAAATCGATCGAACCGTGAAAATGTGTTGTTCTTCTTTGAGTTCTTTACAATGTCAAATCTTGCATTGAGCATGGAATCTTGGTGATCCATGGCAAAGGAAGATGATGGGACTCTTCGGAAACTCATATCCATGGAAGACTTGCGCTTTGGAATGCTGGGAGCCTTGGAACTCAGGATTGTGTCCAAACCCGCTTTTCGAAAGGCTTGAGCAACTCCTCGTCCTCGGAGAGAAATCGCAAAACTCTCTGCCGCATCAAGCGTCGGGGTGGTCACCGTGGATGCCAGACTACATGAAGAGTCGACAGCATAGAAGATGAAGCTTGGAACCTTTTGTCTTCTCATTGCCATCTTGATTTTCTTTTTATGAGCAACTGGGTTTTGTGAATTGAAGAAGCGAGATTGGAATTCTATGTGTTCCACGAAAACACAGTTTCAAAGTACAGTACAAACCGGAATATCCCTGTTCTGTTTGATTTATGGCTCGAGTACCGAAGAAGAACTCTTCCTGCAAAGTTCCACCGAAAATGAGTTCGAGAAGTTTGATCGTCTGAAACTTCCGGTACATAGGGTACAGCAGATGGTTCTTTTGACAGCACCTGGTACTGTACCGGTACGGAGAAAATAAAGCGGTATTGTTGGTGTTCCTCCAGATTCCCAGACCCAAACGAGGAGGAGGGCGAGTTTCCATGATTTCTGATGTCGGACAAACATTCGACCTTCTGCTCTACAATATCTGCTCTACATGCAATCTTCAAATTCTTCACCATCTATTAGAGATGCTGGTATTATACCTACCGGTACTGTAGGTAGTATCATCAAGAGTGTGATATTCTTGGTATCATCTTTTAAAAATTATCACAGTACCGGTAAAATAGCTCGATCATCACGAAGACTGACTCGCCACGATGTTTTCATGTCGGACAAACATTCAACCTTCTGCTCTACAGATCATAGTGAAGACTGATTCATTCGCCACATCGTACAATGCTGAGGGGAGGAGCGAATGTCATATATATGTCATTCCCGAGTGGAGAAAGACTCGACGATAACTGCCTGCTGGGCACTCCTCCGTGGTTTTTGAATCAAGTTGAAGCTCTATCCTTGCTTTGAACCTTGCTTGGAACACCCGCAAGCGATGGTGCTGGCTTGGCCAATGCGGACTCCTGCTGCTCTCTCTACCATTGCAATAGTGAAATCTTCTATCATTTTTGGCAATAATCATTTCGTTTAGATTTCATAGAACTGTTGCATCTTGCTACTGTACACCAGTGGATTGATTGTACTGTGATCCTCCCTTCCTGGTCTTTACATTCGAACATGGTTGTTGCTGGCTTGGCCAATGCGGACTCCTGCTGCTCTCTCTACCATTGCAATAGTGAAATCTTCTATCATTTTTGGCAATAATCATTTCGTTTAGATTTCATAGAACTGTTGCATCTTGCTACTGTACACCAGTGGATTGATTGTACTGTGATCCTCCCTTCCTGGTCTTTACATTCGAACATGGTTGTTGTTGAATCGTCTTGTTTGCACAGGTCTGGCTGGCAGTCTTTGGGTGGTGTTGTTGCTTTTACTACTGTGGCTGCTGGTATTGAGCAGGTCACCAAACTTTGCATTTTGCAAGCCAGAGAGCACTGTGAATGCTTTGATGGTTCGGGGGCTGTTCGGTGACAATGGTGACATGCAGCTTTGTTCGGACGACTTCCGTTGTGGGACAGTTAATGGGGTATCAGAAGAACATTCACTGGTTCTTGTCTTGCGGCTTGCCTGGGTCAAGGCTGGGCTCCCGAGCATTGGTCGTACAAAACAGCCGAATCTATTGACCGGGGAATGCAGTTTCTTCTTGCCACTAGCTTTTGGGCTGAAGGTGGCATTCCTCATGGATTCTTGATGGTCAATATGAAACGAAGAAGAGAGCTTCCGAAGACCCATGCCCCGCGAAGACAGACGTTTTGGAAGACGAGGAGCTGTGTTGGACATCAAGGCATCATCCATGCCCAGCACGAGGCCAAAGCCTCTGCCAAGGCCACGAAGGGAGCTTGGCCTTGAATCTTCAGCATCGAGGGTCTGATATGAAACTGCGGATGTCAAACTGGCGGAGGAGCCAACACAAAATATTAGGCTTGGGACTCTTTGTCTTTGCATCTTGGAAGTTGAGTTGTATCGTTCTTTGTCTTCCAGACGGAAATTATGAGAGCGGAACATGAAATTTCAACGTGAATGCGTACAGTACACTTTTGACCTGCACAAGAAAAGCTTTTAGTACCGTCGCGCGAAATACGCGATGTGTTCCCCGAAGTTAGGCCCGCACAATATATTAGCTATTAAATTAGACATTTTATCCGAATGTCGTCGATTGATACAGCGGAGAAATCTAGTTCTGGCCATTAAATGAAATTGATTAAGGACACCAACAGAATATGGTTCAGACTATCACACGGAGGAACTCTGGCACAAGCGCTTCGCTCCATGAAATACTTTATTTTAGTCGCCTTTAAGAAAATACCGTCGCACAAATCAAAGCTCCCGCGATGCCACGTAAACGAAACAACTGCAATACCGGTAGACCACAGGAGCTCAAGATGCAACGAAATGAACTAAGGTGTCTCGCAACATATTCTTATTTGTCTTATTGGAAGTAGCAGGCACAATTGAATTGTTTGTATGATTCCACCACTGTAGTATCCAGGTTTAACTTCTTGTTTGGTGTCGCAGGAGCGAGTTGATTCCAAACGAGGATGAGAATCCATTCACAGGTAGTACACCGCGCGCCTTGCAATCCATCATCACATTGAATTCGAAGATGATTTTTGTTGAACTGCTAGTTGGACAGAACGGCGTGCCCAACGAGTTCCTTCGCTGCTTCTTGCTGGCTCGCTCTGCTGTATCTGCACCAGTGTTGACAATTCAGTCGTCAAAAGTAGCACATGTTGTCTTGACGCTTTACCTAGCTATCGGTGACTACTTTAAGCTCTGTTGTGATGGCTTTCGTAGCGGGATACTCAGTGGCGTATCCGTAGATCCTGCACTGCGAATTGTTTTGCGGCTACCCTCTGACAGACTTGGACTGAGCATAGGTGCAATGGAGCAGAACTTATCAAAGAGTGCTGACTTATTCTTCATTGTACTATCGTCAATCTGGAATCTGGCGTTCATCTTGGATTCTCCGTGGCCACCAGTTCCAGAGGAGCACGATATCTTTCGGAAGCCCATTCCCCTCGAGGACTGGCGTCTCGGAAGACTTGGAGCCTTCGACTTTGTCGAAGTATAGTCCAAGCCAAATCGTTGACCAAATCCAGAAGATGGTCTGCAAAGCACATCTTCGGCATCCACCATCATGCTAGGATACGATATCATAGATGTCAGACTACTGGAGGAGTCGGCACAGAAGATGAGGCTTGGTATTCTTTGTCCTTGGAATGACATGTTTTGGTTTCGCTGTGGTTGATGACTGTAGGTTTTCACTTGTTTTTGTGACTGTGGAGAAAATATGAGACGGGCGTTGGAGCTTGGGCAATTTGACAGCTGGTGCAAGGCCACACAACTTTTGAGTAACACACACAATGCATACGTTATAAATGTGAGTTGCGGGATTGTTTCGCACCTCATCCATTGATCATCTCTTCTAAACATAAAGGCACGGAGATTCGGAGAAAACCATTTCCATTACTTTTTTAACTTCAAAAATATGGTTTTTAATATCTAGACGAGCTATCATATGCCATTAGTACCAGATATAGGGTACTCATACTTTGAATGGGACCGCAGGTACTGTATGTTGCTCGTTGGTGTTTGCAGAACGGATGGCCCTCCTCGTGGCAGCCAACAAGGAATGCCGATGCTCCTCGACCTCAAACCACGTCCAACCAGCTGGTGGACTTGAAGAAGAAAGGAACCTAACCACCAGTTACATGTTAGATCGAATGCTATTATATTGCTTTTGCTTCCTCCATTATAATATATCAATGATTACTAGCGACAGCACACCACTCGACTGTATTCGTCCTACGAACAACAAGAAGCCCATGCATCGTCGTGGTCATGCGACAAAAGTCACAGAATAATAGATTCACAGAAATCGATATGCAGTTCAAGATACAGCGTGAATGGAAGTCTACAGTACTACTTCGTCCCGAAATGATAATGGCCTACTGGTATACTGCGAAGGAGAAAACGATTTGTGATTGATTGATTCGAGTCAGTCGTTGGGGTCGCGAACACGTTGCCATATATAATGCCTCCACTTCTTTAAAGGTTATTTGTGTACCCTTGCCCTACACTATGGACACGCACTCGAAAGGATTTTGCTGAAAGGAACTAGGCTGAATTAGTTGCATGGTACAATTTAGAAGCAAATATGGAATCAATAGATACTAATCAGTCTTCTTTAAAACTAGAATGCCATGATCTGTTTTGAAGTCTCAAACTATCACGTAAGCCCGTGTGGCTGCCATCTACTTTCAGCTTGATTGTTGCCACATTGTATCATCGAATGTATCGTTGATCTATGGTACTTCCGGCGCTGGATTTTCCATTCTCATCGTTTTTTGCATCACGATGGTCGCTTAGACTTGCGTTCGAATAGCATTGCTGTTCTTGAACAGTAACGCCTCCTATTATAGTTATCACTGGAGCAGTACCGTCCCGTCGATTTCCCACAAGTCACCAAAAGTGGCATTCCGAATATCAGGCAACTGGCGCCGGCTTTGTTGTTGTGACAAGGAGATCTTCTGCTGAGATGGTTTTCGTCGTGGCATAGTCAGGGGTGAGTCAGTGCTGCTGCTTTTGTGTGTCTTTCGACTAGACTCCGATAGAGTTGGGCTCAAAATTGGTGCAAGACAGCCAAATCGGTCGGCGAGCGAAGTCTTGGTGTTCTTGCCTGCTCCAATGCCGTGGCTTGAGTTATCAGCAGTCTTGAAGTTGGCATTCGCCATGGAATCTTGGCGGTCCATAGAGAAAGAAGAAGGCGCCCGTTGGAATCCCATATCTTGCGAAGGGAAGCGCTGTGGCAGGCTGGGAGCTTGTGACATTGCAATGGAATCACCCCTCTTCATTAGACCAAACCCTCGGCCGATTCCGTGAATGGTTTTCGGCGGGCTCGTTTCATTTGTATCCACCGTTTGAAGTGTCACCATGGATGCTAGACTTGTGGAGGAATCTGCGCAGAAGATGAGGTGTGGGATATTTTGTTTCATCGTGAAGTATTCTGATGTATTGTTGTGGATTTTTGCGGTTGCATACCGGTAGTTTTGGCTTTGAAACACAAACCAACTGCTTGTGTGAGAAAGGGAACATCTGTCTTTTGTTCTCATTTTGTTTCGTCATTGCATAATACCGGGTATATATTGTCCAATAGCTCTTAATGGCAAACTGTACACGTGGACTGATATATTTATTTTGTAACCAGATTTAAACTCCAAGAAATCTGATACATACAGTATGATACTAATGTTTTAGCAAGGGCATAAAGCGCGTAAGGAGCGTTAAATATCTAAATTTCGCAGTCTTTGCGAAGCATGATGAAAGAGCGGTATTATTCTGAAAGTTTTGCATTTGCGTGAGCTTTTTGGTTGAGGAGCACAAAAAAAAGCGTTTCCTTTTGGTGATCACGGCGTACGACGCAATACTTGCCACAACTTCTTCTGAAGTAGAGATGGAACGCAATTTAAACAAAAAACCGCTTATTGCCTCATACAGTAAACGTCCATTTATGCCGAGCGAGAACTACAGTAACAAGGAAGAAGCAGTCTCGTTCATCTTGCGCCCACGTAGTTGAACGAGGTGAAAGCCATACACTGTAATTACAGTAGGCCATTTGAAAAGTTACTATTCTGATTGATTCGATTGCAAAAAAATTGCGGCGCACGTGAAATTTCACGTATGTGGCGAAAATCCAGCCATCGCATCTACTTCAGTACTTTTTAAAAAAGAGGGAAAACTGTCGTAACGCATGTCTCATCGATTGCACAAATCTTTGCAGTCAGAGTATTGTATATGACCAATTCTAGATGCCAAGGGTCGGATTTGGCACCATTCAAAATGGGCCCGCCGTGTTGCACATTAGGACTATAGAGATTGCCTCGATCGCATCGAATTCAACTGGATGGAGAACCAGGCTAATCCGGGCGCATAACTCATCAACCACCACGATTCAAGCGATGGAATTAGTTCACTAAAAGAGAAATTGACGAAAACATATTTGCACAAAGGAATCGCAAGAGCAGAGAGGCCTTCCTACCGATTTTATTGGCAAGCTTGTTCAGGTGGAAATGCGGTTACAAACAATACAACAACTCGCCGGATAGCAGATGCGTCAACCAAAAGCATCTGCGAACCACCATTTCAAAGGCACCAATACCTAAAGCTGTTAGCAAAGGTGTGAGATCCGGCATCCGACTTTTCCAGCGCATGGCAGAAATAAAGCAGCAGACAACGATGAATTTCGATTGGTTATCCATTTGGCACACTAAGTGGATGACATTATCTAGCGTTGGCCTGGACGTACACTGTGGAGCAACCAACTTTGAAACATCGGAGAGAAAGAGTTTTCCAAGGTTGGGGATGTTGTTGTACGGGGGTACGATAGATTTTGAATCTCTACTGTAGAACCTTACTCTTGGTAAAACTACCCAAAACGTATTATACTTATGCTTCGCCCGGATTAGTTTCTTGAATTTTATCTATACTCTTGATTTTATGCTGTGGTACCTTTTAATATCCAACACGTTTGGAGTGTACATTGTACATACCGGTATCGTATAATCGTGACGGAGACCTTGCTTGTTCCATCTTTCCACAGATCTGCCTATCGAAGCATACATTTCCTACTGTGATAAGATGCTGTAATACATTCATATGGTTTGTGACAATAAGCTATATTCATTTAGTCTAGATTCTATGTATGTGTACTGTACATATGTTGGCATTGCTGATATCAGCATTCAGTGTCCTTATCTTGCCGATAGGAAGGAGCCTAACGAGTGTCTTGGCTGTCTGCGTTTGTGCAGTGCAAATAGGTTATCACCTGAGGACTTGCGCGTCGGTTTGCATAGTGCAGTATCTCCTTGGCTTGACGTGCTGAGTCGATGGAGGAGATTGGATCCTCGACGAACCGGTGACTGCTCGGATGTGATCACATCAAAGACAGCATTTGACGACGACTCGTGAACGCTGGTGCTTTGCTCATCACCAGTAAGACTCTCCCATGATAGTCGGCGTTCCGGTTTTCGCAATGGGACCTTGGAGTTGACTCTACTTGAGTCATCAAAGCGCGAATGCTGGGAAGTAAATGACATATCTAGAAGGTCAATTCCGTCTAGGACGGCCAGCAGAGCACTGGTATCCAACTCATTTGATTTGCTTGTCTCTTCCCGTGTTTGAGGCTCCCCAGAGCATCGCTCTCGAAGCACCATCATCGAAATCAGACTCGGGACACCACCTTCCTTCTTGCAGGCTTGAGAAAGCTCCATCTTGTTAGTCTTCGATGGCAACTTGCTTGAAGCACTAGGGAAGCAAAGATCTTGGCTGGAGTTTACAATCATGTTCTGTTCTACAGTAGCTATGATGTGTGATGATTGTAGACCGGAAGGAAAGTGAACAAAACGGATATTTTATGATGGAAGGTCGTTGATCAGAAACCAGAAGGGCCATCAAGACGGAACTAATTGTCACGGTTATCGGTGGAATGCTGTTTACACCCTCGCAAGACAAATCTGCAATCCCAAATTGGAGTTGATTTGGTCATAAGGAGAAATGAAAAGCTCCTTCCATCACCGAATAAAAGAGTGTCAATTTGATCTTATATGTGGAAAGCCTGTCTTCATGCGGTTCTTTCAACCAACGAACCGGGACTTTTCCCTCATTTACAGATTGAACATTCGTTTTGTGAGCTTGAGCTCGGTGATACTTAGTGAACAAAAAAGAGCTTCTTCTAATTTGCTAGTCCTAACGGCCTGGCCGCTATGATGCGAAACGGGACTCTTTTTCCCCGTCTTCTGAAGCATTTTTTGATTTAATAATGATTCCAATAGTGATTGAACCTCAAAGGAACGGTAAATCAATGTACATGATATAAAACAGTACCGGTAGTGATTTGAAATTAAAAAAAGTGAGTAGCGAAAGATGGAAGGCATTATTCTTTCTTCTACTTGGAGAGAAAGAGCTCTCTCATAATTTTGTACTGAAAGAAGTCAATTGACAAATATACTGATGACCTCCTGTGATAGCATCAATCAAATAGGCTCCAACGGCATTCACTTGGCCAGGAATTACTTTCTGAGGCCTTCGTCTTCCTCAAGACTGCAGCCACCATCGGGTATCTTTCATGATGATGGTGGTGAAGTTGGATCAGGAGATATCAACCGCAGCCGCCTTTCATCCCCTCGAAACAACACCGAGCACCTTGTGGAAATCTTGGATGAAGTCCTGGATATATTAAAGGAAGACTTCGATACGATTCAAAGGCTTGGTGCCAAGAGTAAGAAATCAAGAGACGTTGGTTATCAACGAAAACAGTGACATTCATGCTGAAATATATAATGACTGTCAAATGATCAAGACACCATCAGACTGCCACCAAGACGGGCATACTTACACTTCCTGGAAATACTGTACAGTCCATACACTGAAAGCATACACTGATATGTATTGCAACTGATATAGGAGATTGCCACGCAATTACTTCTTTCCTGTGCACAAGGAGAAGTCTCTTCTTGGATCTTACAGGAATTCCAAACATAAAATTAGGCGTATGATAAAGCTGAATGCGACAATGTTCTCTTTGTATTACTTGTTTGTATTAGCTTGCATAAAGTGTACGACATTCCAACTGATGAGTCAAATTCTTGTCTGCGTGCAAAGGGCGAGACTCTCGAAACCTCTAGGATCTTCTCCATACATAGAAAGTAAGCGTACAGTATAATCTAAGATTTGAAATATATCTGATACAGTTGAATGCGAAAGGTGTTCTTCCTATAGCTTAAGGTGAAGTATCTTGGATCTTCTATGACCTCCAAACAGAGAGCAGCATACAATCTAAGATTACTAAGTCAAATCTGATGCAGTTGAATGATGAGACAATGTTCTTTCTAATTGTTAAAAGCGATAGTGTTCTTGGTTTCATGTTATTGCATCGTCGCGTATTTCTTGTCCATGGACAATCTTCGAACGGGTTTCGACAAAATGTCCGTGGTGGCGGCTTCAATCAAGGTTGACTGAAACGCTGGTTTCGAAAGAGAGAGGCAGGAGTTGTATGGGGAGGTCATAGAAGCCCCTTGCTTGTTTCCTTGCTTTAAATTCTTGTAAGCTTCTTTGTCTGGGGAAGACATGTCAATGGAGCCCTTTCGCACAGGTTTGCGAAGAGTCTTGAAAACGGAGTTCTTGGGGGACCTGGATGATTTGTCTTCCCACTTTTCGTCATTAACGTCAGTAGGAACCGATTGGGCTCGTCGCATCTTGTCCGTTGGCATCGGCATCTTAGGTAATGCCGATCCTATACCATATCCCAAATGAATCCGTTCTTCGTTTCTTCGGATGACTGCATCAAATGGCGAGGTTTCCTTCTTGATTGGCCGGTCAAAGGCAGCATTTCGCATCGTGGGGAGTCCCTCCAATGACTTCTTTCGTTCTGGCTTCAGGATTGGCATGGTGGAGTACTCCTTACCGAGCTGTTTTCTTTCGTGCTTGGATGATGCTTTCAAAGCTGCATCAATACCATCCAGAATGTTCAAGATCTCTTGTGCACGGGTTCGTTTCGGGATAGTAGCCTTGAATTCAGTGGAGTTGTTCGCTTCGCTGTCATCTTCGAAAGTAATGACCGAAACACAGCTGTGGTTATCCCAGGCCTGTACATCCTTTGGGACGCCTCTCTTCGCTTTGCCGGTACGGGAAACCATTGTTTTGTTGTTTGTATTTTTTGTGTGGTTTTACTGTACCGGTATACTGTATGAGGATGGATGTGCAACCGCACCGTGGCAGAAAAACGTTGCAGTTTCGGCCTGCTGACGCGGTGGGCGGTGGGGCATATATTATTTGTCAGTTTTTTGAAGTTTGATTACTGTCCGCGCGGCATTTAAAGTTGATGTTAAATGATTGCAACACGAATGATCACTCTGCAAGAGCACTTTGCTTTATTTGTTAGGGTTGAACATGCTCGAATCGAAGTGACAGACAGGTGTATTTATAATGGATTTTTTTGTACCGGTAGGGAACAGACAATCAGAGGGGCTTGCGTAACAAAAATCATGTTGTTCTCGTTTTGGCAGAGGGGCTAAGGACTCACTTGGATGTTGCAAAACCACGTTGATAAGGCTCAAACTAGGTTTTGGGGCGTTGTCAATTTGGGGTTGAATATAGATTCGTTTGAAAATCGATTTTAAAATAATTGTGAGCAGTTTGAAGACTCAAACTTCTTTTAGTCGTGCTACATTCGTCTGATCTGATCTGAACCAACTCCAACCAATCCCGCTGGATTGTTAGTTATAGAATGTTGGAGATGTAGCGTGATAGCCGTAGCTTCTACGCTGACAACTTCCTCTGATCTGATCAAGTTGGATTCGTGTTAAGTTTTCTCACCGAATCCGACTCACTCGATCACTCAGACATTCAGTCGATTCGATCAAATCTCAGACCTCAGAATCCCTGGTATTCGTTCACTCCCTCTTTTGATCAAATCGATGATCTTCCTATCAACCCATGATCATCTTTCTGAACTTGATGAGTAGCTCAGCGTTCAAAGGTTTCTCAACACGTCAGCTGGTTGCTCTTTTGCATCTATCTTGTGAATAGTAATCCCATTACCAATGTATGACCTGAAATGATGTAGCATGCAGTCTAGGTGCTTTGTTCTTGGTTGAAACTTATGCACTCTAGCAATTTCCAGAGTTCCGGTATTGTCTTCAAATACTCGGTAGTGTACCTCTGCAATTGGGCTTTCAATCGGGATTTCATACTTGATCATCTCCTTGAAAAGGTTCATGATGGGTATTGCTTCACGAAGTGAGTATAAAAGATTCCAGTGTATTCTGACTCTGTTGATGATAACGCAATCTCAGTTTGCAGCTGCGACTTCCAGACGATAGGACAACCTGCGAAATTGATGAAGTAGCCATGCCTTGATCTTGCTGTATTGCAATCCTCATATTCTTTGGGATCCCAATTTCCAGCGAAGTCAGCATTGACGTGGACCTCCAATCCTTTCGTTCTATCAGGTTGTAGAATCAATCTTTTGTCTTTTGTGCCCTTGAGATATCGCGCCAACCATCGTACTGCCTTGCCATGCTCCTTCTTTGGGCATGTACTGAACCTTGCACACTGGTGAACAATATAAGCGATGTCCGGCCTTGAACCCTTCTCCAGGTAGTTTAATTTTCCAATGACAGATCTGTAGTGAAACGATCCATCAAACTCTGGAGAATCAGAATGTTTTGACAACAGCTTTGATGATGCTGCTGGGATTGGTCGTGTCGCCGTGTCCTCCTGCATGTTTAGGTCCTTCAGAATCTGATCAATCAAATGTGGTTGGGTGAGGTGTATAGAACCGTCAGGCTTCCTTTCAATGTTAACCCCAAGAAAGTCTTGAATGTCCCCTTCATCAGTAATGTCCAGGATTTCCCCAATTTCAGCCACAACTCGGTCAATCTCGGCTTGATCGGGTCCCGCAAGAATGGAGTTGTCTGTGTACAAAACTTACATCACATTTCCTTTGTAAAAGACACATTCATCGTAATTGGATTTCTTGAATTCCAATTTATCGACGAGAACCTTCGTCAAATATTGATACCAGACTCGGCTTGCTGCCTTTCCTCCATAAATGTTTTGATGCAACTTTAAAATGTATTCGTTACTGTTTCCATCGACAACTTTGAAACCAGCTGGAAGCTTCATGTAGAGCTCCCTCTCAACTGGTGCTTGCGGAAATGCCAGGACATAGTCGATCTGCTTGGTTTTCCACCCAAGCATTGCAGAGACAATCAGAAGAGTTCGAATCGAGTTCCAACTTGCAACTGGTGCATATGTTTGGTCGTAGTCTTGTCCATATTTCATCTTGGACCCGTCAAAGTTCAATCTTGCTTTGTACTTTTTGACTTCCCTCGTTCGAATATCTCGTTTTTGTTTCATTTGCCATACTGTTGGAAAGATTGTAGCTCCCTCTGGAACTGATGTCCGATGGATGATTGAGAAGTTCTCGTTCTTGAGTTGGTCTTCCCATTCCTTCTTCATCGCCTTTCAAAATTCACCTGCATCCTTCTCACGCATAGCTTCATGCATGTACATCGTGTCAGGGTCAGAGGTTGCCTTGAAAATCTTCAACGGATCCTGCTTGGCTTCTCCAGAGTAAGCTGGGAACATTGCTTGGAAGCAGAATATTTCACCTTCAATACATTTCTTTGTGGCGTTTGATAGCTC